CCACAAACGGCGGCAGCGACGACAGCGGCGGCGGCGGCTGCAGCGACGGCTGCGACGGCGGCGGCGGCGGAGACGACGGCTGCAACGGCGGCGGCGGTGGAGACGACGGCTGCAGCAGCTGCGGCGACGGCGGCTGCGGAGGCGGTGGAGGAGGAGACACCGGGGGAGGGACAGACGGCGAGGACTGCGCCGGAGGACTACCAGAGTCAGAAGACTCGTCGACCGGGACGACCGACGGGAGGGGGGTGACGTGAGACACACCAGAGGGGGCCGGATGGGGGGGCGGGGGGGGGGAGGGGCAGGGACCACCAGGGAGGGAGGAACCAGGAAAAGGGGGGGAGTAACCGGGGACCACGGTGGGGAAAGCGGCGGTAGAAGGAGACGGACTCGTCAAAGGTGACGTCGCGAGAGTGAAGGAAGCGGTGAGACGGCGGGTGGTAGAAGTGCCAGTCGGACGCGTCAAGGGGGAAACCGAGGAAGACGCAGGGGAGGGTGCGGGCAGTGAGCTTGTCCGTGCCAGAGGCACGAACGTGAGCAAGGCAGCCCCAGACGCGGAACGCAGACGCGTCACCAGGGGACCCGGTCCACAGAAGGGTCGGCGAAACCTGCGGCCGCTGGGGGTGCGGCCACAGGTTAAGCTGGTGAGCGGCGTAGCGCACGGCGAACGGCCACAGAAAATGGGGTGCACCGGCGTGGATCATGGAGGTGCGAGCCACCTCCATGACCAAACCGATGCGTTGCTCAGCGACCCCATTCTGCTGCGGGGAGTCCGGCAGGGTAAACGTCTGGGTGATGCCCTCCGCACGACAGAAGCGACCAAGGACACCTGAGGCAAACTCGCCACCCCGGTCGGAGTGAAGGCGCAAGGCAGGGAGACCGCGGTGGACACGAGCAGAGACAAGCCAGGGGATGAGAACGTCAGGCACGTCGGCCTTCCGCTCCAGGGGGAAGACGGTGGTGTAGCGCGTGAAGTCGTCGACAAGCACTAGGAAGAAGCGCTCGCGACGCGGCCCATGGACCGGGGCTGGGCCCCAGACGTCCATGTGCAGAGTCTGCAGTGGTGCGGTGGTAGGGGGAAAAGAGGAGGAGTGAGGGGCACGGCGGAGCCGGCCCTCGATACAAGGCGTGCACGGTGGGGCGGGGGAGGAGGGAAACTCGGGGAACGAACCGGGGAGACCAAGGACGAGACCGTGCTGGGACATGTGACGCAGACGTGGGAGTGCAGGGTGACCAAGGCGGTGGTGCCAAAGGAGAGTCGGGTGAGTGAGGGACCGACAGGAGCACGCGGCTGCAACCTGGGTGGACGCAACTACCGGGGGGGAAGACCCAGCCGGGGACGGCGCGGTGTCAAGTGTGAACAGGCCGGACACCGGGTCCCGGGGGAAAGTGGTAAGGGGGGCACCAGTGGCGGCCTCGGTACAGACAGCATACCGCTCGTGACCAGGGAACGTAGTGGTGACGCCAAGGTCCTGGAGGCAGCCGACACCAACTAGGTTCCTGGAGAACGAGGGGATATGCAGACCTGTGAGAGTGCCCGAAGGAACCGCCGGACAGGGAAGGGAGGTGGAACTGCGGGCAACGACGGGACCACCGGAGGGGTCAGCAAGAGTAACTGCAGCGGGAACAGGCAGCGGCGTCAGCGTCGTGGAGTCGCGGAAGAAACACCGGGAGGCGCCAGAGTCCAAGGTGAAGGAAAGCGCAGCAGTCGCGCGAGGCAGCAGTGAAGCGGTGGAAGCACCAAGGCTAAGCAAAGCAGGAGATCCTACGCCTGACGCAGCAGGGGAGTCTACGCTAGGCACCGCTACACTAGGCAACACGGGGTAATAAGAGGGAAGCACACTAGAGTCATCAGCATACATCACATGCAAGGCCGCTACAATGGCATCCATGTCCAAGTCAAAAATCCTAACGCGACGCCTAAGCAAGCTGTGCCAGTCCGGGAGGTCGGGCGCCGGGCCAAAGCGCTGGCGGAACAGGTCGTCCAGGCGACGAAAACAGCGAGGAGTAGAATGACCGATCTTACCGCAAACGAAGCCGCGGCGAGGACCGGTCTGAATCTGGTACTGACAGGGCCCGCCTCCAGAACCACCACCCGGTGCACCACCACCAGCTCCAGGCCACCCAGGTGGGAGAGTACTCGCCTGCCTCGTCTGCGGCGGCTGCTGCGGCTGCTCCGAAGGCTGCGGCTGCGGCGACTGCTACTGCTGCGGCTGCTGCAACTGTGGAGGCAGCGGGGCAGCTGGACCGGGCAGGGTCCCCACGTCCGCACTGGCACCGGACGACCCGCCTCCACCACTACCCCACCCGCACCCCCGCCGCCTCCGCCGCTCCCAACCTTGGGGCGGCGGCCCTTCGCCGAGCGGGACTGCACTGCAGCAGCAGTCTCAGCCACAGCGACAGAGCCGTCGGAGAAGGTACACTGAGCGGGGGCACAACCCTGAAAGATAGGGACCGGTACTGTACCGCTCGCCAGGGCTATGGAGCGGTGACGAGTCTCTATGGCAGTCAGGGTGTCAACAAAGTCGGTGAGGGTGAGAGCAGCAGGGTGGATGCTAAGGAACTGGTCGCGGGCGGCGGCAAGGCGGTCAGGTAGGCGGGTGGCAAGGAGGTAGAGGGTAGAGGTCATGGGAGGCTGGTGGACTCTAAGCTGAGCATCAGTGCAGGCAGCGCGCCAGGCCTCATCTATCGAGCGCAGGTGGGCAGCGAGGTCAGAGACAGTGGGGAAAGACGCCAGGTCAGGAAAGAGCAGGGGAAGGATCAGGCGACCCACTGAGGCAGCAGGAGGGGTAGAATAGCGCTTGATGACAGCATCGAGGTAGGCCTGGGCGGTAGGAATGGTTCTAAAGCGAGGGCGCTCAGTGGGGGGGAGGGCATTGCTAATGGCGAGCTGAGCAAGGGCATCGCGGGAAAGCCAGACAGAGCGGGCAAGGGCAGCAGCGGCAGTGGACTCGCGCTCAGCGGGCGTGGGATCAGCGGGCAGCACAGCAGGGGGGTCAGGGCAGGGGAGCATACCGTCTAGGTGTGCAGAAAGCGGGTGGCCGTCCTGCCGCTGGCCAGTGAGGTGGCGGCGAAGGTCAGCCAACCACGCCTCGAACTCCAGAGGCTGACCCTCAACATCAAAACGAAGCTCAGCAGCCATGAGGGGCAGTGGAGGACAGTGCAGTGCGGTGCAGTGCGATGCAGTGCGGTGCAGTGCGGTCCAGTGCGGTGCAGTGCGATGCAGTGCGGTGCTGTGCGGTCCAGTGCGGTGCAGTGCGGTCAGTGCGATCCAGTGAGGTGCAATGCGATGCAAGGCGGGGCAGGAAAGTGCAGGAGGGTGCAAAGTGGTGCGGGGAACGGGGGACAGTACCAGGAAGTATGGAGGGCCGGGGCAGGTGCGTCGGGGCCGGGCAGGCACGACAAGGCCGGGCGGCGGCGACGGGGCCGGGCGGCTGCGACGGGGCCGGGCGGCGGCGACGGGGCCGGGCGGCAGCGACAAGGCCGGGCGGCTGCGACGTGGCCGGGCGGCTGCGACGGGGCCGGGCGGCTGCGACGGGGCCGGGCGGCAGGGACGAGGCCGGGCCGGACACAGCAGGGCCGGGCAGGGGCGACGGGGCCGGGCGGCTGCGACGTGGCCGGGCGGCTGCGACGTGGCCGGGCGGCTGCGACGTGGCCGGGCGGCTGCGACGTGGCCGGGCGGCTGCGACAGGGCCGGGCGGCTGCGACGGGGCCGGGCGGCGGCGACGGGGCCGGGCGGCAGGGACGGGGCCCGGGCAGGCCACAGCAGGGCCGGGCAGGGGCGACGGGGCCGGGCGGGCGAGCAGGGGCCGGGCAGGTGCGACAGGGGCCGGGCAGCCGCGACAGGGGCCGGGCGGGCGCCACGCGGCCGATAGGCCGCGACGGGGCCGAGCAGGGGCGACGGGGCCGAGCAGGGGCGACGGGGCCGAGCAGGGGCGACGGGGCCGAGCAGGGGCGACGGGGATGGGTAGGGGCGCGACGGGGCCTGGAGGGGCGTTACCAAGCCCAGGTAGGGGCGCGACGGGGCCTGGGGGGAGCGCAATGGGGCCCAGGAGGGGCGCTACGGGGCCTGGGAGGAGCGCGACTGGGCTAGGGAGGGGCGCGACGGGGCCTGGGAGGAGCGCAATGGGGCCCAGGAGGGGCGCTACGGGGCCTGGGAGGAGCGCGACGGGGCCCTGGAGGGGCGCTACCAGGCCCTGGAAGGGGCGCGACGGGGCCTGGAGGGGCGCTACGAAGCCCTAAAAGGGGCGCGACGGGGCCTGGAGGGGCGCTACGAAGCCCTGGAAGGGGCGCGACGGGGCCTGGGAGGAGCGCAATGGGGCCCAGGAGGGGCGCTACGAGGCCTGGGAGGAGCGCGACGGGGCCCAGAAAGGGGCGCAACGGGGCCCAGGAAGGGGCGCGACGGGGCTAGGGAGGGTCGCGACGGGGCTAGGGAGGGTCGCGACGGGGCTAGGAGCACGACGGGGCCCAGCTAGGGGGCGAGCGGAAGCGTGAGGGGAGGGGGGGGGGGGGATCCTACCTACGCGTGATACCATAACAAACAGTGAAATTGATGAATAGAGAGAGAGAGTACACAAACATATACCTAAATGTTGTACTCTCTAGAAGATAACCCTATACAGTCTATACAAGCATGATAACTAAACATGTTTGACACAGAGCTAGTCTAACCATGCGATGGGAAGGTTCGGGAAGGAGATCGAAGGGTCTCGAAGTGACGACGCGAGGCCTGGAGAACTCCCGAAGGTCGAACCGAAAGGTCTGGAGAAGCCGAGGCGGTTCTGTCAGAAGGTCTGGAACAGTCCCGAGGCTTCAGGTGTGTTCGAGCGTACGCGATAGCAGTACCGCTCGGTAAGGAATGGAAAATTCCTTACAGAATGTGATGTGACAGTTACCATTGAACTGATTTTACATCTGCTAGTATTGAGTTCGTTTGTGCGAACCAGCATCGTCGGATCGCAGAAGTTAGCCTTCGCTCGGCCAAATCACCAGAAATGTAAGGGTGCCGAGATTCTCCAAGAAGTCTCCTATCCTACGCAGTAGCTTCCACGACATCTGATGGTATTCACGACTGATCCTCCCTTCCCGTTCAGCTTCGCAATCCACCCAATGCGTCAGCATGGAAATGGTAGCGAATCTCGAAGCAGAGCTGTACCGGTTGCGGAGAGACCGACGCTTGCTGTTGGCGAACCTCCTAACATCGTTGGCGGCGAAGGGCTGGTCAGAATCGGACTTGGACAGGATCAACGTGGATTACATCCTCTGGTGCGCCACGTCAGGTAGGGCTATCCGCTGAATCCCGAAGGCGCCGTTACCTTCATCTTATACCTACACGTCTTGACGTGACGCGCTTCATCTAGCATCCCTCGCTTACGCTCGTGCGTGTATCCGTCAAGTCAAGTGCTCCGTGCTCACCTTCTGAATAACCGTTGAAAATATGTAAAGCCTATATTCGTTCTTCCGCTTGGCTTCTTCCTCCGAATGTTTCGTGAAGTACGAGTTCCCGTCACCTGCTCCTTATCTGTTTGAGCTTTTCCTGCTCTCTAGTCCTTGTGGACGTCCAACCTTTCCATTCCTGTGTAACTTCCAGGAACACGCGTGGACATTGAAGCAGCCATAACAGCCCAACCAACCCTCACTACGAGGGGTGAGGTGAGAGATCGACGCGCCTTTAATCTTAATGAGTATCTTTTCTCAGTGGATCTATTATGAGGGCTGCTGCACACGATTGAATTCTCTTGCTTCGGGACACATCACCTCTAGGCAAAGCAGACAAACCTCCACTTCCTTCCCTCCCGTTCTACGCCACCCGTTTCTTGGGTTCATTGCGTTATCCCGTACAACGCCGCCTCGCAGGCAGATTTCGTCACAGCATCCACCGTCATTCTCTCCTCCAAAGAGCCGTCCGGCCCTCCGCCTGCTCGCCTCGCTCCTGCGTTCCCAGTCCCCTCGCGCACAGTCCCTGAGTTCCCTGCGCCTCCTCGCCTCCCCCCTGAACCCCAACATTCCCGCCAAGTCTCCGAATTTTCTTCTGCTGCATGCGCTCCTGCTGCCCCTCCTGCTCCTGCCGCTCCTTCGGCTCCTGCTGCTACGGCCGCTCCTGCTGCTCCTTCGCTCCGTGCTGCTGTGCCTGGAGCCGCTTCAGATCATGGCTCCAACCGATTCACTGCTGCAGCAGGCGCAGGAGGAGCAGCAGCAGCAGCAGCAACAAGAGGCGGAGCAACAGTGGGTGGTTGGGGTGCAACACGAGCACAAGCACCCACTCTGAAAGAAACAGAGGCGATCTTAGCCCCACCTCGGCCACTCTTCCCCCCCTCTCCTCCAGCCCTACACCAGACCCTGGATTCGCCTCCCCCGCGCAAGCCTAAGCCGCAGCAACTAGCCAAGCAGCTGTTTGCCTCACCGTCTGCTGCCTCCCCTGAAGGCTACTCCACCGGGAGCGATGTCCGCTACTCCACAGGGACTGATGTCACAGGGGCGCTGAACTGGGGGGGGTGGGGAGCAGTGGGGGCGAGTGCCGTGGATGAAGGGGAGAAATTCGGACAGGACGAAAGAACGGCAGCAGCAGCAGCAGCAGCAGCAGCAGCTGTAGCAGGAGGGGGAGGAGGGGGGGGAGGAGAGGGTGGCGGAGGAGGAGGAGGAGTTTTGAGGGAAAGCATAGGAGGAAGCGGCGAAGCACGGGAGAGTGTGGCGATGACGGCAGCACGGTCAGTGGAATCAGCTTCGGTGTTCGTGGCTTACTCTTCCTCTGCCTCCTCTGTGCACTCCATGTACGCCCTCTCTCAGGGGTCGAAGGGAACGCCAGACGCAGCAGCAGCAGCAGGAGCAGCAGCTGGAGCAGAAGCAGGAGCAGAAGCTGGCTGGGAAGCACCAGCAGGAGCAGCTGTTTGGGGAGGCCAGCCTTCCCCAGGTAAGCCCTCCCCATCAGCAACGTCCGGTCTAAAATATCCCACAAGTCCAGCGACAGGGTCTCCAAACCATGTGGGGATACCGTTAGGGGGATACCTGTCACAAGGAGACCCGTCTTCTCCACCGCTGCAAAACCCACAGAACCGTACAGACACTCAGTACCAGATCCGGCCGCCGCAGCCACTCTCCCCTCGGTCCCCTGCAGGCGCTAGGATTCCTGCGCCTGCCCAGGCGTCCCCTAGTATATCGCAAAGCCCTAGCAGCGCTACAGACACTCGGTATCAGATCTGCTCCCCTGCAGAGGCTCAGTGTGAGAAGCCGCCGCCGCCGCAACCACTCTTTCAGTACGAGAACCACTCTCCTCTTTCCCCTGCAGGCGCTGTGGGTGCTATGGGTGATGCGTCTGCCCAGCCGCCTTCCGGGGCACGATCGGCTGCAGCCGCAGCTGCTATGGCTGCACTTGGTGCGGCCACCTTTGGTGCTGCAGGCACTCCCCATGGGCAGTCCCAAACTCCTCATGCACCGACCCCATCACCCCATCGATACGGCTCGGATAGTGTAGCCAGCAGTGGAGCGGGAGGGGACCGCGCTTCTGTAGCCAGCAAAGGTGGTGGGGGCAGCGCTGGTAGCGTTTCTGTAGCCAGCAGCGGACACGGATTCGGTAATGCAACCAATTCTGGTGAACGGATAGGTGGTGGTAGTGCTGCTGCTGCTGCTGGCGCTGCAAGTGCCGCTGGTGGTGCGTGGAGTGTTGCTGGTGGTGGTGGTGATCAGGCCGGCGTTGCTAGTAACAGAAGTGCTGCAAGGACGGGAGCTTCAGCTGGGGGTGGTTACAATACGGGTTACAATGCAACACCAGCTACAGTAGAGTCTGGAAGAGGGGCAGCAGCAAGTGGGCTGGCATCAGGAGGAGGGGTTGCAGCAGCAGGGTCTAGAGCAGGGGCAGCATCAAAGGCTTCTAATGCCCCTCCGTCCGCCACCCCTGCTGCTGCTGCTGCTGCTGCAGCACGAGCTTCTGTAGCAGAAGCTTCTGTAGCAGAGGTTACTCCCCCCGTCCCAACCAAGCTAGATTTCCAATCTCCTTTTGGTGGTTCAGGAGGCCAGAAGAGTGAGAGAGGAAGAGCTGAGGTGTCTGGGGGAAAGGGAGGCGCCTTGGGTTTTGCCTGGAGATCTGGTGGGACGGATAAGAAGCTGCCACCTGGCACCGATGTGGAGGGTTTGGATGATGATGACGATGACAGTGATGACGTGGCGTCTTCTGATTCGTCCTCGTGTTCAGATTCGTCTGAGATGTCTTCCACGCTTGTGGCTGGGGGCACTGACGATGGTGGCGTGGACCAATTGGACGCTGCCAGCTCAGCAGGGCGTCTGAAGTGGCCGTTGCGCCAGGTGGCTTCTGGCCTGACTATGGAGGAGCTTCAAGCAAGCGCCTACGAAGTGATGCTACTGGCTGCTGCTGAATCGGGGTGAGCCCTCCTTTCCATGTGGGCCCGTATCCAGGTCGTATGCTGCTCTCAGTCAGAGAACACGTAAACTTGAATGATTGCGACTTAGCACCTTTTGCCCTCTCCCTCCTTCCCCCCATCTCCTGCCGCCACTTGCTCTCCTTATGAACAGGCGCACGATAATTCGCCCTACCCTTCTCGTCCCACCTCCCCCCATTGCCCTCCAGGTCGATATCTGCTCCAAGTTTTACCAGCACCGCCATCAGCAGCAGCAAAGCCAGCAGAAGGGCGACAAGCAAGGCTGAACCCTTCCTAGCCATCCATGTGTGTCGCTCCCTCCATGTACCCCGGCCCCTCCTCCCTCCCCCACCCTCCAGGTCCCTCCCCCTGTGGAGGCCTTCTTTCTCCCTGCCAAGAAAGAGGGCTCAACGTGGCCCAGCTTTCTCCCTTCATCTCCCGCTCCCCCTCCCACAGGTCTATATCAGCTCCCCCTCCATGTACCCCGTCCGTCCCCTGTGGAGATCTGCCTAGAAGGCAGGGGTCAGCGTGGCCCAGCTTACTCCCTTCGTCTCCCTCTCCCCCTCCCACAGGCCCATATCAGCTCCGGGGTCTTCCAGCGCCGCCTCCACCAGCAGCAGGAACGGGAGAAAAGGAGCAGGCAGGCCCGAGTCTCCTATGGAGCCCAAGTCCAAGTCCCCTGGGGGAGTCATGTCCCGCTTTGCCAAGAAAGTCGGGGTCAACGTGACCCAGGTCACTCCCTCCCTTCCCCCCTCTAACTTCCCCTCCTCTCCATTTTCCCCCTCTCCCGCTCCCCCTCCTCCAGGTCCATATCTGCTCCAAGCTCTTCCAGCACCGGCACCAGCAGCAGCAAGACTAGCCGAAGGGCGGCAGGCAGGCCCGAGTCTCCTGTGGAGCCCAAGTCCAAGTCCCCTGGGGGGTTCATGTCCCGCTTTGCCAAGAAAGTCGGGCTCAAAGGAGGCAAACCTGCTGATGCTGCTGGTGCTGCTGGTGGTGGTGCTGGTGGGAGTGGAGAGAAAAGGGGTGGGAATGGGAATGGAGGGGAGGGAGGAGGAGCTTTGCCTCCTGAGCTGATTCGCATGCGGCAGCAACTAGGGGTACGTGCCCGGTTGTTTCTCCCCTTGGTTTCTCTCCTATCCTATTCTTCTTCCCGTACAACCATCTATCCAACCCCGTTCTCCCCTTGCTTCTTGGACTTGTATCCGTCCAACTTCTGCCACCATCTACTTTTGCCTTCTACTTCTTCACATCAAGTTGCTGTAGGAATTCATTTTTGAGGAGTCTATTTTTCAAATAGACTCCTAGGCGCCTCAAAAATACTTTTACCTCCAGCTTCTTCACATCCAGTTGCAGTAGGAATTCCGTCGCTTTCTGCTTCCACGTTTAGGGTTTCAGGTCTTCAACACCCTCTCTTTCCTCCTCTCTTTCATCCTCTCTTTCATCCTCTCTTTCCTCCTCTTTTTCCTCCTCTCTTTCCTCCTCTCTTTCCTCCTCTCTTTCCTCCTCTCTTTCCTCCTCTCTTTCCTCCTCTCTTTCCTCCTCTCTTTCCTCCTCTTTTTTCTCCTCTCTTTCCTCCTCTCTTTCCTCCTCTCTTTCATCCTCTCTTCATCACCTGTCCATTCCTCTCCTGCGGCCCTGCTTTCCTGTGGGGCCCCCCTTTTTAGCAGGCACCCGAGTCTATTTTTGGCAGGCCCCCCTTTTTAACAGGCACCCGAGTCTCTCCACTCTCTCCTCTCAGCAATCTTCCTCCTTCCCCTGTCCCACACACTCGAAACGAAATGACATCTCCATCAGCCCCATCCCCATCCCTGCTTCCCTCTCCCCCCCATCACCAGGTACCCGAGTCCCTGCACTCGCTCCTGCTCCCAGCCATCTTCCTCCCTCCCCTCCCCTGTCCCACACCGTCGAATCGAAATGCCATCCCGCTTCAGCCCCTCTGCTTCCCTCTCCCCCCTATCACCAGGTACCCGAGTCTCTGCTCCCAGCCATCTTCCTCCCTCCCCCATCACACACTGTCGAAATGCCATCCCCCATCAACCCCCTCTCTCTGGTGCAGCAGCCGCGGCAGATAGTCCGTCCTATCTTCAACCTCTCTCAAATCCTTTCCACCGTCCCTGCTTCCCTCCCCGTATCACCAGGTACCCGAGTCTCTGCCCTCGCTCCTCCTCTCCGCCATCTTCCTCCCTCCCCCGTCCCACACCGTCCAATCGAAATGCCATCCCCAGCAACCTCCTCTCGCTGGTGCAGCAGTCGTGGCAGATAGTCCGTCCTATCTTCAACCTCTCTCAAATCCTTTCCACCGTCCCTGCTTCCCTCCCGTATCACCAGGTACCCGAGTCTCTCCACTTGCTCCTCCTCTCGGCAGTCTTCCTCCCCCCCCCGTCCCACACAGTCGAGATGCCATCCCCCATCAGTCCTCTTGCCGGTGCAGCAGCAGTGGCAGCAGCAGCCGCCATCCCTCCCCTCCCTCTCCCGCTCTGCCTCCTCCTCCACCTCTCCCCCATCCCCTCCTCCCTCTCCTCCTCCTTCTCCCCGGGTGTTGGCACTCTGAAGTCCGCAGCTTCTTCTCTTGCTGCTTCGTTCGCCTCATTGTCTCCAGACGTGCGCAGAGCGTTCTACCTCAGACAGGTGAGAGAGCCGCCTCAAAACACTCCTCCTTCTCCTCCTCCTTCTCACATGGAGTTGGCTACTGCCTCATTCTCCTCACTATCTCCAGACCTGCGCAGAGCCTTCTACCTTAGACAGATGAGCATCCCTTTTGAGGCTGCTCAAAACCTTTCTCCCTCTCTTCTTCTCCCCTGACATTGACACTCAGAAGTCGGCTGCTGCATTACTTGCTGCCTCATTCTCCGCCCTCTCTCCACACTGCTTTTGAGGCGTCTCAAAAGCCGCCTCAAAAGCAGCCTCAAAAGCAGTCCGCTGCTGCATCCCTTGTGGGCTCATTCTCTGCGCTGTCTCCAGACCCGCACAGGGCGTTCTGTTTGAGGGAGGTATCTGTTTGTTTCTCTTGTATTTGTATAGATATGTGCAATTTTTTGTGTGGAAGTGCCACAGTTCTCAAATATCTCACATGCACACCTTTTGCCTCATTCTGCATTTGGCTTCTCCTCTCCAATCCACCCTCGCCTCCTTTTGAGTCGACTCAAAGCATTCTGCATTTTGCTTCTCCTCTCCAATCCACCCTCGCCTCCTTTTGAGTCGACTCAAAAGCATTCTGCATTTTGCTTCTCCTCTCCAATCCACCCTCGCCTCCTTTTGAGTCGACTCAAAAGCATTCTGCATTTTGCTTCTCCTCTCCAATCCACCCTCGCCTCCTTTTGAGTCGACTCAAAAGCATTCTGCATTTTGCTTCTCCTCTCCAATCCACCCTCCCCTCCTTTTGAGTCGACTCAAAAGCATTCTGCATTTTGCTTCTTCATTCCAACCCACCCCTCGCCACCTCTCACCACCCCAGGTGAAGCTGCTCCAGGAACTGCTGCTGGATCTGACAGGCACAGCAAAGAACCAGGGAGCAGAGAAGGGAGGAGAAAGAGGAGGGGTAGGGGAGGGAGACGAGTGTGCTGAGGTGGCAGCCTCTTTGGACGCCATGCTGGCACTTGTCAAGGTGAGCTGGGCGCTGGTGCTATCTCCCACCCGTGCATCCACAGTCACATGCTCGGAGTGTCAGTCAGCTCCCTAAACCTGCACCCTCCTTTTCCGCTTTCCCCCATGCTTTTGCCCCCTTCCTGGTCCCATTCACTCCTATCCTACCGAGTTAGGGCCACCGGGTCATCACCCCTCCATTGAGGCCAAAGGCTCAGTGGTCGCTCTTCTTGAGAATACCACTTGGTGGTGGTTTTAGCCATACGTGGCAGCGGGCTGTAAAACACTGTTGTTTTGTTGGTCATCACCCCTCCATTGAGGCCAAAGGCTCAGTGGTCGCTCTTCTTCGTCACCTTTCCCCCCTCCTCTCCCCCTCCTCTCTCCCTCCTCTCTCCCTCCTCTTCCCCTCCTCTCCCCCTTCCTCTCCTACCCATGGACCCACACTTTTTCGAGTTCTCCCAGGGCCACGCGTTCATCACCTGGCCCCCATCATTCGAGGCCACATGGAGCCGCCAGGCGATGATCTTTGCTGTTCTGCCCAACCCTCGCCCCCGTCATCCCATGTCCCTTCCTTCCGCTCCCTCTCCTACCCCCCAATCCCATCCAGGGCCACGAGTTCATCACCTCGCCCCCATCCTTCGAGGCCAAGTGGAGCCGGAAGCTGAGCGAGCTGCGCTGGCTGCTGGTGGGGGGATTCGCCTGGGGCGGCAGGAGAGGGAACGCAGCAGCATTGGCTGCAGCAGCAAGCAGCAGCAACGCCAGCCATGGCAAGCAGCTGCCCGTGCTGCCTGGTGCCTGGTGCCCCTCTAGGGCGAGCTTGAATGCTTCGCTTTACCATCGGCTGCTGTCTGCGTGCTGTGATCCCTCGGACTCAGCCTCCTTCAACGACCTCCTCTTTGTAAGCACAGCATGCAGCAACAATCCCACTGGTGGCGATCTTGGCAAGCAATTGCCTGTGCTGCCTGGTGCCTGGTGCCTGGTGTCTGGTCCCTGGTGCCTGGTTCTGGTGCCTGGTGCCTGCTGCCTGGTGTCTGGTGCCTGCTGCCTGCTGCCTGCTGCCTGCTGCCTGCTGCCTGCTGCCTGCTGCCTGCTGCCTGGTGCCTGGTGCCTGGTGCCCACAGCAAGCAGCAGCAGTGCTAGTGGTGCCTGCTGTACCATCAGCCTTCTTTTTTTAAAATGCTGGTTTCAACTTCTGCTTATCGTTGCTTCTACCGTTTTTGTTGGCTTGGATTCTGCCCCGCTCCTGTGGCTTCCCTCCCCACCCCTCTCCTATTATATGCAGGAGATGGAGGAGAGAGTGGAGGCCCTCAGATCCACGTGGCAGCCTCTGGGAGTGACACCTGTCACACACAGTGCCCTGCAAGCGTGGACTCTCTGCCACAAGGTGCGGTGCGTGCACAGTGACAGGAAAATGCGCCTTCAGAAGTTCAGATGGCCTTTCACAAGGAATAATAAACCCCAGAACTCACTAGTCGGATCCACTGCAATCTGCTGCACTTGTTCTTGAGAATTCTAAAAAACTAAACACATTCAGACGGCCTTTCACAAGGAATATTAAACCCCAGAACTCACGAGTCGGCTCCACTGCAATCCGCTGCACTTGTGACCGCTACTGTGTGTCATATGGATCCCCCTCTCTCTCGCCTTCTTGGGCCCTCTTGTCCTTCTGTCTTTCCGTCTGTCGTTCTGCACTTTGTCTTTCTTCCCATGCCCCTTTCTGCCCCTTTCTGCCCCTTTCTGCCCCTTTCTGCCCCTTTCTGCCCCTTTCTGCCCCTTTCTACCCCCTTCTGCCCCTTTCTGCCCATTTCTGCCCCTTTCTGCCCCTTGCTGCCCCTTTCTGCCCCTTTCTGCCCCTTTCTACCCCTTTCTGCCCCTTTCTGCCCCTTTCTGCCCCTTTCTGCCCCTTTCTGACCCTTTCTTCCCCTTTCTGCCCCTTTCTCCGTATCATCCACATCTCTGGATTGCCCATGTCCCTCCCCTCCCCCATCCCCCCCACAGGCCTCAGTTCCCACTCTCCCTCACCCACCACACACACCACTATCACCATCACCATTAACGGCTCAGCTGCAGCAGCTCCTACGAATCAGAGCAGTGCTTCCTCTCATCTATGTTCCTCCCTTCTCCCCCATCCCCCCCACAGGCCTCAGCTCCCACTCTCCCTCACCCACCACGCGCACCACTGTCACCATCACCATTAACGGCTCAGCAGCAGCAGCTTCTGCCAATCAGAGCAGTGATTCCTCTCATCTGCCAATCACTGCGCCGCCTGCCACCTACTGCCTGTGCACGACCACCATCATCATCAACAGCAGCAGAAACAGCACCAGCCGCAGCAGCAGATGGCAAAGAGGAGCCTTCAGCGAAGGTTCCGCTTCGGCCGTTTGTGCAGTCAGTGTCTCGATTCCTGTCGTCGCTCTTGAGTGACTACCACCACACCCTGCTGGAGGTGAGTGGTTATCACCCGCCCCCTGGCTTGAGTTGAATCCGCAGCTGTATGCCTTTTTTACCTCGCATAATTCCTGTTCTCCAACCCATGCATCTCAACCCCAAACCCATGCATTCCTGTGAATCATCAGACCCCCATCGCCAGTGGTACCGGCATGAGTGCGGATGGGTTGGCAGCACTGGAGTCTGCGCTGGACTCATACAGTACAAGTGCTGCTGTGGTCTGCCTCCTGCTGCTCTCCCATACCCCACCTAGCTCAACCCCCTTCTCCTGCCCCTTCCCCTGCCCTTTTCTCCGCCTGAACCTTCTGGGCCCCGTCGCCAGTGGTACTGGCATGGGTGCAGATGGGTTGGCAGCACTGGAGTCTGCCCTGGCCTCGTTCTTCTGCTACTGTGATCTACTGTCTGTCGCTCTTACATAACCCACCTACCTCCCCTCCCATACGCCTCTGCCTCTTCTTAACCCCGACCCCTGCCCCTTCAGGCCTCCAGCGCCAGTGGCAGTGCTATGAGTGCGGATGGGTTGGCAGCACTGGAGTCTGCCCTGGACTCGTACCTCTGCTGTTGTGCTCTGCTGCCTATTGCTCTCCACCTACCTCCCCTCCCATGCGCCTCTGCTTCTTCTTTACCCCGACCCCTGCCTGGTCAGGCTTCCAGTGCCAGTGGCAGTGCGATGAGTGCAGATGGTTTGGTGGCATTGGAGTCTGGCCTGGGCTCACACCTCTGCTGCTGTGATCTGCTGCCTATTGCTCTCGCATACCCCACCTACCTCCCCTCCTGTATGCCTCTGCCTCTTCCCTACCCCGATCCCTGCCCATTCAGGCTTCCAGTGCCAGTGGCAGTGCCATGAGCGCGGATGGGCTGGCAGCACTGGAGTCGGCCCTGGACTCGTACCTCTGTTGTTGTGATCTTCTGGAGGCAGGCAGGAAGAGAAACAGCCACAGACACACGGTAAGAGGGGAGGAAGGGTTACAGGAGGGGGAGTGAGTGGCTGTTTTTTAGGTGTCTTAAAACGCGTTCTACTGGGTGCGCTGGAGGTGCTCATGAGGGCAAGCAGCTTTGGAGTCTGCCCTGGACTCGTAACTGTCCTGCTGTGATCTTCTGGAGGCGGGAAGGAAGCGGAACAGCCACAGACACACAGTGAGGAGGGGAAGGGGGAGGGCAGGGGGGGTTGGGGGGGCGACAGAAAAGTGTGGGGGAGGGGATAGGGGAGGTTTTGACGCGTTTCAGCTGTTGTTCCTTCTTGTGATGACAAGCAGCACTGGATTCTGCCCTGGACTTGTACCTGTGCTGCTGTGATGTGCTGGAGCTGGGCAGGAAGAGGAGTAGCCACTGATACATGGTGAAGGGGGGGGGGCATAAGGGGGAGTGCGGGAGAATGTTTTAGACGTGATGCATGCCGATGACGTGCTGTGCCAGTTGTTTATAGCTGTGTCGCTGTGTCTCCTTTTGTGCTTTGTTCGCTGTTTCTCCTCCAGACTCCAGGAGCACCAACTGCAGAGCGAGTGGAGGAGGTACTCGAGTTCGTGCACATGTCTGTCCTCTCCTCCTTCGATCGCACCTGCCTCGACGGCAGCAGTGGCTCATCAAGCCCAGCAGCATGCACAGGACGAGTGCGCAGGATCTAAGCGCCTTGGTCTCTGAGCTGCCCTAAAAGCCGTGCATGTGTATTTGCATGTGCGTGCTTTGTTCACCCTTTTTTCCCCAGGCCCAGGGGGAGCACCAAGTGTGGAGCGAGTGGAGGAAGTACTCGAGTTTGTGCACATGTCAGTGCTCTCCTCCTTCGACCGCGCCTGCCTCGATGCCATGGCAGCGGCTCAAGCCCAGCAGCACGCACAGGACGAGCGCGCAGGATCTACCTCCCCTTCCTCCTCCCTTTCCCCCACTAATCGACCCAACGCCCACAATCCCACAAGTGCCACGAGCAGAGACTTCAGATCATCAGGTTCTAGTGGCGAGGTGGGGTTGGCTCAAATGGCTGAGCTGGCGAGTGTGATCATAGAGAGGGAAGCTGGGGGTATGGGGGGGAGGGGAGACGGGCGAGCAGGAAAGGGAGGAGGAAGAGGAGGGGGAGGGGGAGGAGAGGGAGGGACGCCAAAGGGTGGGTGCTGTGCGGTGTTTCAGAGGCTGGGGGTGTTTGGCACAGCGGCAGTGGCAGCAGCAGCCCTGCACCAACAGCTGGACTCACAGCTAGTGAGTGGACGCAAGGCTTGGCTAAAATAATCTCTGAAGCTACCTAGCTAATCTAGGGCGGTTTAGGCCGACTGCCATGGAAGACCGCTTAGGGTTTAGGGCCCCGTCTTTACTCCTTTTTCCCAAACTGTGTTCTCCCTCTCCAAATACAAAACACCCATTATTAGGACCCGTTTCTCTCGGTGGTATCAGAGCTGCACCCCGGCTGCTGCAAGGTGTTCTCTGCTGTGGACGCCTTTGACAGGCGCGTGCTCCAGGTGGTGGGGTGATTCATATATGATTTGACTTATGCCCCTATCTCAAACCCACCCACTTCCCCCCCCCAACACCTCAACACCGCCTGCATTCCAACTTTCCAGGACCGCTTTCTGTCAGTGGCATCAGAGCTATCGGACTGCTGCTAGGTGCTCTCTGCTTTTTCAGGCAGGTTCAGCGTGCAGTGGCTGATACACATATGTCTCATACCCCTGTCCCTCCCCCCCCCAAACTGACCCTCCAGGATCCCTTCCTATCAGTGGTATCAGAGCTACACCCCGACTGCTGCAAGGTGTTCTCTGCGGTGGATGCCTTTGACAGGCGCGTGCAGCAGGTGGTGCAGCTAGAGGTGCGGGCGGAGGAGGAGAGGGCAGCAGTAGGAGGAGAGGGAGAGCGGCACGGGGGATACGGCCATGCTGCACAAATTGCCAGCGAGCTGAACGCTTATCAGGTAAGCCCCCCAAAAAGTTTGGACGCCTTTGACAGGCGCATGCAGCAGGTGGTGCAGGGGGGGGTTAAGGGCGGAGGAGGAAAGAACAGCTCATGCAGAGGGGCTTGGGGGTTACGGCCATGCGGCGCAGATTGCCAGCGAGTTTGAACCCATACCAGGTAGGTTCTTGACAGGCGCATGACGCAGATTGTGAAGGGGTGAGTGTGGGCGGAGGAGGAGAGAACTGCAGCTGGGGGGGCGCGCACAGAGGATACGGCCATGCGGCTCAGACTACCAGCGAGCTTAATGCATACTGGGTATGTCTGTGACAGTTGGGTGCGGCACTGTAGGTGGTGCAAGGGGAGGTAAGGTGCAGAGCGGAGTGCAGGGGCGGTGGGAGAGCGGCATGGGGGATATGGCCATGTGGCACAGATTGCCAGCGAGATAATCGTCTCCTAGTAAGCCCCCGAGGACTTGAAGTGTGGACGCCTGTGACTGGCAGGCAGGTGCAGCAGTGGTGCAGCAGTGGTGCAGCAGTGGTGCAGGAGGGGGGGCGCAGAGGCGGAGGGACGACGAGTTTGTTCTCTGGCAGACTGTCCCCATGGCTGCACATGCCATCCGCCCCTCCCTCCCTCCCCATCTGCCACGTGATATCTCCTGTTATCTATGTCTCCATCTCTTTTTAGTCGACTCAAAAGCAGTCTTTTTAGTCGACTCAAAAGCAGTCTTTTTAGTCGACTCAAAAGCAGTCTTTTGAGTCGACTCAAAAGCAGATGTCTCCATCTCTTCCTCTGTCCCGTCCTCTCAGATCGACCCTGTGTTGAAGCGTCTGTTCTCTGCCTGGGTCTCGTCCCAGCAGCAGAAGCTGCACGATGCTACGAGCCATGCTTCCATCCCCATGGAACTTCCTCTTTATATCTCTCTCCACCACTGTCTGTTCCCGCCCTCTCAGATCGACCCTGTGATGAAGCGGCTGTTCTCAGCGTGGGTGTCGTCGCAGCAGCAGAAGCTGCATGTGTGGTTGGAGAGGGGCGTAGAGGCGGAGGTGAGGTGGGGGGGCTGGGGGGGGAGGTTGCTAATTAGTCAAACTCTGTAGATTTCTTGGGTTGGGGGGGAATTTTCAAACCAACACCCAGCAGTATCGCAGCAGCAGAAGCTGCATGTGTGGCTGGAGGGGTGCGTGGAGGCCGAGGTGAGAGGGTAGGGTGGGGGACGGGGAGGGGGGGGGAGAGGCGGGGGGAGTTGTGTGGTGGGAAGAGTTACTGGCAGCCATATTTTGAGTCGACACAAAAGAGGGGGGGGGGGGAGGTGACTTTTGAGTCGACTCAAAAGGGGAGGGGGGAGGTGACTTTTGAGTCGACTCAAAAGGGGGGAGAGGAGGGGGGAGTTGTGTGGTGGGAAGAGTTGCTGGCAGCCTTTTTTTTTAATACGGGAAATATTAGTGAGGGTAGTGCTGGGGAGTTTGCCGTAAGATAATACGCATCCTAGCAGCAGAAGCTGCTCGTGCGATGAGCCCTGACCTGCTCGTGTGATGAGCCCTGACCTGCTCGTGCTCGTCTTCAGTAATTGTCTTCTTCTTACGCCACCTGTATTTTCCACACCTACCCCTGCTGCTGCAGACATTCGAGCCTGCTTCAGATTCTCTCAAGCACTGTGCATCCGCAGTGGATGCCGTGCGACTGGTGGAGGAGGTAGGTGTGACTGGTGAAGGCCGCTTCTGTGACTAGTTTGCCACCTTACGGCACTCCCCAGCACAGTAGTTTTTTCCCGCCTGGGCCTGTCCCACCGTCTACACAGCAGCAACTCGCGCAACCTATGCCTGTCCCACTACCTACGCTGCAGCAAATCGCGCACAGCAGCAACTCGCGCACAGCAGCAACTCGCGCACAGCAGCAACTCGCGCACAGCAGCAACTCGCGCACAGCAGCAACTCGCGCACAGCAGCAACTCGCGCACAGCAGCAACTCGCGCACAGCAGCAACTCGCGCACAGCAGCAACTCGCGCACAGCAGCAACTCGCGCACAGCAGCAACTCGCGCACAGCAGCAACTCGCGCACAGCAGCAACTCGCGCACAGCAGCAACTCGCGCACAGCAGCAACTCGCGCACAGCAGCAACTCGCGCACAGCAGCAACTCGCGCACAGCAGCAACTCGCGCACAGCAGCAACTCGCGCACAGCAGCAACTCGCGCACAGCAGCAACTCGCGCACAGCAGCAACTCGCGCACAGCAGCAACTCGCGCACAGCAGCAACTCGCGCACAGCAGCAACTCGCGCACAGCAGCAACTCGCGCACAGCAGCAACAGCCTCAGCTTTTGAGTCTGCCTTTGAGTCGACTCAAAAGCTTTTGAGTCTGCTTTTGAGTCAACTCAAAAGCGACATCCTCATGTGCTCCTTCATTGGAAAGGTATCCTCATTCAGCCCCAGGGACGACCTCAAAGTCTCTTCCTCTCCCCCTTATCCCTCCCCACTTCCCGAAAATACAGGTTCTGGAGCAGTTCTTCCGTCTGGGCCTTCCCCCCCGCCTCCCATGCTGCAGCAGATGGTTCACAGCAGCGATACGCTCATGGCGTCGTATGTGGCAAAGATCTCCTCAGTGGGCCCCAGGGACGACCTTAAAGTCCCCCCTCCCCCCCTCACGCGCTTCAAAGAGGATGTGGCTCAGAAGTTAGCCGACAAGGCAGAGAGGAGGGCGGAGAGGGAGGAGAGGGTGCAGAAGGGGAGGGCGGGGTACCTGGAGGGTCTGTGGCATGCGAGAAAAGGGGTGGGAGGAGGGGGAGGGGAGGGGGAGGGGGAGGGAAGGTGGGGGTTCGGGCGGTGGATGCTGTGAAGGCTGCTGCGATTGACGCGCTGACTGTGGGGAAGCTGTGCGTGCGGATAAACACTCTGGAGGTGAGGTGAGGTGAGGTGAGGTGTTGGTGTGTGTGCAAATGAACATTGTAGAGGTGAGCTTAACAGCGTGAGCATTAGGGAGTTGAGTGGGACAGTGTGAGCATTAGGAGGGGGGGGAGGGAAGGTGGGGGGTCCGGCGGTGGATGCTGTGAAGGCCGCGGCGATTGACGCTCTGACTGTGGGGAAGCTGCGTGTGGATCAACACTCTGGAGGTGAGAATCGGGTGAGCGTGCGGTTTTATTTGTACTGTAAAGGCGAGTCTAGAAGTTTGAGTGAGGGCTGTAGATATGGATGCGCGGAGAGTGGGGAAGCTGTGCATGCGGATCAACATGCTTGAGGTGAAAATTAGCCATGCATGTGGGTTAATGCTGTCGAGGCGAGTCTTGAAGTGTAGGCTGTGTTGAGCTGAGTGTGCGGGCTGCTGTTTGTTGAGCTGAGCGTGGGGAAGCTGTGCGTGAGATTAGGGCGTGTGTATGGGTTATCACAGTGGAGGTGAGGTGTGGGTGTGTATGTGGGTTTTTTGTACCGTAGAGGCAAGTCTCGAAGTGTGTGTGGAGGCAGATGCTGATGACGCGTTGAGTGTGGGGAAGCTGTGTGTACGGGTCAACTTGCTTGAGGTGAGGTGTGGACGGGTTTATGCTGTAGGGGCGAGTCTAGGTGCTTGTGCAGGTTGCTGCTGCTGTTGATGCGCTCTTTCATCCCATCTCTTCTCCTTGCCTCTCCGCTTGCTTCCCTCGCACCAGTTTGTGACAGCACAGCTCGATAAGGCGCTCTGCGAGCAAGCGTTGGGACGAGTTACTACAAGTACACTCCACACCTCATCTCCTTCCCTCCCTTCTCCACTCTTCTCCTCTCCCCTTCCATCACTGCTCTTGCTTCCCCTAATCTCCTCTCCACGCCTCTCCCCTTGCACCAGTTTATCACAGCAGAGCTCGATAAGTCCGAGAAGGCTCTCTGTGAGCGTTGGGACGAGTATGCTCCGCACCTCAAGATCGATGACATGGCAGGTGAGCATGCTGAAAGGGCAGGTGAGCATGCTGACAGGGCAGGTGAGCATGCTGACAGGGCAGGTGAGCATGCTGACATGGCAGGTGAACCTAAGCAAGTCCTCATGTAACCCTCAATTCATGTCCCCTTCTCATATGAACTGATGCACTGCTTCTCGAAATCTCCTTATTTTTGAGGTGCCTCAAAAATAGGCTTCTCGAAATCTCCTTGTTTTTCTTCCCCCTCGCTCTTTGCAGCCATTACATAGTGCCTCTTTTCACCTTTGCTCCTCTATCCCCCTCCTGCAGCCCTCGCCCCATCCCAGCTGGACTCTTCTCTCGCCTTCTGACTGTCCACAGCGCGCATTGCAGGGCTCAAGAGTGGCTTTGTTATAGAATAATCTCTTCCCCGCCCTCCCCCTTCCCCTGCTCGCCCTCCACCCTCCTACTCTTGCAGGCTTAGCTCCGTCTCAGGTGACCTCCTCCCTAGCCTTCCGCATGTCTACGGAGGGCATTGCTGGGCTGAAGAGGGGAAGCTTCTTCGAGCAGACCAACTCCCTGACAGCGCAACGCATGCAGACCCTGTCGGACTATCTTGGTGAGTGTGTGTGGGAACGTAACCCTTAGTGACCAACTCCCTGGCAGCAAAGCGCATGCAGAATCTCACAGATTATCATGGTGAGCGGATTAAGTTTGGCATTCCAATCATATTTCTGAGGTGCCTCAAGTCTGGGGCTTCTCGCACAAACCACTCCCTTGTAGTGCAGTGCATGCAAACCCTACCCCTAGCCCAAGGTGGTGTGGTGGGATCTGAGGGAGGCGTACCTGGCATCCCAACCAATCCGTATAGCTCTCCTATTTTTCCTGCCTTGCCCATGCATGCAGCCACCAAGGTTGCATGGTGGGATCTGAGGGAGGCGTACCTGACTCCTGCTGCATAGAACCCTCCCAATCAGAAACAAACCCTCCTCTTTTCCTCCCATGCCCATACATGCAGGCACCAAGGTGGTGTGGTGGGACCTGAGGGAGGCGTTTCTGGAGGAGCTGTACCGTGTGAGTGTGGACTCTTGCCGCATGAGCCACCTCATGCAGAGACTCGACCCAGTAAGTGGGCCGATTATGACTGATTTTTGTGAAGGCGTGAGCATGAGGAGCTGTACCGCGTGAGTGTGGATTCATGCTGCATGAGCCACCTCATGCAGAGACTAGACTAGACCCTGTGAGGAGATTATGGGTTTTACTGCTGGAAGTTTTCCTCCTCCTCGTCCTTGTGGCTGGTGGATTTGTGACATTCAATTGAGCTTATTTCTTAATCTGTAATCGCGGCTGGCTCTCCCTGTTTCAATATCTGCCTCCCATGCCTGGACTCTCTCTAACATGCGTGTTTTCTGATCTGAGTCGACGCAAAAGCAGTTGGCTCTCCTATTTTAGTCTCTTCCTCCCATGCCGGGGCTCTTTCTACTATGTGTGTGTTCCCGGTTGTTGTATCCGCCTGTGTGTATTCTGAAATGGCAGGTGTTGGGGGAGATAGTGGAGACCGTATCCGACTCTCTAAGGGACCATGTTGTCACATCTCTCCTGCACTCTGTTCTGGTACCGATCCTTTCCTGCTATTTATGATCGCACCTTCACTATGCCGTGTTCTTTGATATATTAATCTGTCCATTTTTCGCTGTCCTAAAAATAGACCCTTCCACCTCCACCCTACACTTACACTGGTTCTGCCAGGAGGGACTGCTGCGAGTGCTTCTAGATGGTGGCCCCCTGAGGGTGTTCGCCCAGTCAGACTATGATGCTCTGGAGGATGACCTCCGCATACTCAAGGTGAGAAGCTGGCACGACATGGCATGACATGGCATGACATGGCATGACGTGTTTCAAACACAGTCAGACTATGATGCTCTGGAGGATGACCTCTTGATATTCAAGGCGAGTGCTGTACATGGCATGACATGACGTGACATGACATGAGATGAGATGGCATGGCATGAGATGGCATGGCGTGGCACAGCATAGCATAACATGCCATTGAAAATTATGAGACGACCCGGCAGCTCGCCCTTATATTTGTGCACCCTGCCTCTTCTCCCCCATCCACCACACATCAGGGATTTTTTGTAGCGAGAGGCAAGTGCATCTTTCTTGCACCTTCTCCCTCCCCCATTCCCCCTTCCCCCTCCTTCCCTTCTCCTTGTACCCCAGGAGTTCTTTGTGGCGAGTGGCAATGGTTTGCCTCAGGAGGTGGTGAACAAGGCAGCGGCTCAGGTGCAGCAAGTGCTCAACTACTACTCGCTCGATGTGAGTGCACTGCAGCTAAGGCATCTTTGCTCATGCGCCACCAAAACAAGTGAGGAGGTGGTGAGGAGCCACCAGACCAAGGCAGCAGCTCAGGTGCAGCAAGTGCTCAACTACTATTCCTTTCGATGTGAGCTCGTTGTTGTAGTGTAACGGATATTTTTGTCAAACAAAATATCACCCATAGCTTGTTTGACGGTTCTCAGCAGCTCAGGTGCAGCAGTTGCGTAACTAACTCCCTTGATGTGAGTGCAACACATATGCTGCTCACTTGATGTGCGCCTATCGCACTTGTACTACAGACGCTGTCAACAAAAGTTTACTTTTTCAATTCCATCTCTACAATTCATAACTCATACCTGCGCTCTCCCTTGACTCATGCCCTCACCCATTCCAGACTGCTGACGTCATCCTGGTTTACAAACAATCAGCGGGATCCAGTCAAGCTCCAGGTGGAGCCTTCCGGGCGTCTTCATATGTGAAAGGCGGTGCTGGGCTCACTGGTCACGATGCACATTTGCTCCTGCGTGTGCTCTGCCATAGGGCAGATCGGGATGCTTCGAAGTTCCTCAAGAAGAACATGCACTTGCCGAAGTCATATTAGATGTTAAAATAGGGTACATTGCCAGGCAAGGCCTGTAGGAATGGAGAGATCTAGTCTCCATGTGTAGGCGATCCGAATGTAGGGTGTAGTAGAATCCTGGTAAGAGCTGTACGTGATAGATGTTCTATGTATGGGTAAGCTTAGTGTCTTGTAACGAATCTGATAGTGGTGCATGTGTGCGGCAGTATCAGTATGGACCCACCACCGCCTCCTCGCTCCTTGGAACAAGGTGCTGGCGTGGCTTCAATTGAGGCAGCCATGTCATTCTCCGGCTGTCACGTAACCAAGGCCATGTCCAGGGGCAGACGATATCCGTCAAAATTCGTCGGAGCGAACACCTTTCTCCGTCGCACCTTGGGATTGCCTTCTTCCTCTCCTCTCCACTCCACTGAAGCCTGCGTGCAGGCGGGATCAGGCGAAGAGACATTCTCTAGGTCTTCTCAACTTAGTTCACTCTTCCTAGGCCAGACTCTTCAGCTACTCCGAGTAGGCCTGTGGTCGACAGGCTCGGTACATTCGAAAGCCTCAGCCTCGCTCGCTCGCGTTCCGGACACTTATCTCGTCCGCATTATCGAGCAAGCCATATCGCCGCTGTCGTGACAGTGTTGAACCGGTTAGCCGTTAACCATGGCGTCGTCGTCGTTCACCGGGCGGCTGCAGGTATCGACCGTCGCACGGTCGGTTCCGGCTGCTGCGTCTGTGTCCGTCGCAGGCTCGCTTCGGCAACAGCCTGCTGCTGCTGCGTCGCACGTCCATTCCGCTCACTGCTCGCACGAACCTGGTGAGCGTCGCTTGTCACTCGTCGCTCGTCGCACGTCGCACGAGCCGTATCAACCGCTGGAGAGCTCATGAAAATGGTCGAGATAATCGTGAAGTAGGTGTAACCTTTTTCACATTTTCGCCTTATCATCAGATCGCACGATCAGCGATTGCCTGATCAGCCCCTTGCCTTCTCAACCGCTCGTTGCTAGAAGTCCAGCTAGTTCATCAACAACGATATATATATTCTTGAGGCGCCTCAAAAACAGACTCCTCAACAAATCCGAAGCCCCTCAAAAATCAACTCCGCTTGGTGCCTAGAAATCCAGCTAGTTCATCAGCAACGATAAATAAATTTCCCTGGAAAAGCTGACAGCCTCTCACGTGTCTCACCTCCCTCCAACGCGTTCCTCCTCTAGTGCGTTCCTCCTCTAGTGCGTTCCTCCTCCTCTACTGCGTTCCTCCTCCTCAAGTGCGTTCCTCCTCTAGTGCGTTCCTCCTCTAGTGCGTTGCTCTTTCTCCACAGCAAATGCAAGCGTCACGGCCAAAGAGCACGTTCCCAGTTTTCGAGTCGTCTCATCGCTTACTCGCGGCTGTTTCCTTTCCCTCCACAGAAAATGCGAGTGCCTGCGGAGAACAACCTAGCGATGTCCCCAGCACCTCGAAAACCAACACCAGCAGCACCAGCAGCCGTCGGCAGCTGCTCTGTGGCACGTGCGGGACGGCCATGGCAGCAGCGGTCGCGGCTGTTTCGGGCGATGCGAGAGCGGAAACGCTCCCTGCCCCTTCCTCCAACTCCTCGGTCTGCCGCAACTGCCAGGGAGCCGGCGCTGTTGTCTGTAAGCACCCAACACCCCCGTAACCACCACCCCCCCCACCCCCCCCCACCCCCCCCCTTTTCACACACACACCTCCCCCATCCACTTACCCCTCAACCCTTCCCCCAGTCCCTGTTGCCCTCCTCTCTGCCTGACGGTACCCTTTGGCCCCCCACAACGATTTCTGTTCTCTAAACTATCTCCTGGCAACGTGCAGGGAGTGGGAAAGTTTCGTCAAAGTCATGTTGCTTTGGTCGTTTCACTGAACCGTCCTTTTGCTTCCTCTGTGCTGCAGGTGACATGTGTGGGGGCACTGGAAAGTGGAAGGCAGGGGCTGACGTGCAGGGAGCGGGGGAATCGCTTCAAGGCATGTTGCTTTGATCGGCCCACTGAGCCCTTCTTTTAATGCTTCTGTGCCGCAGGTGACATGTGCGGAGGAACTGGCAAGTGGAAGGCGCTGAACCGCAAGAGAGCCAAGGACACCTACGAATTCACAGAATGCCCCAACTGCTATGGTAAGTTGCTTCTTTTGGTAAGTTTCTGTTCTGTTACCGGTGAGGTCAGGCTCTCGTATTACGCTCTACAAATTGCATGCATGGGTGCGAGAGTATTTTTTAGCAGATGCATGAGGTGTGAACCCAAGAGCAAGCTCCACTGAAGGTTATGAAGCCTACCTTTATCCTCGTCACCCATTGCACCACATTGCACCACATTGCACCACATTGCTCTGCCCTACGGTACTCTACAGGTCGAGGCAAGTTGGTGTGCCCAGTGTGCCTCGGCACCGGAATGGGGAATGCCAAGGGTTTGCTGCGGCGACCCGAGGCAAAGCAGCTGCTGGATCAGATGTATCACGGCCGCCTGCTCCCTCCCTCCTAGGTGCTCAGCAACTTCTGGATACCAGTTGTAGCAGTGAAACCCTCGCTCGTGCACTATCCGTTATTACCTGATTGTGCATCACTGTAGTAGGCTGGCTTTATGTTGATCCAACCAGCATGGTCAGAGTCCCCATGCGTTTGCCTACTCACTAAGTGTATTGCCCATTAGTGAATCTGGTTGGTGCCGACCATATGATGCGTGTTTATAGTGTATGGTAATCATGCAAGCATCCTCAAGTTCTTTTGGTGTAATCCCTATTGTTCTCGACTCGTCACAGAGCTGATACCGGAATCTCATTTCGTGGTTGACTGTCGTCCTCAATTCCAAACCTACACGCCGCTATTGACCGTACCTGCACCAGGCCCCATCGCCGCACCTCGTCCAGTCCTAAGGATGACGTGTTTCGGCCCACTGAACCGACATCTTCTGTGGACCTTCCAGAAGGAGCTCCGGTTCTGGGGGATGCACAAGCGCGAGAAGCTGTCGGGGAGCATCGTCTGACGTGGATTAGATTTGTGATCCGTGGCTGATCAGGGTCAGGCACAAACGGCACGAGTGGCACGTGGCAAATGGTTGCTGGTTCCAGCCTCCCCTCGAATTTGGCCTCGCTCACCACCCATAGGAGTTTTGCTCAAGAAAAAAGTTTAGCTCAGAAACTTACTTGGCAATTGCCTCATTCTAGAACCCCAAATCTGGGATACTGGGTGAACAAACACGAACTGATACAGTTCAAGGGAGGAAGAAAAGAAAGTCTTGAGAACTCGGGCAAGTGCCTGCAACCTCCTGCTCCTCCTCCTGCGTCTTCGATCTTCACCTCGAGATTCCCATTTCTACTGCAGGAACCCATTGCCACCATAATTTCTCTTAGCATCTGCTAGTCGCCGCATCTCGTCCAGAGCGTCGTGTCGTGGCTTGCGTTTCTGCAGCTGAAGCGAGCCATTACCAGCTGCTTCCATCCCCCCAAAATCACGTCTCTTCTGTTTCGTCACGACTCGGGTCTCCCTTCGTCAATCTTCTCTTTTTCCCTGCCATCTCTCCCCGAGCCACAATGCCGTCACACGCCCTTGCCCGAGGGCCTGTCGCCGTTAAGGCGTCTGCTTCGCAGCAGACGCTTCGCCAGGCCGACGCCTCCCAGCTGAGGCCGAGCACACGCTCCTTAGCAGTCCGTGGGTTAAGCCAACCCGGAAATTCGAGACACAGCAGGTTAAGGAGCGTTCAGAGCATCTCTGGGAGCCGATTGGTTAAGTTTAACTCGGTCGCCGGGAAATTGACGCAAACTCGGAGAGTGACGTCAGCAGTGGCGACAACAGATGCGACGACGACGACTGCAGGCGATCGCACAGGTGCGTCGCAATGCAGAGGAATGTGGGTGTTGAAAGGCCCGTACAGGTGCGCTTTGAAAACAGCAATAACGGTTTCACGCCAGTTGGCATCGGCACAGTGGACCCTGCTTCAGCTCAGGTATGGTGCTCTTCCTTGTGAGCATCTTTCCGATTTCTACCGTCGGATTATGCAGCATTCTCGTATTCTTGGAGAGGATTCCGTGCTAACCTCCTTGAAACGTTCGTAACACTTTCCAACACCACCTTCGTGACGTGGCCTTTCAAATCTCTTGACAATTTCGCCTTTGCTTCCCGAAAACCTTCGTTTCTCGTGTTCGTCAGAACCTGGTCATTATGAGTTTCAATTCAATTGCGCTGGTTTGCAATATTTTCCTGCCTTAGGCAACCTCGTAACCATTATCAGTCGCTTCGACGGTGGAGAATCTGGTCATCATTGGCTCAGGCCCGGCCAGAGATACCGCCTCTCATTTTTTGTCAGTTTCCTTGGCTGCCATTCTCCTAAAATCTCCCCTGGCTTGATCTCTTTTCCTTCCTTCGGCCCCCTTTCCAACCTTTCTCAGTCGAAACTACCGTCGAGAATCTGGTGATCATCGGCTCGGGCCCGGCCGGGTACACCGCCGCGATCTACGCTGCGCGGGCGAATCTGAAGCCGGTGCTGTTCGAGGGCGTGCAGGCTGGCGGCGTTCCCGGGGGCCAGCTCATGACCACCACCGAGGTGGAGAACTTCCCGGGATTCCCGGAGGGGATCACCGGCCCCGACCTCATGATCAGGTTCGTTGTGAGGGATCGACGGACATGACACGGGCTGATGCACAGGTGCTATTTGGTCGAAATAGTTTCTGCAGAGTCTGTTTTTGAGGCGCCTCAAAAAAGGTTTCTGCAGAGTCCACGCACAAACGCATGTAAAAACGGATGCAATGCAAGCAAGGGCGAATCCGAAGGCAAACAGGACGCCGGTGCTGTTCCAGGGGGTGCGGGCGGGCGGGCGGGGTTCCCGGGGGCCAGCTCATTACCACCACTGAGGTGGAAAACTTCCCGGGATTTCCGGAGGGGATCACCGGACCCGACCTCATGATCAGGTGCGATTCTTTTTAAAGGTGGGGCGGAGCTCTATAACGAATACGTGGAGTTCGTGGACTTGCAGCCTCGATTTTTTAGGCGCCTCAAAGATCACCTCATGATCAGGTGCGATTATTTTCAAAGGTGGGGCGGAGCTCTATAACGAAGACGTGGAGTTCGTGGACTTGCAGCCTCGCCCCTTTTCCCACCCCATTTCCCCCCCTTCCCCAGTTCGACGACCGGCAGAGGCGATCCCTCACAGCCCATATTCTCAACCCCAATGAGGAGTCTATTTTTGAGGCGCCTCAAAAATAGACTCCCCCCCTTCCCCAGTTCGACGACCTGCGGAGGCGATCCCTCACAGCCCACATTCTCAACCCCAAACCCCCGGATTTCCCCCTGAATGCCCTGTTCAGTCTGCTGCTCCCCCTGCAGAATGGGGCAGCAGGCGGAGCGGTGGGGAGAAGAGGCGCACACAGACGACGTGGATTACGCCGACCTGCAGACCCGCCCCTTCAGAGTAAAATCTTTAACCCCAACCCAACCCAACCCAACCCAACCCTTGGGCTTTCACCCCCTGAACACCCTGTTTCTGCAGAATGAAGCAGCAGGCGGAGCGGTGGGGCGCGGAGCTGCACACAGAGGACGTGGAGTACGTCGACCTGCAGACGCGCCCCTTCACGGTGCGCAGCAGCGACCGGGAGGTGCGCTGCCACAGCGTCATCATCGCCACGGGGGCCACAGCGCGCCGATTGGGCCTCCCCAGCGAGAAAGAGTACTGGTCTAAAGGGATTTCCGCGTGCGCGATCTGCGACGGCGCGAGCCCGATTTTTAAGGGGCAGGAGCTGGCGGTGGTGGGAGGTGGGGACACGGCGGTGGAAGAGGCGCTGTACTTAACTAAGTACGCTAAGCACGTGCATCTGCTGGTGCGGCGGGACGTGCTGCGAGCCAGCAAGGCGATGCAGGACCGGGTGTTTAAGAACCCGAACGTCACCGTGCACTTAAACACCTTGCCGGTCGACGTGGTGGGGAACGACAAGGGGCAGATGGCGGGGCTTAACTTGAGAGACGCTGCGACTGGGGAGGAGAGGATTCTGCCCGTGAAGGGGCTGTTTTATGGCATCGGGCACAAGCCGAACAGTGACCTGCTGGCGGGGCAGGTGGAGCTGGATGGGAGTGGGTACGTGGTGGTGAAGGACAATGCTGTGGAGACGTCGGTGCCTGGCGTGTTCGCTGCTGGCGATCTCAAGGTGAGACTTGGTTACTGGTTCGGCTTTACCGTGGGTTAGTGTCGACCACTCCTTGCGTGGAGCTGGACGGGAGTGGGTACGTGGTGGTGAGGGACAACGCCGTGGAGTCGTCCGTTCGTGGCGTGTTGGCTGCTGGTGACCTCAAGGTGAGCTGTGACCCCTGCTCGATCATGTCTGGTCTGGTCCACCCTCCATGCCATACCCAACTCACCATCGTCCTTCCATCTTCCTCCCCCTCATCACAAGCTGTCCGTCTCCTCCCGCTCACTCTCTCCCTCCCTCTTCCTCTCTGCTTCTTTTTACCACACCTCTCCCTCTCACCCACCGTCGGGACCACAAGTGGAGGCAGGCCACCACAGCTGCAGCATCCGGGTGCATGGCAGCGTTGTTAGCGGAGCGGAAATTTACCTCCACTTCCTCCCACTCTCTCCCTCGCCTTCTATCCTCCTCTTCCCCTCTCTTTCTCACCACCAGGACCACGAGTGGAGGCAGGCCATCACTGCAGCAGCGTCAGGGTGCATGGCAGCGCTGTCAGTGGAGCGGTATCTCACCTCCAACGACCTGCTCATCGAGTTCCACCAGGTGAGACGCAGCCTGAGGGCTTGAGGTGTTGAACACAGCACTAAGGCCATAGGGGGAGCAGCAGTAGCAGCTGTAGCGTTGGGCTGCATGGCAGCGTTGTCGATGGAGCAGTACCTCACCTCCAACGACCTGCTCATCGAGTTCCATCAGGCGAGACGCAGCCTGAGGGCTTGAGGTGTTGAACACATGTCTAAGGCCATAGAAGGAGGAACAGCAGCAGCATCGGGGTGCATGGCAGCTCTGTCGGTGGAGCGGTACCTTGCCTCCAACGACCTGCTCATCGAGTTTCACCAGGTGATTGAGAGGGCTTCTAGGGAAGCACGGCGAGCTATTTCATCCAGAAATTAGCTATTGACACTAAAATAAGGTACCGAGCAAGAAATTTATTTACAAACTAAGTGTTTTTACAGACCCGCTGCCATGTGCGGCTAAGACCACTAAGTGGTGTTCTCTGGAGGTGGTGGCGAAGAAGCAGCTCAGAGAGGAGAGCATGGAGGAGAGGCTTGAGTTGTCTCTCGCATACCCACCCCTCCCGCCTGCTCACCTCTCCTTCCCCCCATGGCTTCCCCTCCTTCTCCAGCACTTGCACGTTCTCTTACGCGAGCAGGAGGTGGGGGTGGTGGAGCAGAAGGAGCTCACGGAGGAGGATGTGGAGGAGAGGTTCGAGTTGCCTCTCACACTCCTAACCCTCCCTCCCTCTCACCTTCTCCCCTTGTTCCCCCCTCCTCCCCATGCACCTTTTCTCTCTTGGCGAGCAGAAGGAGGTGGAGGTGGTGGAGAAGAAGGAGCTCACAGAGGAGGACGTGGAGGAGAGGTTCGACCCGCTGCTCACGCGGCACAAGGGGCAGTACGCCCTGCGCAAGCTCTACCACGAGTCCAACCGCCTGATTGGCGTCATCTACACGTCTCCTACCTGCGGCCCCTGCAGGACGCTCAAACCCATGCTGGCTAAGGTACGTGATGGGGTAGGGTTGGGGCCTGTATTCCGCGATGCTCACGTGGCACAAGGGGCAGTGTCTCGCAGTGCCCACGTGGCACAACGGGCAATGTCTCACAATGTCCACGTGGCACAAGGGGCAGTATCCTTGAGTGCTCACAAGGTCTTATTCGCACTCACAATCAAGCCGCCCCGCTTCATTGGCATCATCTTGGCTTTTCAGTTCCACTGGCAGATCCACTGGGTGGAGATTGGGATCCAGGAGGACTCCGAGATTGGTGCTAACTTTGTATCTGACGAGTGCTGTTGACTGGCGTTGACTCCTGTTGACCTCTGTTGACCTCTGTTGACTGGCGTTGACCCCTTCGCACTTGCAGGTGGCGGAGGAGTTTGACCGGCAGATCCACTGGGTGGAGATTGTCATTGAGGAGGACCCCCAGATTGATGCTAACAATCCATTGGCTCCCGTTGACCTCTGTTGACTCTCATTGACCCCTGTTGACTGGCAGGTGGTGGAGGAGTTTGACCGGCAGATCCACTGGGTGGAGATCGACATCGAGGAAGACCCTGAGATTGCTGAGGCTGCGGGAATCATGGGGACACCCGTAGTGCACTTTTTCAAGAACAAGGAAAAGATCGAGTAAGTGCTTGTATCTGATCTTGCTGAGTAGTCTATCTGAACCCTAGGTTGATCTCCGAGGTGTTTCAAAGCTGCGGGAATTATGGGCGTTGGCTGTGGATTTCATTATGCCCTACCTCCTCGCACTCGTCTCCTTCCCCTTTGCAACTACAACAAATATCATCCGCACTTCCCGACCCCACTGACTTTGAGTGGACTCAAAAGGCACCCCCCATTGCCCCACTCCAGTGATGTCAAGGGTGCGAAGATGAGGCTGAAAATGAACTGAGGAGGACAAGTAAGGCGGTACTAGACAGCAAGCATATCCCTCACCCCCCCCCCCCCCCCCTTTTCCCCCTTGCTCCCCCCTCGCCCATTTTCAGTGAGATCAAGGGTGTGAAGATGAAGAAAGTGTACCGGGAGTTTATCGAGTCACACAAGTAAAGCATTTCTCCCGGGAAGGAAAAAAAAACAGGTTTTGGGCAGCAGAACTACTGAGAAGAAGCAGCAAAAGCTGCTCAACACAACCCAACCCAACCCAACCCAATCATCCCAGTACAAGCGAACCCAACCCAACCCATCCCATCCTTCTTCAAACCCATCCAGCCTATCCCAACCCAGCTGGGAGATCAGTGTGACAACTTTGTCGCAACCAGTTGCATAGTAACCTGTCCATTGCCACCTTATTGTGTAAGCATGTCCTCCTTGTCTGGTAGAAGGAATGTTCAGTCAATAATATGATGTATTCTAAAACTACTGTAATTGCTTTGCAATTGATATATGCTACGCTGGAAAAGTGAGTGCGCATATTCAAATTTCTTTACATTATTGCGTAATTAATGAATGGAATGTTTGTATTTCATTCAGAAATAGCAGCAGGCGAGTCTATAAGTGCACGACAACGCCCGTCAAAACTTCAACCTTAGTACTGCTACCCAGTATCTCCCTTTCGCCCCACTTAGCTCCATTTTGCACATGGAGAAACTCGACCCACTCCTTGCAAAAGCTGGCAGCTCACCCCAAAACCTATCTCTTACTACCCGATAATACACTGTCCCTTGGGTACTGTTCCTCATGCCACGTCAGCTTCATCATTATCCGCAATCTGCTGACCAATCACTTGCGCCCTACTCACATCTGCTACCCCAGACAAGATGTCATCTACGAACGATGATCCTGCCTTCGCTGCTCTCAACTGCTGCTGCTGGTGCTGCTGCTGGTGCTGCTGATGCTGGTGCTGGTGCTGAAGGGAAGATTGATGGTGCTGTGCACTGCTTCTACTGCTGCTGCTGCTCCCTGTGATCCCAGGCCTAGCCGTGATGCCCGGGGGACGTGGGGCCCGGACCAGAGGCACAGGTTCGGTGGGTGCTTGCTTTCTGCCTACACTCTTGCTCCTCTCCAACCCACCTCCGCCTCCCCAGTCCAGCCCAGAATCTTTATCGTTCCCCTCTAATCTTCCCCCTCCCCCTCCCCCTCCCCCTCCCCTTCCCCCTCTCTCTCCTCCTCCTCCCCCTCCTCCGCCTCTGTTTCCCCCACCAGCGGGCCCCCAGTCAAGCCCCAGCTCTGCAGGAGACGTGGCACGGTGGGGTCGTTTGGACTGTAGCATGCTGCCAGCTGGCATCTCGGCTGCTGCTGCTTCACGCTGCCTCTTGCGGCTCTCTGCTGCCGACGCTGGTGGCGGTGGTATTCTTGTGGCTGTGGATGGGGTTGAACCAGGACGAGCACCAGCAGCAGAAGTAGCAGCAGCAGCAGAGGTTGCAGAATCGGTTCCTGTTCTTCCAACCAGAGTAGCTCGGCTTTTCTCCACAAGATTAGCCCACTTCGACGGAGCTTCACGGGGAGAAGGCCCTTGAGGTTTTTGTTGCTGCTGCTGCTGCTGCTGCTGCTGGCTCTGGTGATGGGGTGATTGCTGGCGCTGACCCTGCTGGTAGTGCTGCTGGTGCCGCTGCTGCTGCTGGTTAGAGGAGGGCGCATGGTGCTGCTGGCCACTGCGATTCTGCCCATCACCAGTGCTCTTCTTCTCTCCTTCCCTCGCGCACACTCTCTCCCTCTCTCTTGATCCTGATCTACTTCTATCCCGCATCCTCTCTCTTTCGCTCTCCCTTATCCTCTCAGTCTCCCGCGCCCTATCCCTATCTCCTTCCCTCCCCCTCTCCCCTCCTCTCCCCTCCCGCATCCTCATCTCCCTCCGCCGTCTCTCAGCCTCTCGCTTCACCCCGCTCACTCGCTGCCTCGCATCCCCCTCTCGCCTGAGACACCACATGAAGAACCCCTGACTGCCGTCCTGGATCCACACGCTCGTTTTCAGCTGCTTCACCACCTCTGGGATGTCGAATACCCGCTTCTTCTTTTGATCTGATGATGTTACAGACGCCCTCTCCCTGCCCCTTTCCGTATCCTTGTCTCTCTCCCTGCTCCAATCCCTGTCACCAGTTCTTCCCCTGTCCTTGTCTCCTTCTCTCTCCCTGTCTCTCTCCCTGCCTCTTTCTCTCCTCCCATCCCTCGCCCTGTAAATATCCCTTTCCCAACCTCTCTCCCCATCTCTTTCCCTGTCCCTGGTCCTATCCCCATCCCTCCGGACCATCCTTTCCTCGCCTTCTCTCCCCCTCTCCCAGCTCCCCGATTCCCTTGCCTTCCGACCGCCATCAGTGGGCGTCGCCCCATGCTCCCTTTCCAAGTCTGTCACTGCTTTCCTTAACGTTGCTTCATCCCCTCTCGCCCTCTGCCCCACTTTTGGCTCCAACACCGCTCCTTGCACTCTATCCCTACCGCCTCCCCCACCCCCTGGTTCTGCACCAGGCACCTGTTTTTCCCCACTCCCTGACACCTCCTCTCTGCCTTCCCCTCCCTTCATCTGCTCTGGCCCTGCTCCTGCATGCGCACGTGCTTGCTCTGCTGCTCTTCCAGCCACTGCTGCTTCCACTGGTGGTTTTGACTGCGCTGCTTGTTTTTCCCCACTCCCTGACACCTCCTGTCTGCCTTCCCCTCCCTTCATCTGCTCTGGCCCTGCTCCTGCATGCGCACGTGCTTGCTCTGCTGCTCTTCCAGCCACTGCTGCTTCCACTGGTGGTTTTGACTGCGCTGCTTGTTTTTCCCCACTCCCTGACACCTCCTCTCTGCCATCACCTCCCTTCAGCTGCTCCGGCCCTGCTGCTGCATGCGCACGTGCTTGCTCTGCTGTTGGTACTGCTAGCCTTGCTTGTGCGTCTGCCCTTGCGTTCGCCTGTGCTGCTGCTTCTGCCTGTGCCGTTGCTGCTCTTCCAGGCACTGCTGCTTGCACTGGTGGGTCTGCCTGTGCTTCCGCAGGTGCTATTCTCTCATCCTCTGTTGTTGCACCTTCTGGCATTGCTGCTATTGAAGGTGACTTGGCTTGTGTCGTTGCTTCTCCCCCAGTTGCCATTGCTTCCCTTGCTACTTGTATTGGTGGTGACTTGGCTTGTGCTGCGGCTGCTGGTGATTGCACCCTCGTCTGGCTTTCTCTAACCATGTCTACCCCACCCCCATCCTGCACTCCCTTGTGCGCCAGCCCCTTCCCCTTGGCCTTTTCACCCTCAATCACCACGTGCTTTCCCTGCTCAAGCTCGCTCCCCCTCTTGCACTCTCCCTCACTCTCTGCCTTGCGTCTTTCAGCAGCCCCCGTGTCTTCTTCTCCCTTCCTTTCCTCCTCAACTGCTTCCCCAATCCTAGCCTCCCTGCATTCAACTCTCGTACCCCTGTGCTGTGCCCCCTCCTCTCTACGCTTCACCTTTTCATGGACTCCCTTTCCTCTCTCCTTGTCCTTCTCCCCTTCCTCGTCCGTATCTCCCCTTTCCTTCCTCGCTCTCTTTGTCTCCTCCCTCGCTCTTTCCTCCTCGAGTTGCCTTTCCTCGTTTTCTCTACCCTGCGCGTCCCTTTCACCTCTCTCACGCCTCCCCTCCCCTCCTCGTCTCCTCTCCCCTTCCTCTCCTCCCTTCCTCCTTCCCTCCTCCCCTCCATCCCGCCCCCTTCCCCCGTCCTCTCCTCCCTTCCGCCCTCCCTCCTCCCCTCCACTCCTCCCTGTCTCTGGCAGGAACCTCAAATCAGCCCTCTCCCCTCTCACCAGCCCCTCCCTATACGGCCTCCTCGCTGTTAAAACCACTCCTCTCTCCCTAGCATCACACAGCAGCGCACACCACGGCTTGCTGTGTGCCAGCGTTGCTGCATGCCCCAGTATCCAGAGCGCTTTCCTGGCTCTGGTCAGAGCCACGTTCATCCGCCGTTCATCTGCCACGAATCCAACGGTCCTCCTCTCTTCTCGCGACGGTCGCTCGCCGTTGGTGGGTTTTCCAAGGGGAGAGGAGGAAGGGAAGGAGGATGAGGAGGGGTGGTTAGAGGAATGGTGAGAGGAGTAAGGGTGGGAGGAGGAGGGATGGGAGGAGGGATGGGAGGAGGATCGGAATGAGGACGAGTAGGGGGCGAAGGAAGTAGGAGATGCACGGACGGTAGAGAAGATAAGGATATCCACCTCCCTCCCTTGAAAACCATCCACTGTGTTAAACTCAATGTCTGCAGCAGCACCGCGCCCCAGCGCTCGGCTAAAAGTGTCTCTTAGCAGGTACAGCTGCTGCTTGTAGGGAGTGATGACACCTACTCTGCCTGGCGAACACTCCTCAGGGAATCTGTGATTCAAACGTGCAGGTAGGAGTAGGGAAACCCGAGTTGTGTTGAGGCAACTGACAGCTGCTGCTTGCACAGCGTGGTGCAGGTAAGAAGGCGAGTTCTGCCTGGCATCCTCCACATCTTTTTTGAGGCGCCTAAAAAACCCACCCCATCATCCACATCAAACACAGCATATGGCAGCAACGGGACTGTAACAACAACAACCTGAAAAAAGTCTTACCGCTGTTGGAGCAAGCGGAAGAGCTCCACAGCAGCAGCCGTCTCCCCTTCGTTGCGCAACGAAGGCGCCCCTGCTGGTCCCCTGGTCCTCTCCACCCCATCCTCCACATCAACCACAGCGTATGGCAGCAGTAGGGCCATAACAACAACGTAAAGGGATTCTCACCACTGCTGCAGCAGACAGAAGAGCTCCACAGCGGCCGTTGCTTCGCCCTCGTTGCACAGCGAAGGCGCCCCTGCTGGTCCCCTGGTCCTCTCCATCCCATCCTCCACATCAACCACAGCCTACGGCAGCAAGGGGAATGTGCCAACAACAACCTGAAGAGATTCTTACCGCTGCTGGAGCAGGCGAAACAGCTCCAGAGCAGCCGCCGCCTCCCCTTCGTTGCACAATGAAGGCGCCCCTGCTGGTCCCCTGGTCCTCTCCACTCCATCCTCCACATCAAAAACAGCGTATGGAAGCAAGGGGGCTGTTGACGCCACACTGTGCTGGCCATGCAGCTGAGGCTGTAACGAGGCTGACTGTAACGAGGATAGATGAGAGGAGGCGGAGGAACGAGACGGCAACGAGCAGAATGGGGAGGACCAGGAGGGGGCGGTGACGCAGGGGGCGTCGGAGAGGAGAGACTGGTAGAAGAAGGAGGAGGGGAAGAGGGAGATGTGGGGGTTCATGCGGTACTGCATCGACAGCATGGTAACCGGGTAACCAGACGTCTGGAGCCGCTCGAAGAGGGAGCGCTCGTAGCGCAGGTTGGATGCCGTGCGGGAGAGGACCGTCGCTGGGAGCTGCTTGGGGTCGCCCACCATGATGCACCGGCTGTTGACCCGAGAGAGCAGCTGCAGAGGAATCAAGGTGGCTGGCTCCAGTGCCTGCAGGGGGGAGAAAGGGACGAGGGGAGCAAGAGAGAGCACCGTTGCTGGGAGCTGCTTGGCTTGGGGTCGCCCACCATGATGCACCGGCTATTGAACCGACTGAGCGTGCGGGAGAAAAAGAGTTCCAGGAAGGCTTGAAACCAAGACAACCGAGCACGATGTAATCTGAGGCTTTGTTCGGCCTCGATATCTACCTGAGACGCCCCATGAAAACCACCTGAGCAGCCCACTATGTTCACCTGAGCCGCCTCATCGATCACCACCGCATCAAACAGCCCCTCCATCCACGACGGCAGCACCCCACCTGACGCTCCACCTGAAAAACCACCTGAAGCCCCCCTCGCTCCTCCTCCCATGCCTCCTACCCATCCCCTTGCTCTCACTCCAAAACCAGTTCCTCCCAAACCTGCAGTCCCCCCGAACCTACCACCACCACCACCACCACCACCACCACCACCCTCCACTCCTCCCCCTCTCCCCCCTTTATCCCCTGCCCCCTCCCAGCAAGCAGTAAACACATCGCCTCCACACGCATTCAGTGTGGTAACCACCACTTCTGCCTCCCTTATAATCTCTTTTTTCACCGCTGCCCGCCGCGCTTTATCCTCCTCGGCAGCTGCCCGCCGCTCCTTCTCTGCTGCTGCCAGGTCAGCCGAAATTTCCCGCTTTTTCCGGTACAGCAGATTAAGCCTCGCCTTAATAGTTTCTTCCCCATGCGATATAATCTCCTCAGCTATTTTCTCAGCTGTTTTCTCCTCCTCCCCCCCTCCCCTTGCACCCTCCTTCCTACTCTCCCTTGCATTAGCAGTCTTCCCACCATCCCCTCCCTCCTCTCCTCTCTCCTCCCCACCCTCCCCATTCTCCTCTAAGCGTTTCTTGCATCTAAGTGCCTCAACTGCTCGGATCACTTCAAAAGCACGTTCTAATTGCTGCCTCAACTGAGCCACCCGCTCTCTCACAGCTCCCTCAGTCCCTAAACCACCACTGCCACCAGCACCACCACCAGCAACACCAGCAGCAGTGGCACCAGCAGTGCCACCACGAGCACCAGCAAACGCCCCATCACCAAACACGTCCCTCCAGTCCTTCTCTCCCAGAACCTCACTCTCTCTTCTCCCCTCGTTATTATCACCAGCGTTTACAGCACGCCCAGCTGCTTCCTTAGCCAGTCTTTTCGCCACGAGAGTGTCAATGTGAATGTGGAGGGAGTCCGGATGGACGGCTGACACGTTCCCAACGCGCACAACCGACGGCTGAGATCGCACCATCTCATCATCCCACCCATCCTTTGCCGATTCCGAATGTGCCCGGAAAATCCGAGATATGATCTCATCCACAGCAGCATTAGACTGCGCACACACAAGTACTCTTGTACGATTCTTCTTCCCTCCTCCCTCCCCCCCTCCACCACCCCCCCCTCCTCCTCCCCCTCCTCTCCCTCCTCGTGCCCCCCCTCCTCCCCCCACTCCCCCTCTCACCCCTCCTCTCTCCAAGTCCCTAGCAACAGCAGCATCCTGCCACATGCGAGCCATGGCCGCCGCAGTACCCAGCCTCTGATTCGCCCCTCCCACTCCCCCTCCCCCTCCCCTACCACCCGCCCCACCCTGCAAACCCTGCCCCTTCCCAAGCCGTCTAACCCTTGGTTCTGACTCCCAAACCGCGCCCCTCTCTTCCACTCCAGAGTGCTCCTGACCCCCTGCCTTTTTCCTGCATGCTAGCAGGGCAGTGATGATGGCGACTATGGTGCGGGTCTTGCCTGTGCCTGGCGGCCCCTGCACCAAGACCAGCTTGCGGTTCTCCTCTGCACCACCACCACCACCACCAAAACCAGCAGCTGCGAAAAGACCAGCGCTGGCAGACTCAAAACCAGCATGACCAGCAGCACAAGCAGTGCCTAAACCAGGGGTGTTGCCTGCTGCTCCGCCCTTGCTCATCCCAACAGCATGCTTGATAGCCTGCAGCTGACAACTGTTGAACTGAGACTCGTACTTATTCCTCAGCGAGAGCGGCAAGGGCGTACCCTCAAGAGATACGTTCACAGCTGAAGAGTCGGCAGCCGTGGTAGAATTACCACCAGCAGCAGCAGCAGTAGCGGTTGAGCCAAAGAAGCTAGGTTTGAGCAGCGGGGGCAGCAGCGGCAGGTACTGAGCAGCCGCCAGCGCCTGGAACTCCCTCATATGCGGCACGAGGGAGAGAATGCGCGTCACGTGCCACGTGCTGCGATCGACTAGGAGTTGCTTGGTGCGCGCAAGGCGAGGGGAGCCGGTGAGAGGGAGAAAGAACCGCAGCTGGAGAATCACTGCTCGAGATTCCCTCTCATATTCCCTACGCTCTACCTGAAACGAGGGGCACATGGGGGGGGGGAGGGGGAGGAACGGAGGCAAGTGAGGGGGAGGCGGGTACTGAGCGGCTGCCAGCGCCTGGAACTCTCTCATGTGTGGCACGAGGGATAGGATGCGCGTGACGTGCCACGTGCTGCGATCGACTAGGAGTTGCTTGGTGCGCGCTAGGCGAGGAAAGGTAGATAGCGGCAGGAAGAAACGTAGCTGGAGGATGACTGCTCGAGATTCACGTTCGTATTCTCGACGCTCCACCTGGAGAGAAGGAAACCGGGGAGTATGGGAAGAATAAAGCGCAGCTGAAGGATGACAGCTCGAGACTCGCGTTCATATTCTCTCGGTGTGTTTTGAGTCGACTCAAAACACACTCGCGTCCACATTCTCTCTGCTCCAAATGGAGACAGAAAAATGGGAGGGTCGAAAAGGGGTGGGTGGCGTTGTGTTGTGGCGGGGGAAGGGGGGTTTTGAGGGGTAGGGGAGGGAAGACAAGTGAGACGATGAGAGGAGGACAGTGAGAGGAAGTAAGAGGAAGTGGCGCAGCTGGAGAATGGCTTCCTTTCAGAAGGACTTCACGGGAAACACGATCATATTCTCCACCCTCCACCTGGTGAGAGGGAAACACAGGCAGCGAGAAGGAGGAAGAAGGGGAGGAAGAAGTGGCATGAGGATAACTGCCCAAGACTGGCGTTTGTATTCCGGACGCTCCACCTGGGAGAGAGTCTATTTTTGAGGCGCCTCAAAAGTCAAAAAAAGGATAACTGCCCAAGACCCGCGTTCGTATTCCGGACGCTCCACCTGGGAGAGAGAACACGGAAAACGGAAGTGTGATAGAGGGATGGGGGGGGAGAAAGCCTGGTGGAGTCTATTTTTGAGCTCAAAAATAAACGGAAGTGTGATAGAGGGATGGGGGGGGAGAAAGCCTGGTGGAGTCTATTTTTGAGGCACCTCAAAAATAAACGGAAGTGTGATAGATGGATGGGGGGGGAGAAAGCCTGGTGGAGACTATTTTTGAGGCGCCTAAAAAATAAACGGAAGTGTGATAGAGGGATGGGGGGGGAGAAAGACTGGTGGAAAAACACGGAACTGATGGCACATTGTGAGTGAGCAGCACGAGATCAGTGTCCCTACAAAAAGCCTACGGCCAGTCCAACCTTTGCCAGCGTACGCACCATCTGTTGTGATGCGTCCACAGCGGCACCACCACTACCAGCAAGCAGCAAGGTGACTTTTGAGTCGACTCAAAAGTCACCTTTGCCAGCGCACGCACCATCTGTTGTGATGCGTCCGCAGCGGCACCATTTTTGAGGCGCCTCAAAAATCGTCCGCAGCGGCACCACCACTACCAGCAGCAGCAGCCGTAGCAGCAGCATGGCCCAGCACGTTTCGAGTGAGCAGCATGAGACCACTCTCCCCACAGACAGTGGAGGTTTCACCTTACCGTAGCCAGCACGTGAACCATCTGCTGTGAAGCAGCAGCCGCACCAGCAGCAGCAGCAGCAGCAGCAGCAGCAGCAGCGTGGTCTGGCACGTTCCAGGTGTGCAGCACGAGGTCATGCTCCCTACAGAAGGTCTGTGACCCCGACGCTGCTCCCTGCTCTGCTCTGCCATGCATGAACAGCGCCAGCTGACAACCGTCCACCCGCTCTGTCAAAATGCTAGATTTGATCTTACCTTCGCCAACACGTGAACCATCTGCTGTGCAGAAGCAGCCGCACCACCAGCACCAGCACCACTAGCAGCAGCAGCTGCAGCAGCATGATCCGGCACGTTGCGAGTGAGCAGCGCGAGGTCATTCTCCCCACAGAAAGCCCGCGACCCCGACGCTGCTCCCTGCTCCGCCATAAATCGAGCCAACTGAAAATCATCCACTCTCTCTATCGACAGCATTCTCAGCGCGCCCACATACGCCACCTCCGCCCCTCCCCTTCTCTCTGCTGGTGGCCCCCCTGCTGCTACAGCAGCGCTCCCCCCACCACCTCTCCCCCCCCCTTCTCCCCTTCCTCCTCCCCCTCCACCAGAGCCAACAGCATCATCGTACGATCGCCGAAGCTGAGCCTTGAATTCTTCCAGGACCAATGGCTGGAACACCCGGACGTAATCTGCCACCGAATCAAACTCGTCCGGCACCCGAACCAGCCCCCGGCTCGCCGAACCTGCAGGCTCGGAACCAGACACCACCTCATAGTAATCCATGGCCAGGATCTTCCGGAACCAATCGTCCAGCTTCGGCAGGGGCGGCTTCTTCCAAGCCATCCAGTCCTTGATGCCGAGCCTGTCTGCCAAGCCTGCCGGGGTGGTCCGGTCCGAGCCTAGGGCGATGGTTCGGTTGCGTTTGATCTGGTCTGCGACTCGGCTCATGCCCTCAAGCCCGCCTATGGAGAGCTTTCCTCCAGGTCTCCTTGCTTTGGCTGCTTCTCTCTCAAGCTCTGCATCCAAGTCATCATCAGCCAGCACCTCCAGAAGCACTGCTCTTGCTTTCCCTGCTGCTGCTGCTGGTGGCTCTGTTGCTGCTGCTGCTGCTGAACGTGCTGCTGCTGGTGAAACGGGCGCTTTACCAGATAAGCCTGCATGAGACGGCGCCTCTGCAGTAAACGCAAACGGATCCACAGTTGCACCTGCTCCCCCTGGCCCCCCCTGCTGCTGCTTCAGCCTCTCCGCCAGCTGTCGCTCTCTGATTTGCCGCTGCACGTCCCCCATGGCACTGTTTCTCTGCTCCACCCCAGCCTTGTGCGTCTCCCTTATTGCTGCCAGCTTGCTCCCAGCCCCGGCTCCCTTCATCATGCCTGGTTTCCTGCTCAAAAGGCTGCGCGGCTTCTTAAAAACTACCCCCCCTGCACCGATTCTTGCACCTGCCCTCATTTTCCCGTTGCCTGTGACAGCGCCAGCAGCAGCAGCAGCAGCGTCAGTGGCAGCTGCCGCAACTTGAGTGCGCAGGTATTTTTCGAGTGTGTTTCGGCGCCGCTGCTTTGCTGCCCGGGAGGAGAGGAGAGACGAAAGGGGAGAGGCGGATTGGCAGGAGGGGGAGGAGGGTGAGGGGCCGGCAGTGAAGGGAAAAGACGGCGCTGACTTTGCAGATGCACCTGACCCAGGTGGAACCCCAGGGCCAGTTGCAGCAGCAGAAACCTCTGCAGACCCGCCGTTATCACCTCGTTTTAACTGCCCAATTGGCACCTCATCTTCCTCCTCCCCTTCTTCCTCTTCCTCTTCCTCCTCCTCCTCCTCCTCCTCCTCCCCCATCCCCTCCTCCTCTACCTCCTCCAAGCTCATCTCCCCCTCACTCTCCCCCTCCTCCTCCACCTCCATCCTCTCCCTCTCCTCTCTTCCGTGCGTCGCCTTTTCTACTCCAGCCACATCCTCCTCCTCAATATCTTCCAGATCTATAGTCTCAACCACCCTTCCCTGCCCCTTACCAGCAGCCCCTTCCCCCCCTCTCCAACACTCCAACCCGTGCCCCAACCCACTCTCTCCTCCACTCCCTTCCTCTTCCTCTCCCCCTCTTCCTTCCCCCTCCTCTCCACCCATCCCTTACCCCTCTCCTCCTCCTCTTCCTCCTCCTCGTCATCACCATACAGGTGAATCAAATCGTCAATCCCCTCCCTCCCTCCTTCCTCCTCTCCCTCCCCATCCCCCCCATCTCCAGACGGCACCCTTAGGTTCGGCAGCGGCTTCTTTGGCGGAGGTTCGGCATCCGAAGCTGAAACAAGCGATGCTGCCTGCTGTGCTGCCTCTAGGAGCCTCTCCTTCTGCTCCTTCGTCAGATTCACCTCTGCACTAAGCTTAATCCCAGCTATCAGACAGCTACAGAAATCCCTCAACAGAAGAGCCCATTTCCACCTCCCCCACATCCCACCTCGACTTTTACCACCACTTATGTTGCTTCTGGTGATACTGATTCCACTTCGGTTACATTCACTGCTCTGCTGACCAAACAGTTGCCATGTAACCTGTAAAGCCTTGAGCACTGACTCTGATGCATCCACCCAACGATGCAGTATAGACACGTCCTTTACAGTCACACAAGCTGCCACGTCAGCCACCCAATCAGCCTCACCCTCGGCCTCTCCCCCTCCCTTTCCCCCTGCTCCTCCTCCTCCACTAGCTCCCATTTCTCCATCCCCAAACCATAAGATCCGTACCCCTGCCGAGCCACCACCCCAGGTCTGGCCGACGTTCCGGTCCAGCAGCAGGTTCGGTATCTTCGGGAGGGAAGTAGCGCGGGGAAAGAGAGAGAGCTTACCGTCGGGACCGGCAGTGTAAAGGCCAGGGGCTGTACGATGGGGAGGGGCAGTGCTGCCTGTAGCAGCACCGGCAGCAGCAGCAGAGGGGGTGCTGCTGCTGCTGGTGAGAGAAGAGGAAGGGAGGAGGTGGTTGACTGCCAGGGGAAGGATCTCGAAGAGACGGACGAATACGAGCTTCTGGTGACGGGAAAGGCAGGGAGGGGAGGGGGGGTAAGGAAACAAGAAAAGGAAGAAGAAGGTAAGAAGGCGTGGATGGCATCGACAGCCAGGGGAAGGATCTCGACGAGACGGACGAATATGAGCTTCTGGTGAAGGAAAGGCAGGGAGGCAACAGGAAAGGGAGGGAGGCAAATGAGAAAGGCAGGGAAGGGAATGGAAGGCAGATCCAAGGGGAGAGAAGTCCAGGAGGGGAGGCGGGATGGGTGAAGGAGATGACTTTTGAGTCGACTCAAAAGTCATCTCGTTAAGCAGGGAGGGGAATGGAAGGCGGATCGAGGGGCAGAGAAAACAAGGAGGGGGGGGGATATAACGTCTCAAAACTAACCTTATATCCCGCGGATCCAGGGGCAGAGAAGCCAATGAGGGGGCGGGATGGGTGAAGGGGGTTCGTGAACTAATGCGGTGAGGAGGGTCTGGAGGCATGAGACTGGGTGAGGAATGTGCCACGTTTGTGTAATGTACTATAGTAATAGAAAAATGCAGGGGAACAATGATTGCCCATGGCAATGGTACCCTTGCATAAACCCTGCACACCCTGTACAGTTTAATTTACGCTGTTACCTGTCCGCCTGTGGTGATGGTATCAGCGCACACCCTGCACCGCCACACCAGGAAGGCCACCATGGGCCACAGCACCCGCGATACATCCCACCCCACCGCTCCCCACACCTCCCGCCTCTCCCTCTCTTCCCTCTCCCACTCCCTCTCCCGCTCCTTCATCCTCCCCTCTTCCTGCTGCTCCTGCTCCGACTTCGTTTTGACACCTGCAGAGCTAGCAGCAGCAGCCGCAGCAGCAGCACCAGAAGCCGCAGCATCAACAGCAGCAGCTGTCGCACTTTGCTTAGTAAAGAACCTCTTGATTCCAGCTTGGGCTCCCGGCCCAGCCCCCCCTCTGAGGAAAGCCCCTGGCCTAGCAGCTAGGGTGGGAGAGGGAGGAGAGGGGCTGGGATCCCGTGGGGAAACTGCATTGGCGGAGGAGATGTGGGCGGAGGGAGGGGCGAGGAGCTTGGCTGCGTAGAAGAGCAGGCCCTGGATGATGGACGCCTGCTTGCCCACCGGATCTAGGGCGAGCTGCATGGGGCGTGGAGACAGAGGAGAAAAAGAGGGACACATGAGGAGGAGGAGAAGGAGGAGGAGGAGGAGGAGGAGGAGGAGGAGGAGGAGGAGGAGGAGGAGGAGGAGGAGGAGGAGGAGGAGGAGGAGGAGGAGGAGGAGGAGGAGGAGGAGGAGGGAGGAGGAGGAGGAGGAGGGGGGGGGGGAGGAGGAGGAGGAGGAGGGAGGAGGAGGAGGAGGAGGAGGAGGAGGAGGAGGAGGAGGAGGAGGGAGGAGGGAGGAGGAGGAGGAGGGAGGAGGAGGAGGAGGAGGAGGAGGAGGAGGGGAGGAGGAGGAGGGAGGAGGAGGAGGAGGAGGAGGAGGAGGAGGAGGAGGAGGAGGAGGAGGAGGAGGAGGAGGAGGAGGAGGGAGGAGGAGGAGGAGGAGGAGGAGGAGGAGGAGGAGGAGGAGGAGGAGGAGGAGGAGGAGGAGGAGGGAGGAGGAGGAGGAGGAGGAGGAGGAGGAGGAGGAGGAGGAGGAGGAGGAGGAGGAGGAGGAGGAGGAGGAGGAGGGGAGGAGGAGGAGGAGGAGGGAGGAGGAGGAGGAGGAGGAGGGAGGAGGAGGAGGAGGAGGAGGAGGAGGAGGAGGAGGAGGAGGAGGAGGAGGAGGAGGAGAGGAGGAGGAGGAGGGAGGAGGAGGAGGAGGGAGGAGGAGGAGGAGGAGGAGGAGGAGGAGGAGGAGGAGGAGGAGGAGGAGGAGGAGGAGGAGGAGGAGGAGGAGGAGGAGGAGGAGGAGGGAGGAGGAGGAGGAGGAGGAGGAGGAGGAGGAGGAGGAGGAGGAGGAGGAGGAGGGAGGAGGAGGAGGAGGAGGAGGAGGAGGAGGAGGAGGAGGAGGAGGAGGAGGAGGAGGAGGAGGAGGAGGAGGAGGAGGAGGAGGAGGAGGAGGAAGGAGGAGGAGGAGGAGGAGGAGGAGGAGGAGGAGGAGGAGGAGGAGGAGGAGGAGGAGGAGGAGGAGGAGGAGGAGGAGGAGGAGGAGGAGGAGGAGGGAGGAGGAGGAGGAAGGAGGAGGAGGAGGAGGAGGAGGAGGAGGGAGGAGGAGGAGGAGGAGGAGGAGGAGGAGGAGGAGGAGGAGGAGGAGGAGGAGGAGGAGGAGGAGGAGGAGGAGGAGGAGGAGGAGGAGGAGGAGGAGGAGGAGGAGGAGGAGGAGAGGAGGAGGAGGGGAGGAGGAGGAGGAGGAGGAGGAGGAGGAGGAGGAGGAGGGAGGAGGAGGAGGAGGAGGAGGAGGGAGGAGGAGGAGGAGGAGGAGGAGGAGGAGGGAGGAGGAGGAGGAGGAGGAGGAGGAGGAGGAGGAGGAGGAGGAGGAGGAGGAGGAGGAGGAGGAGGAGGAGGAAGAGGAGGAGGAGGAGGAGGAGGAGGAGGAGGAGGAGGAAGGAGGAGGAGGAGGAGGAGGAGGAGGAGGAGGAGGAGGAGGAGGAGGAGGAGGAGGGAGGGAGGAGGAGGAGGAGGAGGAGGAGGAGGAGGGGAGGAGGAGGAGGGGAGGAGGAGGAGGAGGAGGAGGAGGAGGAGGAGGAGGAGGAGGAGGAGGAGGAGGAGGGAGGAGGGAGGAGGAGGATGAAGGGGAGGAAGCGGAGGGGGAGGAGGAGGAGGGGAGGACAGCAGCAGCAGAATTGGCAAATGCTCTAACACGCCTAAAAGCAGAGGCAACAGAAGAGGACAATAACCCATACCCATCTAAAGATGCATGCCTGCCTGCCTACCACGCTATCCTGCACCCATCACAATTACCCATTTCTCACCACAGCAGCAGCCTTGGCGAATGCCCGAACGAGCCCTCGAGCAGAGGCAGGGGAGGATGCAAGGAAGGCGAGCTGATGGTCGATTCGGTGGTCCCTGCACAGAGAAGTGAGCAGCTCTCGCGCCATGTCCCTGTTGGGCTGGGAGTGCCGGTGTGTGGGAGAGGGGGAGGCGGAGCAGGAGGGGGGATGGGGGAGGAAGATAGAGTCAGGAGGCAAAGGGAGCAACCTGATGGTCGATTCGGTGGTCCCTGCAGAGAGAAGTGAGCAGCTCACGCGCCATGTCCCTGTTGGGTTGGGGAGGAAGGGGTGAAGAAGGAGGGAGAGGAAACGTAAGGAAAGAGAGGCAGTGGAGGCGAGGAAGGCAGGCTGGTGGTCGATTCGGTGGTCCCTGCAGAGAGAACTGAGGTACTCACGAGCCATGTCCCTGTTGGGCTGGGAGTGTGTGTGGTGGGGTGGGGGGAGAAGGGGGGGGAGAGAGTCAGGAGGTGAGGAAGGCGAGCTGGTGGTCGATTCGGTGGTCTCGGCAGAGAGGGGTTAAGAGCTCACGAGCCATGTCCCTGTTGGGCTGGGGAGGAAGGGGTGAAGAAGGGGGCAGAGGAAAGGTGAGGAAAGAGAGGCAGTGGAGGCGAGGAAGGCAGGCTGGTGGTCGATTCGGTGGTCCCTGCAGAGAGAAGTGAGCAGCTCGCGTGCCATGTCCCTGTTGGGCTGGGAGTGTGGGGGAGTGTGGGGGAGTGTGGGGGAAGGTGAGGGGGCAACGGGATAGGCAAGGCGGGGAAGAAGAGCAGCTAGATAAACACACTGGTTGAAAGAGGCTAAAACGGAAAGGTAGAAATAAATTAATAAATATAAACAAAACAAAATGCACCACAGGGTAAGAGAGAGGCTGACCAGCTGGGAGTCGACGAGGAGGAAGATGAGTGGCTCTGCCAGGCTGGCATGCCACGTCAGCAGCTTGAGCCGGTTGGCACCTCTGATCTGGACGAGACAAGAGGACACACTCCTGCAGGGACAGATGACGAGGATATGGTGGTCGGGAGGGAGGGAGGGGGAGGGGCGTGGGAAGGGCTGGAAAAACTATGGAGTCCCACCCCTCTACCCTATGGAGTCCCACCCCTCTACCCTATGGAGTCCCACCCCTCTACCCTATGGAGTCCCACCCCTCTACCCTATGGAGTCCCACCCCTCTACCCTATGGAGTCCCAACCTCCATAGTTCTGTTTTGAGGCGCCTCAAAACTAGTTTCCCAGCCCTTCATAGTTTACCCTGGGAAAACTATGGAGTCGGCTGGGAAAACTATGGAGTCGGCTCAACCCTCTTGGGGCCCTATGGAGCCCTTTTGGGGCTCAAAAGGCCCCACTGTGGAGTAAAGTTCATTCTCGTAGGGAAGGGACACCCACCCATCTCTGCAGAATGATGCTCAACCCTCATCGTGCGTCGCTGCTACCACCCCATTCCAAGGCGCCTTCAAAACATGCACCTTACGTAGGATGATGTTCAGTTTCGCAGGAACACGCACCCACCTCTGTAGTATGACGCTCAGCTCCTCGCGTGCCGCTGCCACCACCACTGCATTCTCACACCCTGCTTTCGCTTTATTAGGGAGCCTCAGAACAGAAACGTACCCACCTCTTTTGAGTCGACTCAAAAGCCTCAGAAACGCACCCACCTCTTTTGAGTCGACTCAAAAGCCTCAGAAACGCACCCACCTCTTTTGAGTCGACTCAAAAGCCTCAGAAACGCACCCACCTCTTTTGAGTCGACTCAAAAGCCTCAGAAACGCACCCACCTCTTTTGAGTCGACTCAAAAGCCTCAGAAACGCACCCACCTCTTTTGAGTCGACTCAAAAGCCTCAGAAACGCACCCACCTCTTTTGAGTCGACTCAAAAGCCTCAGAAACGCACCCACCTCTTTTGAGTCGACTCAAAAGCCTCAGAAACGCACCCACCTCTTTTGAGTCGACTCAAAAGCCTCAGAAACGCACCCACCTCTGCAGAATGACACTCAGCTCCTCCTCGAGTGCCGCTGCAGCCCCCGCATTCTGAGGCGCCTTGAACGCACGCACCCTATGTAGAAAGTTGTTCAGTTTCATATAAACACGCACCCCTGTAGGAACACCCACCTCTGTGGGAACACGCACCTCTGTAGGAACACGCACCTCTGTAGGAACACGCACCTCTGTAGAAACACGCACCTCTGTAGAAACACGCACCTCTGTAGTATGACGCTCAGCTCCTCCTCATGTGCCGCTGCTACCACCGCATTGACACACCCTGCTTTCGCTCCTCGGCCCCCCCCTCCAGCTCCAGGAGCCAATCTCCAGTGCAGCGCCGCTGTAACCACCGCACTGCTGGTAACCGCAAGGCTGCTAGTAACCAGAGGTTTACTACCAGCGGACGTAACAGCAGCAGCAGCAGCAGCAGCGGAAGCAGAGAGGCAGAAGTGCCCAGCCACCCAGACGGCTGCTCTCAGTAACGGTTTTGGTAGCCACTGGGGCGGGGTGCGCTCTAGCAGCTCCACCCACAGCGCTGGCGCACACTGCCACCTGTCACTCTCTGCTGCCGCCAGCTCAGCAAGCCTGTCCAACTGATCTTGGGGCAAACCCTCAGAAATTGAGGAAGAGGAGGAAGAGGAGGAGGAGGAAGTGCAAGACTGGCCTGTACTAGAAGCATCCACACCACCAGCAACAACACCATCACCACCCCTGCAATCCCCACCCCCACCCCCACCCCCCTCCCCTCCCTCTCCTCCCCCCTCTGCATCCCCTGGGCAAACCAGAGCCCGTGAAAACACGCTCGGGACACACGCCGGACCTAAGTCCGAACCTGAGACCAGACCTCGCGCCGAAGCACCTGCGAAGGCTCGGGAGAGCGCGAGCGAGGTGAGGGCAGCAGCGTCGGCAGTGAGGATGGCCTGGGCGAGATGGACGGCTGGCAGGCGCAGGGGGTCGGGCAGGGAGGCGTCCTTGACTGCGCCCACTAGCGGCGGGCCCCAGATGTCAGCACAGTCGGTGGGGGGGAGAGGCGGGGAGAGCAGGTAGGAGTGCAGGATGAGGTGAAAGGCGATCTGGGGGGGGAGGAGGGGGGAGTGGGGGGAGTGGGGGGACAGGGGGATTGAAGATCAGGTAAGGACAGAATACCAACACAGCCGGCGGTGGGGGGGCTAGTTTTGAGGCGCCTCAAAACTAGACTCCTATCACGCGGTTTTGAGGCGCCTCAAAACTAGACGAGGGGATTGAGGATCAGGTAAGCACAGAATACCAACACAGCTGGTGGGGGGAAGAGGCAGGGTGTGCAGTGCAGGTATGATGGAGTCGTTTTTTAGAATTCTCAAGTATGAGTGCAGACCGAGGTGAAAGGCGACCTGTGAGGAAGGGAGGCGGGGTTAAAGGGGGAATGGAAGAACGGGCGGATGGGGTGACAGTTTTGAGGCGCCTCAAAACTAGGCGCCTCGAAACTAGGCGCCTCAAAACTAGGCGCCTCAAAACGGGCGGATGGGGTGATAGGGGATGATTGCCCTAGGTGGTTGGATTGCTGGCAGGTGGAGCCTCGGAGGGGCTCTGGCAGGGCAGGGGTACTCGTCTCGGACTGCTCCCACGAGGGGCGGGCCCCAGGTCAGGACGGCTCGAACACAATCTCCATATGCAATGCAATCCCCATACACAACACAATCGCCATACGCAACGTGGGGGGGGGGGGAGAAATGTATAGTATACATGCTTGGGTGGGGAGAAAGAGGATCCTACCCGGCGGGCGATCTTGATGGTGGTGGTGCTGAAGTTGCGGCTGTTGGGGAGTTGAATGAGCAGGAAGAAGAGGATGCTGCGGCGCTGCCTCTCAAACTCCTCCGTCTCCAAAGACTCCACAGACTGGATAGTACAGGGGTTAGGGGAGAGAGGGGGAGGGAGAAATAAGGCACGAGTAGAGGGTGCAAGTACAGGGAGGGGCTGTTGGGGAGCTGAATGAGCAGGAAGAGGAGGATGCTGCGGCGCTGCCTCTCAAGCTCCTCTGTCTCCAATGACTCCACAGACTGTGAAATATGGGAGAGAAAAACGGGGGGGGGGGGAGGTGAAGGCTTTTGAATACAGGGGAGGGCTGTTGAGCAGTTGAAAGAGCAGGAAGAAGAGGATGCTGCACCGCTGCCTCTGTCTCTAATGACATCACGGACTGCATATCAAGATGCAGAAACAGGAGAAAGAAAAATAACTTTTCGCATTTCCAAAAGAAACAAACAGTCATTGGTACAAGGGTGTAAAGGCACGCACGATTTGGACAGACCTGTAGGAAGGGTGGCAGCAGGTCGAGCAGCAGCTTGTGAGTGGGCTCGTGAGTGGAGTTGAAGCATTGAGAAATGAGTGTATTCCGGACTACACCAGGGGGAAAGGCCGAATGCAACCAGAGCTTGTAGCCTGGAGGGTGGGAGAAAACGAGTTGCACCCATCAAAGACAGCATTCAAGAGATGCGCTCAACAATCAACACTAGAAGGCGGGTGATAGAAGATTTATTATGAGACGTCTGGAAATAAATCTTCTATCAAGAGAATGGGTTGGTACCCACTCATCAAAGGCGGCATTCGAGTAAGAGATGCGTTTCAACAATCAACACTAGCAAGTGGGTTCCCTTTTTCAGCCACCTGTCTAGAGCGGGCCGGAAGCGGCATCATTCTGTCACTTGCAACATCATTCCGAGACAACCTAGAGAGGACCAGAAGGCAGAGGTGTCCTCTTCCCCCCCACGTGGTCGAGCACGATGCTCACAAACGCAGGGAAGGGTACAGCACTCATTGCTGCCTGGGATTCCCTGCCCTGCTGCTGACCTATGAGCGCATGTGCACCAGCCACCCACCCGTCACTTGCAGCATCATCCTAAGGCACGCCAACGCGGGTCGGAAGACAGAGGTGTCCTCCCCCACGTGGTTGAGCACGATGCTCACGAAGGCTGGGTAGCGCTCCACCACACCCTCGTCCAGAGCTGGCGGAGCCATGAGAGAGAGACTGACGGTAAGGGAGGAGAGATATAATATGGGAAGGGACACAGAGACAGAGAGCAACACGGAGTGACACAGAGTGACACAGAGTGACACAGAGTGGGGGAAGGAAGAGTTGAAGCTGCAAGGGACATTGGAGGGAAGCACAAACGCAGGATAGCACTCCACCACGCCACCCCTTCGTCCAGAGCTGGTGGGGCCATGAGGGAGGGGCTGGGTGGGGTTGGATTGGAGTCAAACCTGCCGAACAAGAGTCGAAGGATATGGGTGGGCTGTAAAGGCCTTAATTTGATGAAAAAATGCCGCTAGAACAAACAGAGCCCTAATACTGGGTGGATGATTACTGCTCACATGGTCATCACAGCACCCCCTGTCACATGTCTTCTTTCGTATGCACCACACGAGGCCGCTCCCAACCCCTCCCTCTCAGCAGCTTTGAATCGATTCTAAAGCACACCCTGTTACAGATAGGCTGCAATTCGTTTGGCACAACTTTGTGTGCTGGCAATTTGTTGGTTTTTAGGGATACGCATATTTGCTAGGTTGGGTGTAGCTATGTTTTCATCCCCAACCTATCCCAACCCAATCCATCCCAAATCCCCACGATTTGGGAGGATTCCCTTGGGATTCCCTCCGATTCTCCCTTATCCCTTCCCATCCTCTCCGATGCTCGGTACTTAAGGGTGTATGCTCTTGCTCATTTTAATCAATGTAGTTCTCAGTTTCTAACACACCCACACTCACATGGTGAGCACACCCACACTCACATGGTGAGCACACCCACACTCACATGGTGAGCACACCCACACTCACATGGTGAGCACACCCACACTCACATGGTGAGCACACCCACACTCACATGGTGAGCACACCCACACTTACCTGGTGAGCACACCCACACTTACATGGTTAGCAACCCCTGCCACATGTCTTCTTTTGTATGCACCACTCGAGGCCGCTCCCGCCCCTCCCTCTCACCACCACCTCCATGTGCACTGGGATTGGCGTTAACAGCAGCACTGGCTCTTCCCAAGCCTGCCCCTGCTCCTGGCCCTGTTCCTGTCCCTCCAAATGTGTCCGTTCCTGCACCTATGCCAGTATCGAAGAGGTCGTACTCGAGGGCGTGCATGCACTGCTGCAGCAAGGGGTCGATAGGCCTCAGATCTGCTGCTGTTCTGTTTGCGGGGTCGGGAGAGACAGAGGGAAGTGAGGGAAGCGATGGACGTGACAGGGAAAGGGGACAGAAGAGGCCGTACTCGAGGGCGTGCATGCACTGCTGCAGCAAGGGATCGATAGGCCTCAAGTCACCTGCTGTTCTGTTTGAGGTGGGAGGGGAGATGGGGGATCGACAGAAAAATCGGAGAGAAGAGCAACAATGTGTTCAACCGTGCATGCTCCTGTGCTGCGACAAGGAATAGACGGGTCTCAAATCTCTGGCGGTTTTATTTGTTGATTGGTGACACGCATGTGAGGGTGGAGAAGCAAGCACGGACGACAAAAACAATGGGGGGTTCTGAAAAACTAAACACATCGTGCATGCAATGCTGAGGTTCAGGTGATAGAAGTCTAGTTTTGAGGCGCCTCAGAACTAAACTAAACACATCGTGCATGCAATGCTGAGATTCAGGAAACAAGAGAGAGAACGCTGAAGGAACAAACACGAGGGTGAAAGACAAGTGTTTTCTTGGGGGAAAATGACATAAGGCACGAGTTGCTGAAGGGGGTACTGAGGTGTTATTATCAAGCAGATGACAATAAGGCGATGAAATCAAGTGTGCTTACTTGAAGAGGCCGAGGGGTTTGGCCAGGGTATAGACAATGGCTCGAGTGTCCTTGCTAGGGTGCAGCATGAGATAGTAGAGGCCCTAAGAGGGGAGGGAAAGGTGAGGAACGGGGAGGAATAAAGGAGGGAAGAGAGAGGACGGTGGCTCGAGTGTCCTTGCTGGGATGCAGCATGAGATAGTAGAGGCCCTAAGGGGGGAGGGAAATAGGAAAAATAGTGGGGAAAAGGAAGGCTATTTAGTAGTCAGTTTAAGATGGTGCTTCATGAACGAACCCAGTACCGTACAGTGACTTGAGCACCAAGCAAAAACAATTTCACTCACCAAGTATCTGTATCTCTGCCCCGGAGTGAGCGAGAGGTCATAGTGTCTCCCCACAAGGACCAGAGCGGGGCCACTCCATGCCATGCCATGCACCGCATCACACTCCATGCCATGCCATGCACCACATCGCACCCCATGCCATGCCATGCACCACATCGCACCCCATGCCATGCCATGCACCACATCGCACCCCATGCCATGCCATGCACCACATCACACTCCATGCCATGCCATGCCATGCCATGCCATGCACTACATCACATTCCACACATGCCATGCAGCACATCACACCCCATGCCATGCCATGCACCGCATCACACTCCGCACATGCCACGCAGCACATCACACCCCATGCCAGACCATGCGCATCACTCACTGGGTATTTCTGTCCCAGAGTCAGAGACAAATCAAAGTGTCTCTCCACGAGCACCAGCGCCGGCCCAGACAGAGGACCCAGAGGTGCTTCTCTGTCTGTCCTACTTACAGGATATCTTTGGCCTGGGGTGAGCGAGAGGTCAAAGTGCCTCTCCACAAGCACCAGCGCAGGGCCGGCCAGAGCAACCCTCAGCATCCTCTAGGAGATCTGGGTACATGAGGAGCTCGAATATCCGACAAACCACCCCCCGCCCGTCCCTAACTTGTTCCACCACATCGGCAGGCATAACCACCCCTACTCACTGGGTATCTCTGCCGTGGAGTGCGGGACAGGTCAAAGTGTCTCTCCACAAGCACGAGAGCGGGACCAGCAGGGGAGAACACCTCAGCGTCCTCCAGGAGGTACGGGTACATGAGGAGCTCGAACATGAGACAGATCACCCCGAGGATTCTTCGTTGTCGGACTCACCGGGTATCTCTGCCCTGGGGTGAGAGACAAATCAAAGTGTCTCTCCACAAGCACCAGAGCGGGACCAGCAAGGGCGAACACCTCAGCGTCCTCCAGGAGGTACGGGTACATGAGCAGCTCGAACATCAGACAGATCACCCCCGGCCCGTCCCTCTCCGCGTCTAATGCCTGCCCTCCCCTGTCGCCATTCCCAGCACCACCAGCACCACCAGCACCAGAACCACCACCAGAAGCACCAGCAGCAGAGCCAGCAGTGCCACTCCCCCCACCAGCGCGGCCCAGCAGGGCCTTCAACTCCCCCCCGACCCTCTCCTCATCCAGCCTTCTCAGCGTTTTCAGCACGGGCCCTACCACCTCCTCCACATACTCCTCCTCGTACACCCGCTTGGCCGCATGGTACCGCGCCACACACCTTGTGCACGCGCGCATTTCCTTCGCCATGCGCTGCCAGAGGGCGTGGAGAGTGGCGCGGGTCTCAGGCGGGCCCGAGAGGTAGTGGTAGAAGGGCTCGAGAAGGGGTTGGGTGAGGGTGCGGTGGCGGCACCAGAGGTGGGAGGCGGGGGGGAGCGATGAGAGGAAGGAGAAGGCATCTGTGAACCTGGGAGGGGAGGGCGGAGTGGGGGAAACGTGTAATAAATAAGGCGGGCCCGAGAGGTAGCGGTAGAAGGGCCCCAGGAGCGGCTGGCTGAGGGTGCGGTGGCAACACCAGAGGTGGGAGGCGGGGGGGAGCGAGGAGAGGAAGGAGAAGGCGTCTGTGAGCCTGGGAGGTGGGGGGGTTGGAGAGGGGAAAAGGGGAAGCGGGGGGTTGTGAATCAGGCGGGCCTGAGAGGTTGTGGTAGAAGGGCTCTAGGAGGGGTTGGATTGGATGAGGGTGCGGTGACGACACCAGCGGTGGGAGGCGGGGTGGAGCGAGGAGAGGAAGGAAAAGGCATCTGTGAACCTGGAAAGGAGGGGGAGAGAGGAAAAGGGGGAGAGTGGGGGGGAGGAGGGAGTTGTGAATCAGGCAAGACCGGGAGAGGTAGAGGTAGAAGGGCTCGAGGAGGGGTTGGGTGAGGGTGTGATGGCGACACCAGAGAAGGGAGGCGGGGGTGAGCTAGGAGAGGAAGGAGAAAGCGTCAGTGAATCTGGAAGGGGAGAGTGGGGAGGGGGGGGGGGGTCAAAGCACAGGGTTATTAGGCTCCTGATCGAACCACTAAACAAGCAGCCTCTAAAAACATTCTCCCCGCAAACCATCAGCTTCCCATTCAGCATCCCCCAACGGTATGACAACCCCCAATGCTCCCCAAAACCCGCAATAACCCCAGTGCTATCCTCAATATGCAATCATAAGAACTCATTATTCCCTACCATTTCCCCTTAGCGCCATTAGTTTCTCCTCCGCCTCATCATCCTCTGGGACCTCCCCCAGCGCCTCCTCTACTCGCTCGCACCGCTTTAGGTGACCGTTCCTGATCTTACCCCCCGAGACAACCAGTCACACCTACCATTTCCCCTTGAGCGCCATCAGTTTCTCCTCCGCTTCATCATCCTCCGGGAGCTCCCCCAGCGCCTCCTCTATCCGCTCCCACCGCGCCTGCAGCTGCTTCTCCGTCATCCCGGGGGTAATGGCTCCCCCTGATCCACTTCCGCCTCCCCCTGGTCCTCTTCCGCCTCCGCCTGCTGGTCCCGCGAGTCCACTCCGCCCTTCCCCGCGGGCCCCCGCTGTCCTTTCCCCGTGCTCCCCCTTACCCGCTTCCCCCTTTCCGCCGGACGATGGCGCCATGTTGGGGAGCAACGCTCTACCTTTACAATTGAAGGGAAATTCGCAATATTAACTCTGCCGTGCTGTCATGACCGGTACAATACTCTACCGATGCGTCTTATACCGCATCCGCAGTTCGTGATCGTTAGAGACAATCTCGAGGGACGACTCGTGTCAACCGATGCCGTGTCAACTGACACCATGTGAACTGACACGCAACTGATACCGTGTCAACTGATACCCGTGTCAGCTGATACCCGTGTCAACTGATCACGTGTGTCCTAGAACGCGTTAGCAAGCCCGTCTGCCACCGATGGAAAGTCCTCCGTCGCCTGACTCCTCATAAATGCAAAACATGAGGCCGCAGAAACGAATCTCTGGTGATCCTGCTTATGAAAGCACAGACCGGATTCTGCACACTCTGCAACTGCATCATTACTGGTCAGGGAGCATGACGCCTCGGCAACGGTGGTCTTAGCTACCGATACTAGTGATGGTGAAGTTGAAACGAATCGTGAGGCAACACGAACGGCGTGACACGAGGCCGTGTGCAGTTGTTCTCGCAGGTCGTGTCTGGCTGCTGGTGAAGTTCGCACGGAGTAGTCTTATGGACATGACACGTATCTAGAATCCGAACGGTTTCAGGATGTCATGTGACGTATGTGACCAGCATCATCACCTTGATATTGTCAGGAGCAGCACCATCATCGATTTTGCCAGCAGCTTTGGGTATTGTGGCGGAGGGAGGAAAACTGCCTTGGTATTGTCAGGGGTGTCGTGAGCATCACAAAAGTGGCGGGAACAAGGAAATTGTACAGTGCTCCGCATTCAAACCAAGTCTATACAGTGTACGATAATTTGCTGCTTACAAGCGTCTTTGTTTACAAACACAAAGATTTGTAATAACACAGATCATAGTGCACCTTGCAGTTCACTACAGCTTATTCTATTATTGCAATGTACATGTGCACAATCTAGCACTTATTCCATGGAGCATTCAAGAGGAAGGGCATCCTCTACCGCAAGCTCCATCGCCTTGGTTTCTTCCGCCGCTTCTCCCTGCACCTCTCCCACCACCTTCAAGCAGAAGTCAACATCAATAGAGTCACACCCAGGACTCTGCAGGGCTTCGTGCAGCCACACCCTGCATTGAGCCACCACTTCAGTCACATCCATTTGACTCAACCGCCTTCCAAATCCCGAGCTGTGCTTTCCTTCAGTGTCCCCCAACCCCAACCCAAAGTCACCACCAACTCCAAGCACTGCCACGTCAGCACCATCCCACAACAAGTCATAATCCTCCAAATCTCCTTCTGGGAGTTCTGGGAGATCCTTCAGATCCAGCAGCAGCGGAATCTGAGCCAGCTCTCCCAGAATCTCGTTGACATCAGCCATGGAATCACCTGCATTTCCGTCAGCCATAGAGCGGCCTTTTCTCTTCCATCCAGGCCTCCTCTTGCTGCCAGCACCAGCACCAGCATCAGCATCTGCCATCCGTTTCCCTGTCAGCAGGAACCGCCTGTCCTCCTCTGACTTGCATTGACACGCCAGGCACTGGCACGGCGTTTCATCTGTCCTGGCGGGTTTCATCTGCTGCTCCAGAGCTTCCCAGAGAACCCCCACTGCTGATCCCGAGTCAACCTCCAGTTCCTCGTTTGCCGCTAAAACCGCGGACACAGGTGAAGGAGGATCCACGCGGCTGACTTTGGCTGGCTGCTGCTGCTGCTGAAAGTTTCCATTTAGTGCAGGCGAAGATTCCAAATCCCGCTTCCGCTTACCGAGAGGGGACTCGTCAGAAGTCGGCATTTCAAGGGAAACGGCGTAAGGAGCAACCCGAGCAGCAGGAGCAGACGAAGCGACAGGAGCAAACGGTGCGGAGGAGCCTTGGGGTTCGCTACCGCCACAGCGGCGCAGGACGAGACCAGGAGGCAGCTGCAGCAGCGAGATCCGCATGGACTGCAGCGGCGACGGGGAGGGAACCGCCACGTGGCCTTGCTGAGGTGTCATCGGTTGAGGTGTCACTGCAAGCTGAGGTGCGACGTGGTTACCCAAGGGATCGTACATCATCGCTGATTTCGTCGTTGGTGTCGTCGGCTCACAAGATTCTGTCGCAATGTTGTCGCATGGAGCAGCGGGATCCACGAGAAGCTCATCGAATTCGTCGCCTGCGAGGCCGATCGACGCGAAATCGACGTCGCCACCGCCTTGCAACGCGTCGAGAAGAAAATCGTCTGCGAAATCCGCATCGCCGAGCGTGTAACCCGACCCGGCGAGGTTTTCGTCGCCGGTATTGCTCTCGTTGACCTCGAGAGTCTGCTCGGCGAAATCAGGCTTCAGTACAACAGCCTGGTTCACCTGAGTCGCGGCAGCCTCGTCAGCAGCAAGCTCGTCGGCCAAATCAGCCTCAACGATCAGGCTCGTCCCGTCCGTCAGATCCAAATCCACGATCCAATCAGCACCGTCCGCGGTGAGATCCCCCGCAGCGGCAGCAGCAGAAGTGCTCTCCTCAACGATCAGGTCTTCCAGGCTTCCGAATCCGTCGACAGCAACTGCAACACCAAGTTGATAGTCGGAAGGCGCAGACACGTGCTCGTCGGGAAATGAGACTCGCGTGGAGGCGGAGAGCAGCTCGGTGGGAGTGGCGTCGCTGGAAGCGGCGAGCTCGTGCGACATTCGAGGTTGGGGAAAAACACTTCGATTCGCGATCAAAGAGCGATCAGAGAGCGAGACTTGCTCTTGATAACGAGTCTGGCTGTGCGAAGGCTGCGACTAGATGCAACGGGTGGGTCGGTCTAACTGCGAGGAGTGCAAAACTGAGAAGCGCGAAGACAAATGCAACAGACAACGGGATGTATACTTGGCTTAGGATACGACCACTGCGATTCTAAGGACCAGACTGGCTGGAGAGACATTGGCAGTGGAGGGAAAGGGAAGCACAGAAGCACAGCTGTGAGCTCGCTGCTGCTGCCCTACGGTGTGGTGCGGTACTGAGAGCGGGTTCCGTGGTGAGTTGTGGTTTGCTGTGGTGTACCGTGGTGGCTGTTTTGGGGGGCAGCAGCGACGCGGAATCGCACGGCGAGCTGCGCGTTTTGAAGCCAACGCGACGAATGTGCGGAGGAATTTGGGTCGCAATAAATTCTTGGGGGAATTTGGGTCGCAATAAATTCTTGGGGGAATTTGGGTCGCTGGGAGGGACCGGAGGGAAGACCTGGGCGAAGAACACGGAGGTCCCTCGAAAAGATCGGGGGTCACCCTGAGCGACGGGGGTGGGGGGAAGTGCGCAGGGGAGCTGCAGGGCGACGGCGGGAGCGGGAAGCGCGTTTCGTTCCGAAACCCAAGCCCAACCAGTTCCGGCTGTGACGGATCGGTGCATTGGGATCGGTTAAGGTTTTGGCAAAAGTCCAAACATGCGCTTCATCTAAGCAGAATAGTGAATGTGTGTGAAGTAGCGGTTTTTATGTGCAAAATGGAGCAAATAAAACAATGCCAAGCCAAGTCCACGGGTATACAGTTATCACATGGTCATCTGTACAATCGTATTGCTCCGACAATGCATGTACCTACCAACATAAATCATACTGCCCATGCAAACTACACAGTATCCCACAATGCAATGTGCGCCTTCATTGAGCTGATGGTGCTAGGGACATCGCTCGAAACTGATTCACACTCTTCGCCCCAGCTTCAAGCTCTTGCTTCTCCCTCTTGCTGTCCCATCCATGCTCCTTGGCCAATAGCTTGATGACACGTGGCAAGGCATGAATGGCAGCATCGGCATCAAGGAAGGCGATGCGTGATCGACGGCACAGGAAATCTGCAGCAGTTTCACAGAACTCGTTCCTCGCAGCAAAGACCACTTCAGCCTCGATGTCTGGGAACCCTGGGGCGAGGCGCTCTGCCAGAAGCTCAGTCTGAAGAGGAGGGGAAGAGATAAGTGGAGAGGAAAGCAAAGATAGGTTTTAGGTGAATGGATAGACCCAATATGGATAACCATGCGTAGCCTTGTATCACAACAATCCATAACAAACCCTCGTGTCCATATAGGCTGGATCTGTCTGGCTTTCAACCAGCCCGCGAGACATAACCCAGCACCATAAGCACTTACAGTCGCAATCTCCTTCACTTTGCTCGCATTTGACCCATAAGACCGCACCAGGTGGTACACCACCGCAGAATCTAGCCGGTACGGGAGGATCCGACGATCAGGAGCCACCCGCAGCACATTGGCGTTCTGGGCGAGCTGGGAGAAGAGGGCGGGGGAAAAGCCAGCTGCGCCTGTAAGGGGCAGGTGCTCTGTGACGCTGGGGGGCAGGGCGAGGGTGCTGCTGCTGCTTGTAGAGGCTGAGGGTGTGGATGGGTTGGTGGTAATCGGTGCTGTGAGGTTGCCAACCCGAATGGCTGTGTTGACTGTGTCCTCTGCCATGCTGGGAGGTGAGAGAAAGGGGGAGGGAGTGGGAAAGAGAGGGGAAGAGGGGGGGAGGGGAGGGCCATAGAGAAGAAATATTAGAAATGTGAAGTTGTCAGGCATGATAGTGAGAGGAGGCAGACAAGAGGAGAGGGCTGGAATACGTGCTATATTAGCAGCAAACCAGCAATGATGGTCCACTTGCTCCCTGTGACTGTAACAAGGAAGGATTTAGTCAATCATGTAAGCAGCTACTAGGGTGCACACTCACCTCCTGTAAGTGGTCCACTTGCCGCCAGTGACTGTAACCAGCGTGCCCCCTTCCACCATCACTGTATGTTCACGGACCACATTCGATGTATCTGCCTTGGTCCCTTCCGTCTGCTGCCCCCCCTCTGTCTTAACTGCTTCCGCCTTTCCTGCTGCAGCCTCGCCTCCCTCGGGTTTACCCTCCTCTTGTGTGGGTGTCTTTGATTTGAGCCCTTTCCGCAGGAGAGGGCGGAGCCCGCCCCAGACTGACAGAACATCGTCCTTGCGAACCTGCAAATGGCATGGTTGGCAGCCAGAGAAACACACAAGATATAATCGGAGTGAAAGAGTTGTAATCTGGCACGTGCTCACGGCTTGGCAGGAGAGGCCAAAGCCCGCCCCAGAATGATAGAGCCTCGTCCTTGCGTACCTGCAAATGGCATGATAACCGGTTCACAGAATTACGAAAGCAGGGGATAAAGCAGAGAATGTGGATTGGTTGGTCTACCTTAATCTCCATCCACTTCCGAATAAATGCTTCACCATACACTTGGACGCATACAGACATCACACCCAATGCTAGACTCACATCACACCCAATGCTATACTCACATCACACCCAGTGCTATACTCACATCACACCCAATGTTATACTCGCATCACACCCAATGCTATACTCACATCACACCCAATGCTATACTCGCATCACACCCAATGCTATACTCACATCACACCCAATGCTACCCAATGCTATACTCACATCACACCCAATTCTATAATCACATCACATGCAACACCTCGTCCTCGGTATACTCACCTCCACATCCAAGTAGTTGCTGAGCGTGTCGACGATAAACTGAACCTCCTTTTCTGTCGGCACCGGCACATCCACCACATCTGAAGGCGAGTCAGTCGTTCCAGCCACCACCCGCCCCAACCATGGCAGCATGAACATCACCCTTCCATCTGCAGTCTTCGGTATAAGCAGACCCACGTTTCCACCGCCGCCGCCGCTGCCACTGGCTGTGCCTGCCCCAGCGCCTGAGGTGCTCCCAGAGGCGGCTCCCAGGTAGAAGTCGGGGAGAACGACGTGGGAGCCGGAGGAAGCGAGGACTGCTAGCGGGGTGTTGGGGTCGGCCATACGGCGAATGCTGTATGGGGTGGGTGGGTGAGGGGGTGCGGTGCGGGGGGGGTGTGAGCCTGAGGTGCTGCCAGAGGCAGTTCCCGGATAGAGGTTTAGAAGGGCGGCTTGGGAACCAGAGGAAGCGAGGACTGCTAGAGGAGTGTTGGTGTCGGCCATAGGGCGAATGCTGTATGGGGTGGGTGGGTGGGTGAGTGGGTGGGGGGGGTGAGGCTCCATATTGTGCGCCTGAGATGCAGCCAGAGGCGGCTGCCATCTCAAAGTCTAGCAGAACCACGTGCGAACTGGAGGACGCGAGGGGGGAGTTGGGGAGTGTTGGGGTTGGCCATGCTGCGAATGATGTATGGGGGTTAGGGGGGTCAGGGTATAGGGTTTTTGGTTATGAGCCTGAGGTGCTGCCAGAGGAAGTTCCCGGGTAGAAGTCTGGAAGGGCGACATGTGATCCGGTGGAAGCTAGGACTGCCAGGAGCGTGCTGTGGTCTGCCACGTGGCAAATGCTGGGGGGAGAAAGAAATGAGGAGGGATTGAAGAGGCGTGAGGGGAAACGGTGTGTTAATGAACTTCGTTGTGAGACGTCTCAAAACGAGATTAACAGGCTGGGGGAAGAAAGAAATGACGAGGAATGGAGGAGGCGCGAGGGGAAACAGTCAACGTCACGGTGCATCTCAGAAAGAAACACACTCCCCATGAGCTAAGGTGCATGCGGTGTGTGAGTCACCGCATCTTGCCCGTATAACTGCCCCAATCCATCTGGATGCACAGCCCCCAGACACATTCATGCGTCTGAATTCATATGCTTTTGAGTCGACTCAAAACCAAATCCACCTGGATGCACAAACCCCAGACACCTTCATGCGTCTGAATCCGTCTGACTGCGTCATCTCAGCTATGAGCACCGAGCCAAGAGCTCATTCAAACTAGTACTCGAAAGTGACAGTCCATTAAAATCCCGTTATGTAGATCCCGTTTCTGATGTGCGCATTTCACTTCTTCCATTATGCTCCAGTATGCCTCTCACTATGCCCCTTTTTCCACCCTCAAGTTTCTCCCTCCTCAAATTCCTCCCTATGTTCCTCACTTACTCGCACGCACTACCTCTCGTTTCATCCCCTCGCCTTCCCGCTCTCACCTGTCGCAGTATGCCCCAGTTTTTTTAGGCGCCTCAAAAATAGACCTCTCACCTGTCGCAGTATGCCCCAGTTGCGTTCACCACCACTTTCGCCCGCACATCCACCTTCTTCCCCGTCAGCTCGTCCGTCACCACTGCTCCTTCCACTCTCCCAATCGGATCCGTCTTTAACCCGGACACACTAGCATGGTTCAGCACAACCGCGCCTGCACGTGCTGCCGTGGTGGCGAGAGCGAGGTTGAGGCGAGCGTCGTCCATTTGCCCGTCGTAGTACAGCACTCCCGCTTTCAGTGTGCGACCATCTGGGGAGGAGGAAGAGAGGGGAGTATTGGCCTTCTTTGAGGTGGCCGCAGAGGCGAAGCCTGCCGAGCGCCGTCCATATGTTAATCGTAGTACAGCACTCCTGCCTTCAGAGTGCGAACATCTGGGGAGGAGAGGCGAGAATGGCAGCTGGAAGGCATGGAGTATCTAGTCAGACAAAATAGGAAAGGAAAGTAGAGAGGGGAAGGAACCTCCTGCTGGATGACGCAGTGTCCAAAATATCCTACCAGTGCAGTACCAAGGACCAAGTTACCATCCGCTCCACTCACCTCGTGTCTTGTGTGAAAGAGTCGGAACCATCCCGGATGCCTCTGCTGCAGTCACCACCCGGGACATGTACAGCACCTTCTTCCCCGCTATAAGATCATACGCTTTAAGCCCGGCCCAGTAGTAGGGCACCTCCCACCAGTGGTAGCACGGCGTGAGCGTGGGCAACGGCCAGACCAGGTGCGGGGCGTTGCGGATGAGAGTGCCTCGTTCCGCCAGGGCTTCGTTCACGAGGCGCAGCTGCGCGAGATCCCTGCGAAGAAAGGCCTTCTCGAGGTACCGAACGCCTGAGGCGACGAGGAGAATGGGGAGATCCAGAAGGCAAGGAAGGAAATATGTTGCTACGAGCAAAGCGAGCTGAATTCACCAAAAACAGAAGCCCTGGAGCTCTCAGAAAGGGCTTTGAGGGGAGACTGACCGCCGTGAATGAGCTTGGTGCTTCTAGAGGATGTTCCACAGCTGAAGTCGTCTCGCTCCACCATCGCCACGTGGAGACCGCGTGTAGCAGCGTCTAACGCCACGCCGGCACCAGTAGCGCCGCCTCCTATAACGAGGATGTCGAATGGCCGCGCAGAGCTGCTGCCAGCGAGAGCTGACATCTGAACCTTCCTCGAAGGCACCTCGTCGGAAAGCTCTGGAGAAGAGGAAAGAAATGAAAACGGCATCAGCTCAAGGCTCACGACTTTTGTCAAAATCACTCAGGAAAACGCGCGAAAACCAGAAAGTATAAAAGCCTATGGAGACGCATAAATCCTGCCTCTCAAACGCGTTAGCGAACCGGACACTGATCGTACGACGCGTGCGAGAAAAGGCACAATGATTTTACGGCGAAAGCACACGTACTGGGAAGGTTTTTGGGAGGGTCGGCATGACCGGTGGAGTGGATGTACGCCGCGAGAGCAGCGGCTGCACCCGCTCCTCCGAACAACACCACCTTAGACAACAACCGACTCGTTGTGCGAATGCTCATTCTGGGCGATCGGGTGTGACAAGCTAGGTCTGGCCTGGGTGTTCCGCAGTGCTATTCGTCAATAATCTAGCTGCACGCAATCATTGAATGTTCCTGATGTGATTCCGTGGCCCTACTTCTAGATTCAGAATGACAAGAACCGCGGCACCAGACCTCGTGGGCAATTGCAATGTCGCAGGGTTTCAAAATCTACTTCAATTGACGCAATCTACTAAAACGGCGCTAGGCAGTCCGCTTTCAATAAATCGGCTGATCAGGAGAGTAACGGAAGGAAAGATACCAGAGACAAGAGGAATGAGAGTGTCCTGAAGAATAATCTGAATCCGAAAGGTACTAATGCCTGAACAATGAAAAGAATGGTGGAATGAGAGGAATATGGGATGGGATGCTTTCAGTGACCTCGAGATTGGTGTGATGCCTTCCAAGGCTCGAATTCCCCCAGGCCGAAACGGCCAGTGAATTTCATGCAGGCCAAACCGTGGAGGAACAGATCCCGAGGGGAGACCTCCCTTGCCAAGCGCTGCTGGACGAGAGGAGTCAGCAATGGCCCAAGACACGTCAGCTCTGACCTAACAGCCAGCTCGCGAAAACGGTCGCATGATAAGGTAACCCTTCTCGCAACGACACGTCTGACAGTTATTGGTTCCACGTGCTCAGGGAATGACGATGGAGGGCCAGTAGGTGGGGCCAAGCAGCGCGGGAATGTCAGAAATCCACGGTGCGGTGACGTGGCGTAAGACCCGCTGTCCCCAACTTATAAGTATTCGCCAAGGTACGTGTACACTCCGTGTACAAGTCCGAGTTTCTTGATTTCGAAATTGGGAACATCTTCAATATAAAATTGTTCTAGGAGGTCCAACAAGTCTAGCTTGCTTGGACATCTCGGCCAAATGCCAGTCTTCTATATACCACTCCGGGCTGCTATTAGAAGGGAACACCTTATCACACATCTTTATATCGCCTCGAAGTAGCCCCTGCATGCAAGACACACATGTGGACAGGGTCGGGATGACATGAAGTTACATCTATTATGAAAGGCAAGACAGCAGAAAAAAAGAGCACATTTGATTTTCAGCTTACCTGAAAGTGGTTCAGTAGATGGCCAGTTGATGCATTCAGGTCTACACCATTATCCACTGGCTCTATTGTTCGATGCACCTGCAAAAGGTATACAAGGACGAGTAAGGTGACTCTTAGAGGCACAAGGGAAAATAAAACGAGTGGAACAAAAGACACTTGCCATTATCCACTGGCTCGAGCAAAAATTAGAGTGGAAGGAACGCCACTTGCCTGCATGGCCTTGACGAGCTGTGTATTGGCGATTACTTTCCGGTGCCCGAAGTAATTAATGCATCTAGCCTCCTCGTGCCCCGCATCCTTGGGCCCTATGCAGTAGATGTGTGGCCAGTGGAAGGGCAACCGCTCGAGATAGAAGTGCTCCGATGGAGGCTGGGGGCTGAGAAAAGAGAGGGGCGAGGTAGAGGTAGAGGTTGAGGAGATGGGAACGAAGGGGATGTTTTTTTTTTTAATTCTTGGAATTTCTCTCATAAAAGTGCTCCAATGGAGGCTGAGGGCTGTGCAGAGGGGGGACGTAGAGTTAGAGGTTGGGGAAATGGGGAAGGAGGGGATGGCAGGGGTGGGGTGGGGTGGGGTGGGGTGGGGAGGGGATGGGGAGAAAGGAAAAATGTGTGTGGTGCGCCGTTGAGGCTGCACCACATAACGCAGCAGCACAGCAATTCTCATGACATACTGGAAGTGATAAATGAACCACCAGACACTGCCGAAGGTGAAGTGGGGGGCATCAATTTGCACACATTGGCACACTGTTAGGATTCTAACACGCACACACATTGGCACACTGTTAGCATTCTAACACGCACACACATTGGCACACTGTTAGCATTCTAACACGCACGCACACACATTGGCACACTGTTAGCATTCTAACACGCACACACATTGGCACACTGTTAGCATTCTAACACGCACACACATTGGCACACTGTTAGCATTCTAACACGCACACACATTGGCACACTGTTAGCATTCTAACACGCACACACATTGGCACACTGTTAGCATTCTAACACGCACACACATTGGCACACTGTTAGCATTCTAACACGCACACACATTGGCACACTGTTAGCATTCTAACACGCACACACATTGGCACACTGTTAGCATTCTAACACGCACACACATTGGCACACTGTTAGCATTCTAACACGCACACACATTGGCACACTGTTAGCATTCTAACACGCACACACATTGGCACACTGTTAGCATTCTAACACGCACACACATTGGCACACTGTTAGCATTCTAACACGCACTCACATTGGCACACAGTTAGCATTCTAAAACGCACACACATTGGCACACAGTTAGCCTTCCACCATGAATGCTCATTGCTGCACCCCACGTCAACACCCATCACCTACCGGCAGTGCTCAGTGGACCATCAGAGGCTGCCGAAGATGACGTAGGGAGCATCAGGGTGCTTGTCCAACAGCCCTCGAAGGGTTTGGGGCGCCGGGACGCAGAAAAATCATTGTGCATCAGTGTGCTCCTTCCAGTGAGTTAGCAACGTACCGGCAGTGCTCGATTGACCACCACAGGCTGCCGAAGGTGAAATAGGGCGCATCGGGGTGCTCGCCCAAAAGCCCTCGAAGGGTTTGGGGCGGCTGGATGTAAAGAAACTCGTCGAAGTCGGCAAACAGCAGCCACCTGGTGGAGTAAGAGGGAGAGTGCGCGAGTGAGCGAGTGAGTGAGTGAGTGAGTGAGGGGGTAGAGTGGAGTGACGGATTAGGGCGGCTGGATGTTGAGGAATTCGTCAAAGTCGGCAAACAGCAGCCACCTGGTGGAGAAAGAGGGAGAGCGAGCGTGTGAGAGAGTGAGTGACGGTGTGAGGGAAAGGGAGAGGGTTTGCGGCAGCCGGATGTGAAGAAAATCGTCGAAGTCGGCAGACAGCAGCCACCTGGCGTGGGAGAGGGAGTTTGAAGCGAAGGAGCACGAGCGTGTGAGTGAGTGAGTGAGTGAGGGAAAGGGAGAGGGTTTGGGGCGGCTGGATGTAGAGAAATTCGTCAAAGCTGGCAAAGAGTTGATGAAAGGAAGTGCGTGTGAGTGAATGGTCGAGAGAGTGAGGCAGGAAGAGGGTTCGGAGAGGCTGCACGCGGAGGGGTTTGAGTCGAGTCCACTCAACACAGCTTTTGAATCGACTCGACATGGCGACACCGCTAATGAGTCGGCTCGACACGGCTTTTGAGCCGACTCAACACTGTAGGAAGAGGACTTGGGGGGGCTGCATGTGGAGGGGTTTAGGGATGGGGTGGGGGTTCACATGCAAACGATAGATGAGGCAAAGTAGGAGAGGTGGGCTTACGTGGAACGTTCGATAGATGCAGTGGAGGTTGGCTTACTCGGAGACATATTTCATTCGATAGAGGCAGTTATTCAGTATAAGAACGTTCTGCTTGGACTCGAACCTGCATGTGTTGGGCGGTAGCAGAGGAACAGGTGGGGGGGCAAGATAAACCCCCATGCATGAATCTCCTGCCTCGGCTAGCTTCTAGTGAGAAGAGCTGCCGGCAAAAGTGAGAAAAGACTGCATGCGATTGGCAGGTAGCAGAGGCACTAGGTGGGGGGGGGATGGGTGAGAACGTGTCTACTGAATCACCTCAGAAGGCACCTCGGTGCAATGTCACCCGGCACGTTCTGCTTGGACTCGCGCACACACCTGCACCCACACGCTCACCTGCACCCACACACTCACCTGCACCCACACGCTCATCTGCACCCACACACTCACCTGTACCTCCCCCCTCAAAACTCACTTGTACCCGCCCCTCATGTCTAGTATCTCCATTATCCCTGCTGCCATGTATGGCTCCAACTCCTGTGCTCCCCCCATGCACCCCTCCCCCTCCAAGCCTAACCATCAAGCACTCCTGCCCCGCTTGCACACTCACTTGTAACCCCGCTCCGCACTCACTTGTACACCCCCCCCCCCTCAAACTCACTTGTACCCGCCCCTCATGTCTAGTATCTCCATTATCCCCGCTGCCACGTATGGCTCCAACACCTGAAGGGGGGAGGGAGTGAGTGAGGAAGGAAGGAGGGAGGGAGGGAGGAAGGAGGGAGGGAGGGAGGAAGGGAGGTATTTTTGAGGCGCCTCAAAAGTAGGGAGGAAAGTAGGGAGGGAAAGAGGTAGGTAGGGAGGAGAGAGAGCGAACAGTATAAAACGACAGCCAGTACAAAAACGCCGAACAAAAGTTCTTAAAAGTGTGTACCCTGCAGTACCGTACTAAAGTGTATTACCTCATAAACGTCTTCCACAACAGATGCGCCATCGTTGAGCACAAAGTACTCCACTCTCAAGTAATGCATGGCTACCTGGGAGGAGGGGGCGGAAGAGGGAAGGGTGGCGGGGGGAAGTGGGGGGGGGGGGCGGGCGTGGGTTGATTGGAACAGATGCCACGATCGTTGAGCACAAAGTGCTCCACTCTTAGTAAGTGAAGGGATACCTGGCAGGAGGGAGGGACGGGGGGAAGGGGGTGGGGGGCGCGGGGGGGGGGGGTGGGAGGGGGGCAGATGCGTCATCATTCGGCACTAAGTGCTCCACCCGTAAACAATAAAGGCTACCTGGGAGGAGGGAGGGACGGGGGGAGGAATCACTATTCAAATCAGGGGGACGCAAGAGCAGGGAAAGATCACTATTTCCTTTTCAATAGAAGCCTGCTGCTGAGGGGACATGGGACAATTGTTGCGCGCAAAGTAATCCGTTCTGAAAGAGTGTCACTCCACTCCACTGCACTGCACCGCACTCCACCGCAATGCACTGCACTCCACTCATCACGGGGCAAAGCATGGGGGTTTGGGGGAAGGAAGCACCGGATGACGATGCATCAACAAGTGTGGTAACCAGCCCAGCCCTTTCGTACCTGTAACCACTCCTGGATGGTCTTCGGGTTGAGATCGTGGTACATACGGTAGGGGCAGAAGGCGAGATTGTACTAGGGTTTGGCATCAGTGCATGTGGTAACCAGCGCAGTTACATACCTGTAACCACTCCTGGATGGTCTTCGGGTTGAGATCGTGGTACATGGGGTACGAGCAGAAGGCGAGGTGGTAGGGCGGAGGGGCGTCGATGGCAAACTCATCCGGCCCTTCCTGGTGCATCAGCACCGCCTGCTCGTCTGCGTGAGGAGGGGGGAGAGAGAAAGAAAGGTGTAGAGCAAGAGAGACAAAGAGATGCGAGGCGGTGTAACTGGTGCCAGAAGGCGAGGAGGTAGGCAGGGCGGGGGGGCGTCGATGGCAGACTGGTCCGGCCCCTCCTGGTGCACCAGCACCGCGTGCTCGTCTGCGTATGGAGGGAGGGGGAAGGGAGAATGAAAGGAGGGAGGGGGAAATGAGAGGAGGGGAGGGGGAAGGCCTCAGGAAGGGAAATGGCAAGTATGGATGCTGGATTGGTTAAAACCATGGCAACGCTGGCTGGGATACTATTGATTGGACTCAAAGGGATACTATTGAGTGGACTCAAAGGGGGGAAAGGACCAAAAAGACGAACGTCAAGCATGGAAGCCGGGTCTCCCTCACTCACCCCTCGCTCGCTCCCTCACTCACTTCCCCTCTCGCTCCCTCACTCACTTCCCCACTCGCTCCCTCACTCACTTCCCCACTCACTCCCTCACTCATTTCCCCACTCACTCCCTCCACACACACCTAGCATGAGGATCGCAGAACCCCCTGTCATCCCTGTGCTGTTGACCAATAGTGTACACTCGTAAATTGCTGTCTCGTACAGCAGCCAGTGGTGCTCCGCAGGGTAAATCACCCTCACTTTGCCCTCTGCATAGCCCCCGTCCAATGCCATCCAGTAACACTTGCTTGCCTGCAATTAGGGAGCATATGGGCGTTTCCAAAAGATTAACTTAATAACGATGGGTTTCTTTTAGCAAAATACCTTGATTGAAACTGTAAAAGACGTTCCTGAGACCCCATGTTGAGACAGTTTAAATCAATCATACTCGATAATACCTTTTTTTTTCAAAAGTAAAGAATAATGAAGCCCCCAAGAAACTGTCCAACCATTGCCACTCACCCCACTTCCTCCCTCTTCCTTCAGTTCTCGCAGCGAGTGCCCCAAAGCAGCAAACTGGTTACGGGAAATGCGGTAGCCACCCGCCATGACGAACCGGTGCTGGCCAATGGGAGCACCCGAGACAGGTGGTGGCTCCTGATAGGCCCGCTGCAGCAGCGGCCGCTTGGTGAGGCAGGGGTTGGAGATCGATCCTATGTGGCGCATGTTACCACCGTCCAGGTCAGCATCTGGGTGAGGGGGAGGCGAAGGGGGGGTGGGGGGGGGAGGTTGGGAGCGGGAAGAGGAGGGGGGAGGGATTTTTGGGAGTGGGGGCGGGAAGGAATCCCCAGCAGGACAGGGGATCCCCAGCAGGACCGGGAATCAGAGCAGAAGGATAGGGACGGCTCAGCCAGGCCAGAAGAAGGTCGCCAAGTTACTACCAGCCAGGTCAGCTTCTGGGAAAGACAGGATCAAACCCTTCAACTCGCACCCCTCTCCCGTTATAAGCACCTGTTCTGTACTCGAGTTTCCTTGTATTGAGCTCCTCTGGTTGCCCTGGCAGGAACACTCCTTGCTTCTGCGCCTGCCGCCAGAGCCCCTCATTCAGCTTCCCCTGAGGCGCGGGGGAAAGAAATGACCTCCGCCTGACCCCCGCTCCCCCTAAACCCCCTCCCCCGGTCCTCCCCCCGCCATTTGCGCGCGTCCGCGCTGAGCGGGAACTCCGGAAGCCTTTCCCCCAATCCCGCCGTCATTCACCCTGCCAGCGGCGAAATGTCCGCGCTGCTGGCGGAGAAGTTGCTTCCGGGCGAACTCCGCGCTAGACTGGCGGAGGAGCTTCTGGCGGTCGTAGCCGGCGGAGATATTGAGAATAGCGAGGAGAATCAGCGACGGTCCGAAAAGGACAATGAATGTAGTTAAGAGCGAGACGCGGGGACGACCTGACGCGTCGTGTGACGCTACTAATCGCGGCGTTCTCGAATCTCCTGCATCAGCTCCTGTAGCTGCTGCTAAGGCGGAGGCTTGTTGGTCTGGTTTATCGGGTAACTTTGCGACCTCTTTTTTACAGGCGAATTTATGTAGCAGTGCAACATTTCGCCGATGCGTCGTTGACGAAGAGATGCCGTCTTCGCCAGGGTAACCTTCCGACACCATTGCCGCTCAACAGCCAATCACAGAAGGCAATCACAGCAGCCAATCACAACCGCCAAGAACGCCGGTAGATTATGTACCGAACGGAGACGGAGACGGTGTTCTGGAATAAACTGTATTTTTGAAGAACCTCGTCGCTGCAGTTCCGTAACCGAAGGCGCCTACGAAAGACACGGCATCTTAGCCTACATTTTCAAATGTGCATAGAATGCACTACATCTGGTCGCCTGTCCGTGGGAGCTGGACCATTGGATCCTGTTTCATAAAAAAGCCTCCTTTCTTATCTCACCGTCTTCTAAAGCAACTCATCAGTATGTTTGTGCTGTTGTGAGCATCCTGGAAGCAAATGTCCGCAAGCCTGTCAGGAAGGACGCCTTTGCTGAACAGAATCCCCGCAACTTTTATGCTGCAGTGCACATGCACTGTAAGCACGTGTCTCGCGCGTAGGTTTCCTGCTCAAAACCTTACCCAACCGTTTTAGATCGCTAAAATTACTTTCTGACTTGCATAGAAACGCACCCAACCGCAAGAAACGAACGCGCGGGACACGCGCTCAGCAGCAGGAGGACGCACAGCAGAGCAAACCGTAGGACGTAAAAGGAGGACCAGTCACCACCAGAAGGATTCTGTCCTGTTCTGTCCGATACAATCCAGGACGCAACTGGCGCTTTCTGTCGTCAGATCCCCCTGACTTCTTCCGTCCATAAACGTACTCGTTATTGGCCAGCTAGAAAAGTAAAACCTCTCAAAATCATGAAACATAGCTTCAGAATCAGGAAGCCAGTACGGGAAAGTTCCACACATGCACAAGCATAACGATATTTAACGTTACCTACCTGCATAATTTTTACATTTTTTCCTACAGACGTCCAACATACTATAATGATATTCCACCAGCTGAGAATTCCGGCACCTGCATAATCGCATAAGGAAGGTGCACATTAGAAACGAGAACAACATACACTGACACACCAATAAACTTGCTAACCGGCACGGCCTAACTGGCACAACGGACATACCGTTCTGGGTGGAAGTGAGGAGATCCAATCCGCCGGCCGTGTTGGAAGCAAGCCCAAGCCATTCAGCTGCACGGTAGGGAGATAGATAGAACAGGGTAGGATTGCCAACAGGCGTTGTCGACCAGAAAACAAAAAAATGATCCGCCAGCAAAGAAAATAATTGCCGAAAGTGTTTGAACCATGGGGAACAGGGCAATGAAGCTGGGGATGACACGAATAATACAGTGGCAGAGGGGTAGTAAGGCTCAACAGAGGATTAGCATCTAGTAAGGCCCAAGAAGGGGTTGTAGTACGGAATAGGGTTGCACGGATTAGCACCTTCCAGAGGCCAATGGTGAGCAGGAAGAGGTTGACTGCGGCATACATGAGCTTGGGGAGCACCAGATCCACCTTGGGGTCCTTCAACGGATCAAAGGCTGGGGGACGGGGAGAGACAAGGAGACGAAGGTGTGCACGGAGCTGCCAGTTTGCCAGCTAGCTTAATACCTTCTCAGTTCTTAACGTACCGGCGTTGATGGTTCTCAAGGCACTGATGGGCTGCCAGAGGATGGAGAAGGTGGTTTTGATGCTGTATATGTGTGCACTGCGCTGCCAACTTGCCGGCTAGGTCAATACCCTCTGGGGAAACCTACCAGCGTTTATGGTCCGTAAGGGACTGACGGGTTGCCAGAGGATGGAGAAGGTGATGCCAATGCTGAAGATGTGCACCGAGCTGCTGGTTGCTGGTTAGGGTACGCTTCCTCAACATTCAACAGCAGCAGTCTTACCAGCATTGATGGTCCTTAGCTCCGAAATCGGCTGCCAGAGGATGGAGAAGGTGATGCCCCATGCTGAAGATGTGCATGGAGCTGCGAGTGAGTCCCCAGGCAATGATTATACCTTCCCTATTCAAATTTACCCGCATTGATGGCTCTCAAGGCACTGATGGGCTGCCAGAGGATGGAGAAGGTGATGCCGATGCTGAAGATGGGTGCACTGAGCTGCAGCTTTCCCAGCCAGCTGAATGCCTCCATTCCCTCAACCTACCGGCATTGATGGCTCTCAAGGCACTGAAGGGCTGCCAGAGGATGGAGAAGGTGATGCCGATGCTGAAGATGGGTGCACAGAGCTGCAGGTTTCCAGCTAGCTTAATACCTTCTCGGTTCTAAACCTACCAGCATTGATGGTCCTTAGCGCCGAAATGGGCTGCTAGAGGATGGAGAAGGTGATGCCGATGCTGAAGATGTGCACCGAGCTGCAAGTCTGCCAGCTAGCTTAATACCTTCTCGGTTCTTAACCTACCAGCATTGATGGTCCTTAGCGCCGAAATCGGTTGCCAGAGGATGGAGAAGGTGATGCCGATGCTGAAGATGGGTGCACTGAGCTGGAGCTTTCCCAGCCAGCTGAATGCCTCCATTCCCTCAACCTACCGGCGTTGATGGTTCTCAGCGCACTGATGGGCTGCCAGAGGATGGAGAAGGTGATGCCGATGCTGAAGATGTGCACCGAGCTGCCTGCCATCCACAGCATGAACCCCATCATAAGCAGGTTCTTGGTGGGCGATTGGGCTAGGGCCCACGCACGCTGGGAAAAGGAATAAGGCAATGCGGGTAAGGAAAGAACAGGGGACAAGGGGAAGATTGGAGCTGCCTGCCGTCCACAGCATGAACCCCATCATGAGGAGATTCCTGGTGGGCGGCTGGGTTAGGGCCCACGCACGCTGAAAGGAGAATAGGATACAGGAGGTGTGGCAAAGTGAAAGCGGAAAGAGGAGTGGAACAGGGACGGACGAAGCCATCCCATCCACGGAAGGAGCAAGAATGGGATGGGAGCAAACCCTTTGCGGAATGATGGGATGGCATGAGCATGGGATGGCATGAGCATGGCATGGCATGAGCATGGCATGGCATGAGCATGGCATGGCATGAGCATGGCATGGCATGAGCATGGGATGGCATGAGCATGTGTTTCAAGCGAGCCATCAACGCATCAGCAGCATCCATCCACAAAAAGCATCAGCAACCGATGACTGATTCAGGTTACCCCTCCTCGTGCTTTCTGAGGAATAATTGACCCGACTCTAAGTTGTATTTTGAGTCGACTCAAAATACAAATTGACCTGACTCTAAGTCACCATCAACACATCAGCAGCACCCATCCACAACAAGCATCAGCAACAGGTGACTCAGGCCATCCTTCATGATTCCACAAAACACCCCTCTCACCTCCTTCACACCCCTCTCACCTCCTTCACACCCCTCTCACCTCCTTCACACCCCTCTCACCTCCTGCTTCTTTGCCGGATCAAGAGCCTTGTCTTTTTGTGCCAGCGCCTTTGAGCCGCTGCCACTGGACACCTGATACAAGCACACACGCGATAGAAGCACACTCCGGTTGGATTCAAGGCGATCAGCAACGTCTCGCGTTACTCCTAAGATGCCGCAAAGAATGGTTACCACGCGCATGGTTACTGTCTCGCCAGCTCAGCGGCGCTTCGGTTGAAGCCAGGCGGATCAAGAACTTCAACCGTTCGTTACATGCAAGTGGTTACTTTTCAGCTGGTTACTTCTCACATGGCGACTTCCTCACCAGCTCAGCGGCGTTTCGGTTTGATCCCGGCAAATCAGGAACCTCTAATGCGATCCAGTTACTTGTCATGTGGTTACATCTCACTTGGTTACGTCTCACGTGGTCCCTTCCTCACCAGCTCAGCGGCGTTTCGGTTGAAGCCAGGCGGATCGGGAACATCCCTCGAGATTCCCGACGCAGCATCCGCTAGGTCTACGGCCCATCGGCGCGCTTCTTTCCTCCCGCTTCCCGACATGGCTTGCAACTGTCGCACAGATGCAGGCGATTATAGCTGAAGGCCTGAGAGTACTGTACCTAACGACAAGCCGAGCGGCTTGCCACTCGCGACGATGACTGAATGGGGAGCCGCGTATGCGATAGAGGTCGGCGGAATCTCGCGAGAAAATGCTTTCGTAACGCAATCAGGTATTGTGGTAAGGCACAATCGTAGTTGGAAGAATATTGAAAAAAAAATATGTAAAATAAGTGCATTATTGCTAGTTTTACAAACGTAGGATACTCCAGTTATCCATCACATAGTTAGCAGCAGTTTGCTGCACATGGAGCCTCACTCACAACCACAGCAGGAGGGTATCAGGAAGTATACAAAGGCACAAAACAATGTCGCCAGCTAGGTACCAGTATTAGCTTCTGAGGATCCAAACCAAACCATCGGCACTGCAATTCCCCGAGTCAGCAAACCACTGACTGCACTAGCTGGCTTGATTTAGAAAGATGCGGGAACCCTACGCATTGCTCTGTACACCTGAAAGCAGCTTCCTCGGCTTAGCATTGCTGCACAACGCTGCTACAGGACAGGAGGGATGTTGTGAGTCGGTTCAGGAGAAAGTGTTGCATGGAGGCGCTAAGGCGGATGCGCCAAGGTGGAGGCGCTGAGGTGGAAGCACTAATGTGGAGGCGCCAACACCGAAGCACTAAGGTGGACGCACTAGGTGACACCGTTCAGACGCTGCTGGGAAACAGGAAAGAGGTAAGGTATTGATGATATGAAGCAAGATCAGGACGAGGGTGCAGGGACGAGGGAGGATGGCGGGATGGAGGATGAGGAAGACGAGAGGTTGGCTGTTGTAGGGGAAGCGGATGGGCTGTTGGAGAGTGCAGCTGCTGCAGCTGCTGCGGCTGCCGCGGCTGATGTAGACGAGGCACTGCTAGACGAGGGAGCTGTTACGGCATTGCTGCTGCTGCTGCCGCTATTGGCAGTGCTGCTGTTATTTCCACTGCTATGTCCAGAGCCTGCCGGGGCAGTGATGTCGTATTTGCAGAGAGGGCAGGTGGGGCGAGTGCGCAGCCACTTGTCGACACAGGCGGCGTGGAAGTGGTGCGCACAGGGCAGCTCTCGTAGCATCACTCCATCCTCGTACGCTCCCAGGCATATGCAGCACTCCTGGGGTGAGGAGAGAAAAGGGATGGAGGGATCCAGCGTGAGGTAGAGAGCAGGGGAACGATGCGCGTGTGGCATTCCAAGGTTGCGAAAGAGCACATGATAGAGGAGAAAAAGGGAGATACGGCATGGGGGCTGAGGAAAGCATGTGGGGGGCTGAGGAAAGCATGTGGGGGGCAGGAAGGGGAGTTTGGAGGGGGACGCGGAGAGGAAGAGCGGAAAAGTTGAGAGCGAGAGGCGCGAGCGGAAGGGCGGAGAGAGAATGGAGAGACAAGATAGAGCAAAAGAGGCCCTGAGTGATAGGCTAGTGCACAATCCTCGTTTTGAGGCGCCTCAAACTAGGAGGGAGGAGAGCAAGGAAGGCCCTAGCATGAACCTACCGCGTCATCATCTGCCAGTTCTCTCTCCCGCGGCGGCTGACTCGACCCGCCCACTTGAGTCATGACGCCCCCTGCCGGCTCATCTATCGTCACCCGAACCTCCTCACTACCACTGCTCCTGCTGGTGCTCGGCTCAACGCTGCTACCGCCAGGGCTGTTACTACCCCCGCTGCTAGCACTTTTATCCGAACCATTCACACCTGCGCCCGACCCGTTATTGTGGCCCTTGCTACTGTTGCTAAAGCTGTTGGTAAGGGCGCTGCCGCTACTGCTGCTGGTTCCGACGCCCAGCGCCTCTGTGATGGCGGAGAGGGCGGCGGAAGCAGTGAGCGCGGGCCTGCTGCTGGCGGGGGAGGCGCCTCGCCGGCGGAACTTGAATTGCGGGAGGGACTGGATCTGCTCGTTAGTGGCACCTTCCTGTGGAATCACGAGGAAAGAAGCGGGGAGAAAAAGGGGAAGTTAAGCAACAGTGCAGCAGCACACGGCGATGCCCACCAGACACGAATAAGAATCCTTGATACAGTCACACATCTCGATATAGTCAGCACGCACCTGTTCGCCCATGGCGTAGAGGATGACGATAATGCAAGGCAGGCAGCAGCACACGGCGATGCCCACCAGACAGGCAAGAAGCATGGATAATAACCCTCGATACATTCATTCCACTCGTAGAATATGACCCGCAATATAATCACCTGTTCGCCCATGGCGTAGAGGATGGCGATAATGCAGGGCAGGCAGCAGCACACGGCGATGCCCACCAGACAGGCGAGGGCGATGCAGAAGATGACGAAGAACACGTCGAACGCCAGAAACGACATGCACACCCTGCGGAATAAATGCGGAACATCGAAGACCTTGTTAATGATATTCATGAGACACGAGATGTACGCCCAGGGACGCATAGACTACGACTTAAAGACCTGGACGGCTCCTCGAAGACACGTTAAAATATTGCTGTGGAGCGGAGTCGACCTGGAGGGTGTTCATACCATGAGAGAATGGGAGCGTCTTCGAACGTGTCGTCGAATGTGGAGATGATCCACGCGAAGCCGACGGACCACCAGAGGAACCAACAGTGCTACAGATGAAGACCCAGTGAGAATTCGTACCATCAGCGAACGCGAGCAACGTACCACGAGAGAATGGGAGCGTCTTCGAAGGTGTCGTCGAACGTGGAGATGATCCACGCGAAGCCGACGGACCACCAGAGGAAAGAGAAGACGGTGTTGGCGGACTCGATCTGCTTCGCGATGCTGCGCGCCGAACGAAGGAGCGGAGAAAAAATAAAGTTATCTTTGAGACGAAATAAGATAATTTCTAGGATCCCCTGCACATCGGTGCATGGGCGTCTAGAAACGACGGAACTGAAATGCGGAACGTTGCGGATTCGAAAAAAGGAGGATCAACAACCGCGTCGAAGGGTCGAGCGGGGAGGAAACTAGAAACGCGCGGAGAACGCTAAATTAAAAAAAAAAAGAGAAAAAGGAACGGAACAAGCTGAGGAAACATGCGAATCCAGCAACACAGTCGTCAGTACCTGTCAATCCGGTCATCCTCCATCCGCTGCTCTCCCGCACCCTCCTCCTCTCCCTCCTCCTCGTCGCTCCCTCTCTGCAACAAACCCTCTCGAATATCCCCAGAATTCTCGCTCCCTCCCCTTCCTCCTCCCCCTCGTCCTCCTCGTCCTCCTCTCCCACCACCCACACCCCGTGACCCCCGTCTGCTCCTGCTCTCCCCACCGCTCCTTCTAGACCGACTCCGTTCCACCGCTTCGCCTCGTTGCCGCCGGTCGAACTCGACCAGCACGCAGATTATATGTATGATACACTGGGCCGCGTAGCCCATGAGCCAGACTCCTAGCGGAGCAGACGGCTCCTCGTTGTGGGTCCGGCTTATAGCGAGTGTAGCTATGGCGACGAGCACGAAGATGAGATTCCAGAGCGTGTCTAGGAGCACGATGGGACGGGAATAGGCCCAGTTGCTCTGCCGCTCCTCCAGCTGCGAGCAGACAGCGCAAACAGACAGCACAAGAACAAAGAAAACAGATCAAAAAAGGGTTAAAAATATAAATATAAATAGATATACATATATATATATATCTGTATATAAAGAGGAAGCAGAAGACAACGATAAGGTAGAAAGGTGACGTGACGGAACGACACACTTGAGGGACGGAAACGAAACCGGGAGCATCCGACGGACGAAACTATCCACAAGCATCCACGCGTTGCGAGTGCTGCTAAAGAAGGACAGCTGCGAAGCAAGAAGCAGCAAGAACCGGCTGCGTACCTCCTCCGACGCTGCATCGCGAACCCGAATGGACTGCTGCCGCATCAACCGCTGACTGCTCGCCTGGCGAATCAGCCTCGCCGCTCCTAACGCGACCGAGCCTCCCGTTCGAGGTACCGAGCCTCTTGCTTCATTCCCCGGCGGTGACGTCAAATCCCCTGACGAACCTCCGAGTCCTATGCTTATCAGCCGAAAACTACCGCTACTGCCAGCGCTGGTTCCCCTGAGGCTCCTACTCCGACCGCTTCTTCCTTGGCTGCTTCTACTGGCGCTAGTCATCTCGCTGGTAGTATCATTGACGCCGTCCACGGAGGTCAATGGCTCCATAATCTGGTCCATATCTGAGACGTTAACTCTATTGCTGACGTTACCTCTATTGCTGACGTTACCTCTATTGCTGACGTTACCTCTATTGCTGACGTTACCTCTATTGCTGACGTTACCTCTATTGCTGACGTTACCTCTATTGCTGACGTTACCTCTATTGCTGACGTTACCTCTATTGCTGGCGTCTGTGGCGTTGTCTGTAACGGTGGCGTCTGGCTGCGTTACTGACTGGAGACTCGAGCTGGGAGCAGTAGCGTCGCCATCGGTTCTGCCATGAGGTGACATCACGCTAATGAGGTCCCTAGCATGCGTTGCATGAATTTAACGATAACCCTAGCACGCGGTGATCCTTGTACGGCTCTTATTCAGCGTGGAAGTGTATGGAGCGAGTAGAAAATCGTAAGACACGGTAGATTCAGGAGTTTGCACTGATCTGCAATAAGTGCGACCGGCGACAAGACGTAAAATCGAAACCCGCGACTGCGTATCAACACGCAGCCAGCCAATGAGAAGCCAAACGAGCAGCAATTAACATCAGCTACTAACTGTCACAAGCTAATCCCTGCTTATGGAATTACTGTACGTGTATCAGGGATTCAGGAGCACAAAAGCTCTACAGAGCTCCTTGTGAGATAAGACCATGCAGAATATGAGGTCGGTGCATCTGTGGAATTTGTGTAGGGGGTGCTGGCGCTGCTTGCCCCCTCTAAACTTAAGGACGCGATGCACCGCGTTCAACCGTTCCGACTGAACTCGCACCCATTTTCAATCGACCTCTGAGGGTTCTCCCTCCCAACCAAGTCCTTCATTCTCCAAGATGCACCGCATCCTCCATGCTTCCTGAAGGAATCGAGGCTGTTCCGCCTTACTCCGCACCTCAGCTGCTCCTCCGCATTTTGCCTCGGATGCTCCGCGAACAGCCCTGGATTTGGTCAGGCAAAAGTAGGGGGGAAAAAGGAGGGAGGCTAGAGGGAGGTTGGGGAGCGGAGCTGCAGGTGTGGAATGGGAGGGAGATGAGGAGATTGGCTCCTGGGCGCGGGGTTTGGGAGAAAGGGTGTGCGGAACTGGATAATTAAGGCGGTGGGTGGAGAGAAATGCGGACGCGGGGCATGCGGGGGATGCGGGTGACTGGAGGCGAGGAAATCGAGGATGCGGGCAGCAGGAAGGAAATCCAACCAACCTCCTTGACACCTTTCTGACGAGGCAAGCCGTGAGGGAGGGGAAGGTTCTGCCGAGCTTGACTGGTGGTAGAGAAGACCCCATTCCGAGCGTTTCCCCAACGAAAGAAACGCTCCGCTTGGTGATAGGAAGTTTGGTCTGGAAGTGGTGGCACAGGTCGTCATCTGACGAAAATGCCAGGGGAGGGGAGGAACGCGTTTGGTTGGAGCGCAGAGCCGTCAGGAACCCAGCCCTGGTTGGCTCAACCAGCTGCCGTGTACAGTACGGAGCTTGTACGACCCGCTTCATTGCATCGCATGCTGCTGCGACAGTCGGTCAGGTCAGACCTCCCAAGAAGCGACCGCGATTCGACATCAGCGATTCGACTGCTGCTCCCCTGACCGCCAGGTTTGGGAGATTGGGCTGCGCTTGGGAACCGTTTCTTGGTAGCGGGCAGAAAACAAACGGGTTTCGCGATTGCTGTGGCCCACCAAGCCGATAAAGAAACAGCAAAATCGAACGAAATGACTCAAACGAAACATCGAACGCCACAACCATTTCCTGGTTCCAGTTGCGTCGCACATGAGAAGCAACAGCATGCCAACCAAGCCAGGCCATCTACAGTGTGCTACAAGTGAATCAGGCCAGGTGTGACAAGAGCGGAGCTTCGGTCGAAATTTGAGCTACTATCATTTCTCAAGCTAAATTCATAAGCAAACCTACATTATACATAGAAGAGAAATGAGCCAGCCTATGAGGAGTATTTGAAGCTTCTTCAGAAAGGATTCATATTCCACTTCACTTCGCTGTGGGTGCCTCATCATCGCTAAACCGTCTGTTTCTCACATCCGCTCTGCCATACACCTTGGAAGGAAGCCAGCGGCGTGACCACTAGTTCGCCACACAGCAAACCAGTTGGAAATCCTCCAGGGACGGTTGGGTGACCGACCGTCTCGTTTTGACGAGTTGCAGACACTCTTGCTAGAAGCTTTATCTTCGCGAGCAGAAATGTCCAAGTCTTGCAAGGGTCTGGCGTACGAGCTCGTCAAGTGCGTGGCGGAGAGCCCGTGTGTGAAGGTGAGAGGTGTGGTGTGAGAGTGAGCGGGCGCTAAGGGCTTGTGGTGAAAGGCTGATCGCAAGATCGACGGAAACTTCGATTAGAAACTTACGCTCTTCGTCTATTTTCCGACTTTCTTTTCGTCTCAACTTGTTACATCCTCCCCCTCCGGCTTATCGTGGTACAGGAGAAAGGTCAGTCCGTGCAGGAGTGCGCGGGGAAGCAGCCGCCAGAGATTCCGTCCAAATGTGTGGGGCTGAGGGAGACGTACGCCAAGTGCAAGAGAGGACAGGTGAGACGGAGAAAGAGCATCGTAGCTCCCATGATGGCATACACACAGCCGTCAGAGATTCCTTCCATGTGTGTGGGCCTAAGGGAAACGCTACGCCAAGTGCAAGAGAGGACAGGTAAGAGGAGCAAGTTGAAGCGGGATCTGATGGAGGGTGGACAAAGGAGAGCTCTTGTGAGAATAGCCTATAACAACTTAGGGTTTGCACATGGTGGCGAAGCGGGTGTCAGTCCTGTTTGTTAAGTGAGTTTGCGTGCGATCCGTGTTCCGATGACTCTCCCCTGTGCATATCCTTGGCAGGTTGACATGAGAACGCGGATTAGAGGCAACAAGGGATACTAGGAGCCAGTGAACTTCATAGCAGGGTGGGACATTATCTTAGAGAAGGGTGCAGGGAGCTTCCACACAAGGGATCTTAGAGACGTTTCGTAGGATTTCTGAAGACCTTGCGTGTGGTAAGTTGACTCTAACCAAGTATGCTAAGAGTAGTTGAGCGCAAGTTTTATCATGATACTGACCCCTCCGTTGCTTTCCAATGTGATGGTTTTGCAGGAAGATGTCAGAAGTGGTATGATTCTCTCTTCTCTACTCTGTTTTTTTCCGCTGGAAAAACACAAGTGTACAATAGTTTTGAGTTTACCTTATGTGAGGTGGGTACATACAGCATACTTATATTGAAGGGATCAAACTGGTAATAGAATTGCTCACTATTTCGTTCACCTCCCACAGGTTGCTTTCTTCACCGAATCTGCAGAGCAGCCAATAGAAGAGCCGAATTTGCACTAATTCTGACGTATGTGCGCCAGTTGGAAAGTAGAATCAGATTTGTCACTACGATGCTCCTTTCTTTGCATGGGCTGCCAAACGGTTCCGCGATTCGGTCACCTGGCGCGGTTCAGCGGTTCGGTCAACTCAGCTCAAGCTCTCGGCATGTGCATGGACGGTGGATTTCGTGATGCGAATGATGAGTGCGCTGCCTGCCGAGTGCGCTGCCTGCCGAGCCCACGGCAGGCGCCGGGACAAATTCGTGATGGGGTATTACAAGAGTGAGCGACCGAGCGCACCACGGGAGGCGCGCGCCGGAACCCTTTCGCGCTGTAACCCGATTCGCACGGCCGGACCCTCGTCACCCGCAGGTGGCGGGTCCGGCTCCGCACGCTGGGAAGCGTTAGCGTGTGTGTCTGGGTTGCCGCCGTATCTTCGCGCGCAAGAGATCGCTGGCCTTTTTTACGCCCTCCTAGCCTCATTCGGGTCGCTGGCCTTTTTTACGCGCTCCGAACCTCGTTCGGTGCTATCTGATTCTTATTCTCTGTCTGATTCTCTGTCTCGAGTGCCTGAGCGGTTGTGAGCGGTCTTGAAAGTTGTCGCCCGGTTCCAAAAGGTGAAGGTCGTTTGGTAAGTGCGTGCTCGGAGCTACAGCATGCAGCATACTGTAACGAGGTTCAAGCTCAATAACGGGGATGAGATCCCCGCTGTGGGATTAGGGACGTGGAAGATCGCACCTGAGGAAGTCGACGCTGCTGTGTCGACTGCTCTGGAGGTAAGGGTTGCTCATTTTTCCAGGGTGTTTTTGGAAATTCTCAAGAACGCCCTGCAAACTCTTGGGAAATCGAAGGTCGCACCTGAGGATGTCGACTCGACACTGCTATGTCTACTGCTCCGGAAGTAAGGGTTGCTCACATCATTTTGTGGATTTCATATACCCTCTGGCATTAATAGGGGCATTTTTAGCTCTGATGTACCGTAACTCCCTTTTGGCTTTCTCCCTTTTTATGTTGATCTGAATCCTTTGCTGCTCAATCAAATGCGCTTGGAGTTTTGCTAACATTTCTGGGGAGCTTTCGGCTTTTAAGGCATTGCTCAAGTTACCTCCAAGGAATTTCTCATCCATTACTATTTCTGCCTCTTCCCTTCCGTTTGCCCTCTCCTCCATCTTCCATTCCTGTTTCAATCCCCTCCCCCTCCCAATTCGTCCACTCATACATTACTACTAATGTCTGCCTCCTCCCTTCCCTTTGTCCTCTCCTCTCCTCCATCCCCCTGTTTCAATCCCTCCCCCTCCCAATCTCTTCCATTCATACATTACCAATTTCTGCTTCTCCCTTTGCCCTCTCCTCTCCTCCATCCTCCTGTCTCAATCCCCTCCCCAATTAACCTGACACCTAAAGGCCGGCTATCGCCACTTTGACTGCTCAACCAAATACAATAACGAAGCTCAGGTGCGCGTTCTCAAAGAACAGGTTTTCCTGTCTGGGTTCTTTACTCTGCATCAGGCGCATGCTTTACATGCCATGTCAGGGGTAATCATGAACCCCAAGCATGCCATGTCAGGGGTAATCATGAACCCCAAGCATGCCTGACTCAGCATGTCAAGCTATGCTGCCCTCGCGTCCCTGCTATGCCATGTCAGCAGATTGGGAGGGCGCTAGAGGATGGCATGGCACGGATGGGCATTGACCGCAAGGACCGGCATGGCACGGATGGGCATTGACCGCAAGGACCTTTTTGTCACCTCTAAGCTCTGGTAAATCTACTAAGCTCTGGTAACTCTACTAAGCTCGGGTAACCCTACTAAGCTCTGGTAACCCTACTAAGCTCTGGTAACCCTACTAAGCTCTGGTAACTCTACTAAGCTCGGGTAACCCTACTAAGCTCTGGTAACCCTAGTAAGCTCGGGTAACCCTACTAAGCTCTGATAACCCTAGTAAGCTCGGGTAACCCTACAAAGCTCTCGCGGGTATTCCAAGCATCTGGTAATGACTGCTGGGACTCGAAGAGGATGGCATGGCACCGATGGGCGTCTACTGCAAGGACCTCTTCATCACCTCTAAGCTCTGGTAACTCATTCAATCTCTGGTAACTCATTCAATCTCTGGTAACTCATTCAATCTCTGGTAAATTCTTTGTCACCGCTTAGCGCTGGTAACTCATCTATTGTCTGGTAAATTCTTTGTCACCGCTTAGCTCTGGTAACTCATCTATTGTCTGGTAACTTCTTTGTCACCGCTTAGCGCTGGTAACCCAGCAAAGATTTCGCGGGTGTTCCAAGCATCTGGTAATGATTGCTGGGACTCGAAGAGGATGGCATGGCACGGATGGGCGTCGACGGTAAAGACGTCTTTTGCTGTTACTTTCAGTGAGGCGTCTGGAAGCTTGTTTTTTTCTGAAGCAGCGCCTTGAAGCAGCGCCTTGAAGCAGCGCCTTGAAGCAGCGCCTTGAAGCAGCACCCTGAAACAGTACCCTGAAACAGCGCTTGTTCGTTTGCTTTAATTTGTTTGATTAAATGTGCTGCTGTGGCTCTGGCGTTGCCTACTCACTTCACCGCTTTGTTGTGCCACAACACAGCACCTGCACACCTCTCCACCCCTCCGATGCCCCCCTCTTCGTCTCGTTCCCTCCAGGCCTTCGGAATTCTCTCCCCCTGACGTCATCCCGGCTCTCGAAAACACCCTTGGAGACCTCCGGCTCACACATCTGGACCTCTTCTTGGTGTGTACCCAGCCATCCTTTCCACACACATCAAGGCACCCCAAAAAGAGCCGCCTAAGAGCGGCAGAGTGGCCATTAATCCACTCCAACCCCTTCCAACCGCTCCTTGCAGCTCCATAGAACCGTCACCCATGCAAGTGGCCAAGCATTGGCACTCACCATGTTATTTTTCTCTTCCCCCCCCCACCCTCCCCTCCCCCCAGCTCCACATACCCGTGCAAATGGCCAAGCCTTGGCACTCCCCCCCTAAGAGAGAAGACAGGGTGCTGCCCTGGCAGATGGCAGCAGATGGAGGCAGGAGTGGAGCGGGGATTAGTGCGCGCCATCGGGGTCTCCAAATGGTCGGTGACGAAGCTGAAGCAGCTGCTGAGCTGGCGGCCCGTGCACGCGCCAGCTGTCAACCATTTGGAGGCGCATCCCCATTGGAGGCAGGATGCCATGCTGGCGTTTTGCAAGGGCGAGGGAATACATGTGTCGGTGAGTGGTAGAGCATCGTTGCATGCAGAGTGTATATGTTGTATCTGCATGCGTTACGTTATGTGGCTCTTGCATAGGGTATAGGATCCATGCAACCTACTGTACTTATTTCAGACAAAGATGGAGTCTAGTGGACGAGGTGAGTGTAATGAGTCGATTCATGAGTCGACTCAAAAATGGAGTCTAGTGGATGAGGGGATACAGGGGTGGGTGAGTGGCACGGGGCATTGTTGCATGCAGAGTGTATATGCATATGAATATGCATCATGCCTTTCTTTTCTCATATACCCATGTATTACGTTATGTTGCTCTTGCACATGGTATATGATCCTAGTGTACTTATTTCAGACGATTATCGAGTCGAGAGAATTTTGCTCCTGTAAGAGATCATACTCGCTCATTCATTCTCCTCTCTTTTCTCTGCCAGGCTTACTCCCCTCTCGGCTCGAGGGATCGCTTTTGAGTCGACTCAAAAGCAGGCTCATTCATTCTCCTCTCGTTTCTCTGCCAGGCTTACTCCACTCTACATACCTCCTTAATCACGGGTGGCGTGAGGTACTCGTCATAAACCAAGCGATCCCTCGAGGGCCAGTAAATGTGGGGGGTGAGCAAGAGTGGGTAAATGCGTCGAACCTGCTTTTTCTTGTCATGTAGTCCATATTCAACTTCAATCCTTTCGTCAATGTTCTCTCCCTTTCCTTCCCCTTTTGCTTCTCCTTTTCCCTTCTTTTTCTCTTTTTTTTCTCCCTTTTCTCCTCCGTCTTTTCTACATTTCTGCCATTAGGTGGCGCATAGTCTGCACCAGTCCCCAGCGCATGTGGCCCTATGTTGTGGCATCCGGGGGGGAATGAGCGTCCTGCCCAAGAGCAGCTACCCTATCCAGTCCACTCCCTCTTCTTCTATCCGTTACCCGCTCCCTGCCATCAGGTGGCCAGGAATCTGCATCAGTCCCCATCACAAGCCACCCTGCACTGGGGCATCCATAGGTGATGGCTGTGTTGTCCAAGAGGAGCAGCCCACCCTACTCCCCCTATGTCCTCCCTGCTCTCTCTGCGCTCCTTTCTGCCTTTTTACACCATCAGGTGGCCAGCAATCTGCACCAGTCCGCGGCGCAAGTGGCCTTGCGGTGGGGCGTCCAAAGGGGAATGAGTGTGCTGCCTAAGATCAGCAGCCCATGGCACATAGAGGAGAACATTGGCCTGTTTGATTGGAACATACCCCCCCTGGACTTCCACGCTCTCTGCATGATAGAGCCCCAGGTGAGCATGTGTGAGGGAGGTGCGAACCATCGAGGAGAACATCGACCTTCTTGAGTAGAAAACACCCCCCATGGACTTGCATGCACTCTTCATGAGAGAGCCCCAGGTGAGCACGTGTGAGGGGGTTGAGAACTGTGGATGATAACATGGCATGCACTCGCATGCACCATGGGTGATTTCTTGACTGGAAAGCTCCCCCTGTGGACTTGCATGCACTCTGCGTCATAAGAGTCCCTTGAGAAGGTTTACCTGGTTTGTCCTGGCTTGACTTCCCACTCTCATGCACTTACAGGCGACCTCTTTCCAGTATGCAGTGTTTTTGTATGTTGCACATGTTGGGTGACCACCGCGTATGGTTGGTGGGTCGTCTCCATTGCGTCCTCCCATGCACCGGCTCTCACGTGCGCATGTTGGGTTACTACGGCTACTGGGTGGGTGAGGGCCGGCCGTTCCTGGAGCCAGAGGAGCTTTGGGACGACGAGGCAGACACGGCAGATGAAGACGGTAAGGCAAGGGAGGGATGCATGGCAGCTGTGGAGGAAAGGCAAGGAGGGTGAAGGCCGGTTGTTCCTGGAGCCAGAGAAGCTTTGGGACGATGAGGCAGACACGGAAGTCGAGGGGGACAACGGAGAGGAAGGATACAAAGCAACGGAGGGATTCAGGGCAGCTTCGGAGGAAAAACAAGGCCGAGCCAGTGCAGGAGACGACTGGGAGGAGCGATGGCAGTGGGGCATTTTCCTCTCAGTCTGTACAATGAATAAACTTGGTTATTCTCATTCGTCGTGGACCGTGGTGTCTTCCTTCGAAGACGGAATGCAGATCCTCCCAGTGGAATGCAAATCCTCGCAATGGAACGGAAAGCCTCTGTAAATGAGAAGAGTCAGGTGCTCTTGAGCAGCCAGTTGGCTTGGGAATGGGGGATATGATATGATGGAAAGTGAAGTGAGCTCCACAAGCAATTAAGGCGGGTGGGATGCTGGGATGGAAATGGGGGTGGTAGTGGGGGATAGAAAGCAGGGCACACTTGATGCTCAGTGTCAACTTATACATATTATCTATGTAGAAGTTATAGGCTAGACTGAGGTATGCTTCTAGTGAGTACAACCAACTAGTATTTGTTCTAGGTTTCCACCTCTAGTCATTATTCGTTCTCATTTTGACATGGTATCACGCGTAGGTTAGCATCCCCCACCTACCGCTTCCGCCCGTACCCTAGCTAGGCCACGTCGCGCCTCCTAGCCCCGTCGCGCCTCCTAGCCACGTCGCCCCCCCCCCCCCCTCCTGGGCCACGTCGCGCCACCCTAGCCCCGTCGCGCCACCCTAGCCCCGTCGCGCCCCTCCTGGGCCCCGTCGCGCCTCCTAGCCCCGTCGCGCCCCTCGTGGGCCCCGTCGCGCCACCCTAGCCCCGTCGCGCCCTGCCTGGCCCCGTCGCGCCCTGCCTGACCCCGTCGCGCCCGCTCGGCCCCGTCGCGCCCTGCCTGGCTCCGTCGCGCCCGCCTGGCCCCGTCGCGCCCTGCCTAGCCCCGTCGCGCCCTGCCTGGCCCCGTCGCGCCCGCTCGGCCCCGTCGCGCCCCGCCTGGCCCCGTCGCGCCCGCCTGGCCCCGTCGCGCCCTGCCTAGCCCCGTCGCGCCCTGCCTGGCCCCGTCGCGCCCGCTTGGCCCCGTCGCGCCCTGCCTGGCTCCGTCGCGCCCGCCTGGCCCCGTCGCGCCCTGCCTAGCCCCGTCGCGCCCTGCCTGGCCCCGTCACGCCTGCCTGGCCCCGCCGCGCCTCCCTGGCCCTGCCGCGCCTGCCTGGCCCCGCCGCGCCTGCCTGGCCCCGTCGCGCCCTGCCTGGCCCCGTCGCGCCTGCCTGGCCCCGTCGCGCCTGCCTGGCCCCGCCGCACGTGCCTGGCCCTGCCGCGCCTGCCTGGCCCCCGCCGCGCCTCCCTGGCCCCGCCGCGCCTGCCTGGCCCCGCCGCGCCTGCCTGGCCCCGCCGTGCCTTCCTGGCCTCGCCAGCACCTGCCTGGCCCCACCGCACCCGCCTGACCCCTTCGCCCCGGCTCGTCCTGCCGTGCCGCCTCGGGCTCCGTCTCCTCCGCTCGCCCGTGCTGAGGCGCTTCGCGGCCGCCGTGCTGGAGGGGGCTGTCGCTGTGTTCCCGTGGAGCTGTGCCGCTGACCCTGCACGATGGCGGACTTCGTGCTCCGACTGGACGCGGAGGGCCATGCGGTTGACTTCGCCGCCTGGCTATCCGATCTCCGCCGCCACCTTACAGGTCAGCGCCAGGATGGCCACTCTTTGGTTGTCCATGTCGACGGCTTGCTCCCCCGTCCCCCCGCACCTGCTCCCCTCCCTGCTGATCCCTCCTCTGATGACCGTGAGACCTTCTCTACTGCTGCGCTTGCCCGTGCGGTCTGGGACTCCCGCGATGCAGTCGCTCAGGTTGCCATTAGCCACGCCCTCCCTGTCTCTGAGCGCTCGCGTTTTGCTACTATTGAGACGGCCAAAGCTTACTTAGACGCTGTTATTGCCCGCTATTCCACACCCGCGTCTGCTTCTGCTGGTCGCCTGCTCTTCCCAATGCTTTTCCCAGACCTTGCAGCTTTCCCTACCGTCGCAGACTTTGCCACTCACCTGCGTGCCCTAGAGACCCGCTATCGCACTGCCAGCACTGCTGCCCAGCTCACTGCGCTCCCCCCCCCTTTCTGCATGACGCTCTATTTTATCGCCATGCGCCTGCCAGACCGCCTCGCTAGTGCTCGCGATCACTTTCTTAGCCAGCACCCAGGTGACCTCACTCTCACTGCCTTTGTCGACACCCTCACCGAGATCGAGACTCGCCAGCGCACTATCGCTCAGTCGAGCGGTGCGCCGGCAGTTTCTATCTTTCACGGTTGTGCCCCCTCCCAGTGTGCGTTCACTGACGTTTCGGCTGCGGTCGCCTCGGCGGCCCCTCTCACCGAGTCGGCTGGTGCGGTCCACCCGCAGCAGCGCTCGCGCCGCGGTGGCCGTGGTCGCCAGGGGGGTAGGGGTGGTGGTGGCAGTAGTGGTGGTGACGGTAATCCGCCTGCGGGGACTACCACTGGTGGGCAGGAGCAGCAGCCCCAGCCGCAGCAGGAGCAGCCCCAGCCGCAGCCGCCGCCCCAGCAGCAGTTACCGTCCCAGCAGCAGTCGCCGCAGCAGTGGGCCCGTCTCCCGCCTGGTTGGCCCGGCACCTCCGGAGGTAGTGGCCGTTGTGGCGGCCCGCGCACCTTGGCGTCTACCGGCGGCTCCGGTGCTGTCACCTGCCAGTACCAGCTTCAGACTGGGCCTCTTCGCGGCACTCTGTGCCGCCGCCCGCACCCGACCGCCCGCTGTTTCCGCCGCCTCGACGATCTCTTTCGTCGTCGCTTTGGCCCGGCCCCGGACCTCCCCGACTGGCACAGCCTGCTTCGCCAGGGCGTGCCGATCTTTGAGTTAGACATGGATCAGCTAGGTGCTGCTTTGCATGCTTTGTATTCTGACACTTCTAGTTTTGCTGGATCTTATTACCCTGTGTACTCTAGTTTAGGTGTTGCACCACTGTGTAGCTTAGCCTCCCCTGCTGCGTCAGGCGTAGGACTGCCTAGGTTGCCTACTCTAGTCGCTGCACCGGCTCCGTCCCCGGCCTCCGCCACTGCGTCGCTGTCCTTCACTCTCGACTCCGGTGCTTCTGCCTGCTTCTTCCGCGACCGTTCCACGCTCACGCCGCTTGCTGCACCTGCTGTTGTCTCTCTCGCTGACCCCTCTGCGGGTCCAGTCGTCGCGCGCAGTTCTACGTCCCTTCCCTATACGGCAGTTCCCTCAGGCTCCCTTACTGGCCTCCACGTTCCCTCGTTCTCCAGGAACCTGGTTGGTGTCGGCTGTCTCCAGGACCTCGGCGTCACCACCACGTTCCCCGGGCACGAGCGGTTCGCTGTCTGTTCTGAGGCTGTCTCAGGTTCCCCCCTTGCGACGTTCCCCCGGGACCCGTTGTCCGGTCTGTTTACCCTAGACACCGCTTCCCCCCCGGTTGGTGCGTCCTCCCAGGTCGCTGCAGCTTGCTCGTGTCGGTCCCTCGCTCACCCCTCCCTTCTCTGGCACCACCGCTTAGGTCACCCTGCTCTCCCGCGTCTGCGTCACATGTCCCAGCACGGTCTTGTCTTAGGTCTCCCTGCGTCGCTCCCTGCCCTTCCTCCCTCGACTGCGCCACCGTGCACGCCTTGCGTCGAGGGTCGGCTTCGCCGTGCTCCTCACTCCTCCTCGCTGCGTCCTGCTACTGCCCCCCTTCAGACCCTGCACTTGGACGTTTGGGGCCCTGCCCCCGTCCCCGGACCGCGCGGTGAGCGCTACTTCCTTGTGCTCGTCGACGACTACACGCGCTACACCACGGTGTTTCCCCTGGAGCGGAAGGCCGACGTGCCCGACGTTCTTCTCCCGTGGGTTGTGGCTGCGCGTCTCCACCGCGGTCTCCCCGTGTTGTGTCTCCACTCCGACCGTGGCGGCGAGTTCGCCTCTTGTCGGCTTGGACAGTTCTGTCGTGCGGAGGGCATCACCCAGTCGTACACCTTGCCGGACTCGCCACAGCAGAATGGGGTTGCTGAGCGCCGCATCGGCTTGGTCATGGAGGTCGCCCGTACCTCCATGATCCATGCCGATGCCCCCCATTTTTTGTGGCCGTTCGCTGTTCGCTACGCTGCTCACCAGCTTAACCTGTGGCCACGCTCCCAGCGGCCGCAGGTTTCGCCGACCCTCCTTTGGACCGGGTCCCCCGGTGACGCGTCTGCGTTCCACGTCTGGGGCTGCCTTGCTCACGTTCGTGCCTCTGGCACGGACAAGCTCACTGCCCGCACTGTCCCCTGTGTCTTCCTCGGTTTCCCCCTGGACTCGTCTGACTGGCTTTTCTACCACCCGCCGTCTCACCGCTTCCTCCACTCTCGTGACGTCACCTTTGACGAGTCCGTCTCCTTCTACCGCCGCTTCCCTCACCGAGGTCTCCCAGTTGCCCCCCCCCTGTTCCTTGCTCCCTCTCCCCCGGTAGCCCCTGCCCCTCTCCCGCCTCGTCCTGCCCCGTCTGGTGTCTCCCAGGTCACTCCCCTCCCGTCGGTTGTCCCCGTTGAGGAGTCTGCTGACTCTGGTGGTACCCCCGGTCCGTCCTTGCCGCGTCCCCCTTCCCCGGTGCCTCCGCCCCCACTGTCGCAGTCGCCGACCCCGCTGCCGCCGCCGTCGCCGTCGCCGCTGTCGTCACCGCCGCAGCCGTCGCCGCTGTCGCTGCCGCAGCCGTCGCCGCTGTCGCCGCCGCCGCAGCCGTTGCCGCCACTGCCGCCGCCGCTCTTGGCCCCTGGGGGTGCTGGTGTGGAGGAGGGTGTTCGTCCTGCGGCTTCTGGGGGTGCCGCTGGTGTTGGAGGGGGTTCTCGCTCTGGGGGTGCTGCTGTTGAGTGTTCTGCCGACGGTCGTTCTGCCTCTGCTGGTCCGAGAGTTCCGGCCCAGCCGTCGTCGCCGCCGGAGCAGCTGTCGCCGCCGGTTTCCGCTCTCCGCCTGCTCGGCCTTCCCTCACCGGACCGCGCGCCGGTGTCTCCCCCACCGCCCGCTGACCTCCCTGTCTACGGTCCTGTGTTCCCGCCGCCGGACTCGTCTCCGGCCCGTCTTCCTCCTCGTTCCCCTCCTGTGTCTCCTCCGCTGTCCCCTGACCCTACCCCTCCGTCTCACGTTTGGGCTCGCCGTCCCCCCCGTGCTCGTCCCGTCTCTCCTGTCCTGCCCACCCACCCTATGTTGCTCCGTTCTCGCTCGTCTCGTCCTCCCCTCCTCCCGTCCCCTCCTCCCTCGTCCCTTGCTGTTGCACCTCCTCCGTTCTCTGACTACCTCCGTGCTTCTCGTCCCCTTGTCCCTCGGGTCCTTGCCTCTCTTGTTACCGACCCTGCTGTTCCTGTCTCGCGCCTTGACGCGCTTGTCGCCGCTGTCGCTGACTACGCTTCTACCCGCCGCCTTGACTACGCT